TATTTTATTTTAAAAATATTTATAGAAAAAAAGCATCCCCCAAAGGCAGGCTGGCGGACCGGGGGCTGGACTGTGCTGTGTGCCCGAGGCTCTGGGTTGCGCCCCCTCATGCAGCTGCTCAGACCTGGTGACCCCCCACATCGCTGGGCCCTCAGGCATGGTGAGAGGCTGCCTGCTCGAACCCTCTGGGCACCGAACCACCTGCCCAGCTTGGCCACGTGTCACGAGAAAAGATCCCTGGGGCATTGGAGCAGCAAATTCCATGCTGACACACACACACATACACACACGCGTACACACACGCACGCACTCACATGCACACACATTCACACACACATTCACACATGCATGCACTCACATGCACACACATGCATGCACACACACATGCACAACGCGCGCACACACACACATGACAAACATTTAAAAGATGAGAACAAACACAAGCCAAGCCACTCTAAAATTCTTTTTTTTCTTTTTGGGTCACACCCGGTGATGCACAGGGGTTCCTCCTGGCTCTGCACGCAGGAATCACTCCTGGTGGTGCTCAGGGGACCACATGGGATGCTGGGAATCGAACCCGGGCCGGCCGCGTGCAAGGCAAACGCCCTACCCGCTGTGCTATCGCTCCAGCCCTGCCACTCTAAAATTCTTGAACAGCGAGTCCTGTGTCTGTGCCGCCGTTCGATCCCAGAGTGTCTCGCCCGCCCTCAGACCTCTGCTCCCTGACTCAGCACTCACCCATCAGCCTGGTTTCCCTGAGGGCAGGTGTTCAGATTGCAGCTGTGTGGGGCTGGGGGACAGGGGGCGCCTGTGCCTGGTGGGGGCTTGAGCGAGGCCTCCCTCACCCCCCGGCTGCACGCGGAGCCGTCCCACGCTCCTCAGCTGCAGGGTCACCCGCACACAGAAGGCAGAGACCTGCCGTGAGATCCCGGGGCGCAGCCCTGATACAGATGTGAAGGCAGCCGCACTGACCCCGGGCACCCAAGCACACCCCCCACCCTGGCACTCTCAGCGCCAAGTCAGCCAAGATGCTTTCACTGCAACCCTGGAGCTGCCTCAGTTTCCCCAATGAGGTCATTCTAAGTGGGTGATTCCAGGGGGCTCTGTGACCTTGAGCATTAATGAAAGGTCCCTGACATACTGTAGTTGGGGCGAAATCAGCTGAAATTTAAGGGCCACGGGCTGTTCCTCCAATCTCTTCCAACATCTTCCAGCCCCTTCCAGAGCCTTCCATGTGATCCCTGCTTCCTTTCTCTCCTCTCGTCGCTCCCCCTCCAGCCCCACAGCAACGGTCTCTTCCCCCCTCCGCTCCCCCGGCCAGGTTTGATAAATGATCTCTTTCTGCCAGACTGGCGTGCCACCCCACGGGTACCCAGATGCCTTTTAATTGAAGCTTTTAAAGAAGGTTTCGACTCCATCAATGCCACCTGTGAAATGAGAAGGAACAGGACATTTCCCTCTTGGCTCATCTCCACACCCTGGGACTCCCTCTCCAAAGTGCTCTCGGTCCAGGTGCTCTCCATTTGCAGAAGTTGGCCTTCTGCGCGCGCACACACACACGCAACACACACACACACACACACACACACACACACACACACACACACACACACACCCCACCCCCGGGACTCCTGGTCTGTTTGTACACAGCCCGGTGCCGGGAGCTGCCTCCTGCAGGACCTTCCTTCCAACCAGCGCCTCTGGACTCCCACCCTTCCCACCAGCAGCAGTGAATTTCCTCCCCTTCCCGACCCGCCTATTAGAGCCAGCCCCAGAGCGAGGGATGCTCCGGCCGCTGCAATGTGCTGTTCGCCAGTCAGGCTGCAGAGACGCGCCCGGGCAGCACCGGCCACACACATGCAGGCTCATCGACCAGCACAGGCCCAGGGCGTCGGCATGGCTGGTTTGAGCCAAGCACGGCTTGTCCTGGCCAGTCTTGGGCCAGGAGCCACCCTGCCATTGCTCCTGGACTCCCCCACCAGCCTCTGGTGGGCAGATCCCCCTGCCCCTCCCCCCCACCCGGGGAACTTGCAAAACCAGGTAGCATCAGGCCTCGCCCCCTCTAGCTGACGGTCCTGAGAGGCTCCGGGGCGGCCCTAGAGTGTCAGGTGGAAAAACACTTCCTCAGCTGCCATGGCTCCTCCAGCCCTGCAAAGCCCACAGCCGGCATCCGGGAGAGAAGCCCACGCCGGCCGGGGCACGGGCTGCTTGGGCAGAGTCCACAGGCGTCAGCATGCTCCCAGCGGACACACGCGCCCATGTGCGGGCACTGGGCGGGCCGAGGACCCAGCCGCACTCATGGGACTCAAGCCAGGGCGCCCCACAGAGAGCCGGTTGTTCTCAGCTGAGAGCGCCCACTGCTGCCGCCCCGCCCCACCCCACCAGCTCCTCCTCTGCCTGACCCTGAGCCCTTGATCTGTGATCGCCATAGATAATAATAATTAGCCGCAGAGAGGTAAGTGAGAACGTACCAAGCAGGCGACTGGCCGAAGGGGCCAAAGGCACAAACTTGCAGCCGCCGGACAGGTTTGCCCTGGGCATCCGTGGGACTGTCACTAACAGGGTCGCCTGTCTGAAAGCCACAGAGCCCTCATGCCGAGGAACAGCCTCCAGAGCCTCGTGGGGACCGGCGTGAGTGGGCTGGGCGGGTACAAAGTGGGATCATTCCATGCACCTGAAACAACCACGGAGCGCGCAGTCCCATCTCCATTACGAAGCTTCTTACTGCCAACTACACCCCCACTCCGGAAGTTACTTATGGCCAATTATACCTCAATTAAAAAGTTTCTATGTGCACGTTCTCCAAGCTCCTCTCTGAAATCAGGCATGAACTCGTTCACTCCAGAATCCTCCCCCCTCCCTGCCTGAGGTCCCAGGGGAAAGGTCACCCTCAAGGTCACGGCAGCGCTGGTCGAGGTGCTGCGGGCTGCCGGCTGCCTGGGCCCGGCCCTCACCTCCCACGCCGATGGCAGGAGCCCTTCGCTGGACACAGACCCGCCCCCGCCATGCAGGGGAGGTTGTGGGGTTGGGGGGTATACGGGCCCCGGGTCTTGTGCCTCAGAGATAATCCTGACTCTCCAGGGGCCTTGGGGCACCACGGCCATCAGAGAGGGAGACCCGTGGGGCCACGAGGGAGGACGCAGAAGCCAGAGTGCAAGGTTGGAAGTCCGGTGTGGGAGCCCCGGGAACTGGAAATGGTTCTCCCCTGGGACACTGAGCAGGCCCGATGCTCAACTCCAGCCCAGAGACCCGCCCCGGGCTTGGGAGGAGCCCGCGTGCTGTGCTGAGACACGGTGTGTGGGTGTGTGTGGGTGTGTGCACGTGTGTGTACGTGTGTGTATACGTGTGTGTACATGAGGATGTGTTGTTGTATATGAGTGCATGTTGCTCCTACCTGTTGCAACCCTTTATCACAAGCTACGGCAGGAAGAGCACTGGAGTACGAGTCCACACCAGCCTGGCTGCCTGAGACTGGCCAGGAGCCATCTCCCGTCTCCGGGCCTCGGATCTGCTCTGAGCTCGGAGGGATGTGGGTGGCGTCAACACCTCCCAACAGGCCTTGGTAGAAGCTGCTGTCACGGCAGTAGGTGCTGACAAACTGGCCTCCCCGTCTCTCTCTCCTGCAGTCTCAGCAGGTGCCCACCTGGGACCCGCTCACTGGCCCCACCTTGCCCCAGGATAAGCCACAGGAGGGCGCTCTCAAGGCTTTCCCAGGGGAGGGAAGAGGGCAGGGACGCGGTGACTACTGTTTGGTTGGGGGCCGCACCCCTCCAGGTGTGGGGGCTGCTCCTGGCTCAGTGCTCAGGGTTTGCTCCTGCGGTTCCTCAGTCCCAGGCACGTGGCAGACGCCTGCCGTGAGCCAGACTGGCCGGACTTAAAGGGAGCGGAGAGGCGGGTGTGGGGGGAGTTGGGGAGATTAAGGCAGAAGGTCAGATCAGGACAGAGGCGAGCCGGAGGAGGAGGCGCTGGGAGGGGCAGGCCCGAAGGATACGGGGGGCCTGGCCGGGAGAGGCACTGGGGCAGCCGGATCCCTGAGGGCCCTGGCGGCCCTGAAATGGCCCCAGGAAGAGCCGGACCTTCCGGGGGAGCCCCTGCATCTCAGGTACTCCCGGCAAGGCACCGGGCCTGTCCACTGGGCGACCCCTGGACTTGTGGGGTCGCAGGCAGTGCCCCCAGGCAGTGGTGGGGCCCTGGGCCCACACCTGGTCGCACTGGAGTCAGGGTCTGGAGACGCCCAAGCCAGCCGCCAGGGGACCCGGGCCGAGCCAAGCCGTCCCCTTTGGGAGCCAAGACTCCAAAGCCAAGACTTTATTTCCTTAATGAAGTAAAGACAGACCAGACGAGGCAGAGAGAACACTGCTGTCCTCGGCCGGCCACTGGGGAGTGACAAGGACACACAGCAGGGTGGCGAGGGCCGCCCCGTGGAAGGGGCCTGCCGGCTCCCTGGCTTCTCCCAGATTTCACAAACAAGGAAACTGAGGCTCAGAGGCACTCAGTCGCCTGCCCTGACCCTCAACCAGGGATCGGGGGGGGGGGGGGGGGGGGGGGAACACGGCAATCCCAGCTGCCGCCTCCAGGATGTCCTCCTGGCTCAAGACGGGCTTCTCCTCCGTCAGCATCTGTCTGGAGCCCGGGTCGGCTCCAAGCTGCTCCAGCTCTTCCTCCGGCCGCTCCACCTGGGCAGCTCCAGGGACTCCGCCCGGCCCAGCGGCCCCCTGGGTGCAGGACCCAGAGGCGCTCCCGGCCCGGCGGGGAGCCCAGCAGGAGCCGCCTGTCCCGGCCTCGGTCTCGGCCTCGGCCTCGGAGGGGGCCGTGCGCTGCCCGGGGCAGAGCTGCTGCTGCCGCCGCGGCTGCTCCCGCCTGCAGTCTGGCTGATGGAAAGATTATGCCTAAGCCCGCCCCTCCCCCGCCCTGGCAGGACCACACCGGCCGTCCCCGGGGACTCGGCGCAGAGCCCTGGCTGGTGGCTGCCGCAGGACAGCTGTCCGGCTGGCTAGGGCATGGCCCCGGCAGACCCTCCCCTGTCCGGGGAGAAAGGTGGGTCCTCTTAAGAGCCCCACCCCGCTCCCCCGGGGCTGCCCTGCAGCCCTGGGGGAAGCGCTGCAGAGTGAAGGGACTTGGGGCGCGGCGGAGACGAGTGAAGGAAGGTGGGGAGGTGACACCGAGAGCAGGGGACCTCCCCCTGCTCAGCTCTCTGCAAACCCGTCTCCTCCCAGGCCGCCCGGGACGCCGCTGCCTCGCTCAGACACAGCTGCAGGGGGTGCCCTGAGTCAGACGGGTGAGTTCAACTTGGGGAGGAAGTTAGGAGCACTGCAGCCGTGGGGAGCTCGGACCCTGCTCCAGTCGGGCGCTGTTTGGGGGGAGCAGGCTGGGGGGCTGGGGAGGCCGACAGCAGGTTGCAGAGGGAGGCTTCCTGCGGGACGCCAGGCAGGGCTGTCGGCAGCCTGAGCCCGCCGAGCCCCAGACCCACCTGGACAAGGCGCTTTGGCTCTCAGGCCGCGGGATCTGCACCCGGCAGAGGGGGCGGCGTGGGCAGGGCGGCGGCTTGCAGGCTGTCCTCCTCTCTGCAGGCCGCTGGCCTGGACCTCTGCCGTGGACAAAGTTATCCGGTGAGTGGAGCCCGGCGTGTAGAGTGGGAGCGAAGGGGTCGCCGGCTGACACGCTCCTCCGTCTCTGCCCGCTGGAGTCCGGCTCGCTCCAGACTCAGGCGAACTTTTATTTCTCCTCGGTGCCGGGTTTTCCTCCTGGCTGGAGAGATCGTGGAGGGCGAGGTTATGAGTGCTCTGGGAACCAGGCCGGGAGCGTGGAGTGGGGGGCGGGGAGGTTGGCAGGGAAAAGAGAGAGATGGGTTTGTTTTGTTGGTTTGTTTGTTTGTGCTTTTTAATTGATTGCACGGGCGGAATCCAAAGCCCTAGTGTAAGTCCAGAAGAGCCCGACTTATTAGGAAGCCCGGGTCTAAACCGGCGAGTTTCAGAACAGAAGCTGCAGGAGAAGCCCCTGCACGCTGCAGATCATCACGTGGTCCAGGCCCAGAGACGGGGAGTAACTGGCTCAAGGTCACACAGGAGCAAGGGCTGAAGCGAGTGTCCTGTGAACGCAGAGCAGCGCTGCCCTGCTACCCCCCCCCCAGAGAAAAGCAGGCAGGAGGGAGGAGAGACAGTGGGGGCCCTCTCCAGACAGGAGACAAGGCCACTCTCCCCCACTCACATAACTGGCCGCCCCGGAGTTCCCCCAGGCCAGGCGCTTGCTGAGTCCAGGCAGGTCTTTGACCTGGCCGTGCCTCAGTTTCCCCGCTGTGTCATGGCGATGGCTGGCCTGCCTCCTGGAATTGTGGAGTAGTTCATCAGAGGCACGCAGGAAGCGCCCAGAAACATCCCCGATACATAGTTGCTGTGTGTGGGTGCATGTCACCCTGGGCGTCCCCCCACACCCTGGGCAGTGTCCAGCGGGGACCCCCGGGCCTCTAGGTGGGGAGGACGCAGGGGCTGACCGGCTCTGGGCCGACCCCCTCGGCCGCCGGTGCCACCGTGTGATTCTCTCCTAGGGGGTCGCGCTGCGCCCTGGAGCCCTGACGGCCGCCGGCGGGGGTCCCGCGTCCCGCGGCTCCGATGAGTCCAGGCACGCGGGGGGCCGGACGGGAGCCGGAGAGCGTGGGGTCCCCTCTCGGGCCATGCCGGCGCCCCCCGGAGACGGAGCCGGAGCCGGAGCCGGGGCCCCGCGCCCCGCGCCCCGCAGCCCGCCCCGCGCGCCGTCCCCGCGCGCCCCGGACCCGCCCGCCAAGGGCCGCTACTACGGGCGCGCGCGGCGCGTGAGCGGCCCCGACGCCCGGGCCGACCCGCGGGAGGAGCTGCTGGTCAACGTGGGCGGCCGCCGCTACCTGCTGCCCTGGAGCGCGCTGGACGCCGCCCCGCGCTGCCGCCTGGCCCGGCTCCGCGGCTGCCGCAGCCCGGCCGAGCGCGCGCGCCTCTGCGACGACTTCGACGAGCGCACCGGCGAGTTCTTCTTCGACCGCAGCCCCCGCGCCTTCGGGATGGTGGTCAGCTTCCTGGCGGCCGGCCGGCTGGCCCTGCTGCAGGACGCGTGCGCGCTGTCCCTGCGCGACGAGCTGGCCTACTGGGGCCTGGAGCCCGCGCTCCTGGACGGCTGCTGCCGGCGCCGCCTGCGCGCCAAGCTGGACGAGCTGGCCGAGCTGGGGCGCGCCGACGCGCTGCGGGGCCGGACGGAGCCCGGCGGGACCCCCGCGCCCCCCTCGCGCTGGGGCCGCTGCATGAGCCGCCTGCGGGAGATGGTGGAGAACCCGCAGTCCGGCCTGCCCGGGAAGGTCTTCGCGTGCCTGTCCGTCCTCTTCGTGGCCACCACGGCCGTCAGCCTGTGCGTCAGCACCATGCCCGACCTGCGGGCCGAGGAGGACAAGGTGAGTGGCCGCCGCCCCCGCCTGCACGTCTCTTTCCCCGCCAGGCCGCGCTGCCCGGGATGCCCACCGCCTGGCCTGCCCTCCTCAGTGTGTACCTTGGGTTGGAGGAGCCCCTGAGAGCCCGGGCCAGGCAGGCCCTGGGGAGAGGCGGGTGACTCCTGAGAGCTCGGGCTGGTTCTGCCCTTGGGAGAAGCGGGTGACCCCTGAGAGACGCGGGCCACCTCGGCCCTGGGGAGAGGAGGGTGACCCTTGAGAGCCATGGGCCAGCCGGTCCCTCGGGAGAAGCGGGTGACCCTTGAGAGCCGCGGGCCGGCCCAGTCCTCAGGCAAAACGGGGGACCCCTGAGAGCCACGGGCCACCCCGGCCCTCGGGAGAGCCTGGGCAGTGCCAGGGGCACTCAGCTCCCGGGGTCCTGCAGGCACACCCCCCTCTCCCCATCACTGACCATGGGCAGACAGCCTCTCTGAGCCTTGGTTTCCTCCACTGTGTGTGGGAAGGACACGTGCCAGGCAACCTCAGTGCCAGTCCCCGAGTCCCCAGCCGGGTCCTGTACCCGCATCTCCTCCCTGCCCCCACCGCTCCTCCTCCTGCTGCTGTTCCTCCTCCTCTTCCTCCTCCTCCTCCTCCTCCTCCTCCTCCATCTCCTCCTCCTCCTCCTCCTCCTCCTTCTCCTCCACCATCACCACTTCCTCTTCCTCCTTTTCCTCCTCCTCCTCCTCCTCCTCCTCCTCCTCCTCCTCCTCCACCACCACCACCACTTCCTCTTCCTCCTTTTCCTCCTCCTCCTCCTCCACCTACTCTTCCTCTTCCTCTTTTGCCTCCTCTTCATCCTCTTTCTCCTTTTCTCTCTCTCCTGCTCCTTTGCCTTGTCCTTTGTTCTCCCTTCTCCCCCGTCCCCCTCCTCATTTTTACTGGGGGGTGGGGCGCTAGGGCAGAGTCAGCCTCACCCGGTGCATCTCCCAGTTTTACTATTTCAGTTAGAGAAACTGAGGCACAAGGCACTGGGCTTCCCCCAAGCTACAGAGCAGAGGTGCTTGGGCCTCAGTTTCCCTGCGGGTTGCCGCATGCGTGAGCCTCTGCGGGCTCAGGACTGGCGCAGTCGCAGGTGAGTGGCGCCCTAAGAGCAGAAGCTCTGTGAGCTTTGGGGGAGACCCCAGGCCCGTCAGGGGGCCCGACAGTGATGAGTGATAAGAATGTGCCGCATCACCGGGTGGTGACAGAGCAGGTGACGAGGCCCTTCGTGCTGAGTGTCCCTGTGCCTGTGGCCACTCCCCGCCCCCAGCTGATTCATGCTGGGGGAGGGAGGGGGCCGAGTGCCTGCGTGTGCCTTGGCGCCTGCCTCTGTCCCTTCCGGGGGCTGAGAGCCAGGGCAGGGGCCACACACTTGCCTCGCAAGCCTCCGACCCTGGTTCCATGCCCCCAAGCACTGCCTGGAGTGAGCCCTGAGCACAGAGCTGGGAGTAGCTGCACATATCGCTGGGCATGGCCCAAATGCCACCCCCCAAAAATATCCTGGGCCAGGTGGTAGGAACAAGGTAGAGCACTTGCCTTGCACGCAGCCGGCCTGGGTTCGATCCTCGGCTCCCCTTGTGATGCTAAGCTCTGCCAGGAGTGATTCCAAAAGAGTGTAGTGACAGGAGTCATCCCTGAGCACTGCCGGGTGCGCCCCAACACCCGCCCTCTTAAAAAAAAAAAGATCCTGAGAAAAAAGCCCTCATTGCCCCTCGCAGAGGGGGTGTTAGGAAGTACTTGTGGGCCAGAGGGCTCGGCCCAAGACCTGAGTGTGGGATCCGTCTCCAAGAGGTCTTGGTCCGATTCCTGGCACTGCATGCTCCCCTGAGCACTGCAGGAACCGCGTTCCGAGTGCAGAGCACCGAGGGGGCCCAAGCACCGCCAGGTGTGGCCTCCAAATAAAATGAGCATCTGTGCATAAAACAGACCTTGTCTGGCCTGTAAATGTTTTGTCATGGAGCAAATTGAGCAAAACATTTGGATCTCCAAACCAGCATTTCCCCCGCAGAGGACAACGCTCCAGGGCCGGCATCTCTCTCTTAATTTATTTCAGATTTCACTCTTTAATTTGCAACCTTTAGGGACAGTTTATGCAGGACTCAGGCTTTTTTTAAATTTATTTATTCTTTAGCACAAAATCATGTGATGTGAGAGTCTGCCTTTCATAGGAATATTTATGTGTGAGACTGAGGTAAAAAGCCTGGGAGAGGGACTGGAGAGATAGCACAGCAGTTAGGGCGTTTGTCTTTCACGAAGCCGACCCGGGTTCGATTCCCAGCATCTCATATGGTCCCCTGAGCACTGCCAGGAGTAACTCCTGAGTGCAGAGCCAGGAGCAACTCCTGTGCATTGCCAGGTGTGACCCAGAAAGAAAAATAAAAGAAAAAGAAAAAAAAAAAGCCTGGGAGAAAGGAGAGGGGCCTGTGTCCCTTAGCCCATGGCCGGGCAGGCAGGCCCAGGAAGCCACAGCCTGTTCCCCTGGGGGTCTCTGGGGACCCAGCAGTAGCTTGTGGGGACGTGGCCTTTTCCAAGCCCAACGCCCTGGGAGTTATGGAGACCACGGGCCCGGGCTTGGCCTCGGGGTGCTCTGGAAGCCCACACATGAGGTTTTTGGGGGGAACAGCACCCCCACCCAGCACCCCTGTGCCCTGGCCACCCCTTCTCCCGGGGTCAGTGCCTTTGGCCCCATCCCCAGTGGCCCCGATGGCAGTGCGGCCCGGTGGCTGCAGGGACCGGGGGCTGCCGTGGAGAGGGGCACCCCTGGGCCCTGGCACCCGCCTTGGATGGATAAGCACCCACCCCAGGGGGCTGCGGGAGGCCTGAATTTCTCCATCAGTCCCCGCTGAGGTGGGGGCTGAGGGTCAGGGGGTCTGCGGCTCTGTGCCCGAAAAGAAGGAGGGAGAGGTGGGGGGTATGGAAAGGGCCCAGTCAATGACTGCAGCTCTGGAAGAAGCTTCCAGAAGCTTCCAGACTTTGCTGGATTTCTCGGGGGCTCACGCCCACTAGCCCTCCTCATGAGGCTGCATTTGACAGGCATGGGGTGTGGGCACGGCACCCGAGTTACCCACGACACAGCTGAGATCAGGTGACCTGGGTCACCCCGAGCTCACCCACCCTGGCCCCAGGAAGTGTTTCCCAGACTGGGCCCCTGCAGAAGGTAGAGTCCCGCAGGCCTGAGTGAGTCCCCTCCTGAGCGGGGGGCAGTAGGCAGGGCTCTCGAGACCCTCCCGCGTGTGCGGTCCCCTCTGCCAGGTCTGGGGAGCGGCCCGTCCCCCGTGAGCCCAGTTCCTCCCTCTGACCGTGGGCTGCTGTCCCTGCGGCCTTTCCTTGGGGCTGGGCTCAGTGGAGGGAGCTGCCTGAACGCACTGGGCAGGATGGGCGCCAGGATCCAGCCAGAGTGACCTCCAGCCCCCCCAAGAGTCCCCCCGAGCAGACAGCCATGAGAGCCCTTGAGGCTTTGTGGGTGTAGAGGCAGAGCCCAGGTCCGGGGCACGCGCCCGCGTCCCCTCCTGCACGCTCACTCAGGCCACCGCTTCCAGCCTCATCCTCCCCGCTGCCCGTCACTGCTGGGTGACACGCCAGCACCTTCTTGGAGCCCGACGGGCCACAGAATCAGCTCTCAGCACCCGCCCTGCTGCTAGGATCCCAGGACCTTGCGGGCACCCGCACCGTCCTGCCTGCAGGGGGCGCCAGGACACGGGCTGTGGGAACCACCAAGTCACAGCCTCAGGGTAGCAGCAGTTGAGGGTTCCCCCAGAGCGCCACCCTCTGACCCCGAAGTCACCAGGTGGCGGTGGAAGGGGGGCCCTGGGCTCCCCTCCGCCTCCTTCCCACGCACCACGACCCTCATTTCGTGGCCATCCTGTCCACTGTGCCCACGGGCTGCGGGTACAGCTGGGGACCACGGCCCCCAAAGAGAGTCACCCCCCCAGAGAAGGTCGCCCCACTCCCGGGCAGCCCCTAGCAAGGGCCCCCAGCCCCAGGTCCCCGCCAGGCACGGCCTTTCCCTGCCCCCCTTCCCAGGGGCTCCTCAGGTCACGGGCTGAGTGTGACAGCGCCCATGTGTTGGGGTGTCCCTGGAGCCTTGTTGCGGGTGTGCAAGCGTGGACTGTGGCTCTGCTGCAGCACGTGTTTCAGCGTGGACTGGAGCATGTGTGATAGCGTGTAGTGTAGCGTGTGCTGTAGTATGTCCTGGAGTGCGGTGCTCCCCCCCCCCCCCCCCCCCCCGTCTCTCCAAACGTGATTCCCTCGCATGGCCGCATCGCGCTGTGGGCAGGGGGTCCGCACTGCTGTGGCTCTGGTCGTGACGGGTGCAGTCACAGAGCCCGGGCCAGTTCCTGAGGGGCGCGTGGTCCCGTGCCCCCTTCCCGGGCTGCGATCTGGGGTCCCGCACCCGTGCCTGCACCGGTGCCTTTGCATCTTGCCTGTTCCGGCCGGTGTGCGGTGGCCCTGATTTCTGACTTGGGCTGGGTGGTTTTTTTTTTTTTTTAAGCTTTTCATGATGGAAAATTTTGGGCATTTACAACATCCGCAGAATAATGTAATGCGCTCCCCAGCGCCGTGACTCAGCACAGCGAGGAGCGCCGGGCTCTGCGCTCCGGGCCTCCCCGACACCCTTCCCCGGGTCACCCTCAGCCCCGTTGGCTGGGCCCCGGCCTGTGGCTCACGTCCCCACGCCAGCCTGTCCCGCTTGGTGAGTGGGTCCCCCGCGACCCACAGCCCTGCTTGAGACAGACACCCCCACTCCAGAGAGCTCCCCCTTTGCCCTCCAGGAAGCCCCCTTTCCTGGTTCGCCACCAAGGGGCTTTGCCTGCCCCTGAACGCCGGCATACTTCGGGTGGGTGGGCCACCCTGGGCAGACCTCTGGGCTCCACGGTCCATGTGGGGGTCCCAGGCTGACTCATGCTTCCGGGTGCGAGGCTGCCTACACGCACCCCTCCCAGGACAGGCTGGCTGGGAGCGCGACCCACCCACCCAGTTTGCTCAGTACCCAGCGGGCGCAGGGTCCTGGACCTCCCCAGCCTGGGATCCAGAACATTCTGCACAAAGCAGGAGGAGCTGCTCCCCTGCCTGCGGAAGGCGCCTGCAGCCCTCCCGGGGAGCAGTTCTTCCCTCTCCCTTCCTCTCCGCTGTTTCTTAGCGCCGGTGGCTCTGGGCACTCTCTTCTCTGTGTGTCCCAGAAGTTCTCTGGGACCCCAGATGGCTAGCGCGGGGGTGGGGGTGGGGGTGGGGGATAGGGGTGCTGAGCAGCAGTGCGGAGGGGGGGTGGCCGCAGGGCTGCTGCAGTGGACGATGTGCCTGGCGGCCTGGCTGCCGGAGTGCAGGACATGCTCTGAATGGCCAAGCATGGGGGGGGGGCCGACAGCCTTCCCGTCCCCAGTCACCTTCTGAAGCCTTGAGTCACGGCTTGGAAAGGTTCCCCCAGACTGCCAGAGGCACAGAGTCCCAGAACGGGAAGGGGAAGGTGGCCTGGGGTCAGGAAAGCCCCCGGGCCCCATTGAGGATCTCCCAGGATGCCGGTTCCCAGGCCCCACTCCAGGGCTCTGATCTGGGGCCCAAAGTGCAAGAATCCTTGGCAGTTCCCAGCCGGAGGCCTGGGGAAGGGGGTCTTGATCCGCTTTGAGAAATGCTGCCGGGACACAGAGAGGACAGAGAGGGGTGCTGACCCCGGCCCTGCTCAGACTTGCGGGGCTGGAGAGTTCAGCTCCCACTGTCCTGCGCCCTCCAGGCGCCGAAGCAGCCCGGAGTCCTGAGTTCTGGGACACTGTCCTCCGTGCCCTGCCAAAGCCCGGAGGGGAGGCGAGGGCCCGTTGCAGCCGAGGCCCCAGACGTTCTGTGCAGCTCCTGCCTGCAGGGGGCAGCACCCGCTCCCTGGCACAGGGGTCTTGTCCTCCAGCCACTTGTTACAAGCCCTGGAGGGAGGCCAAGGAACAGCAGGCCAGTGGGGTCTGGGCTTGGCCGTGGCCCTCCTCCTCAGCAACCCCCCCCCCACTCTGTGGGAGCCAGAGAGTAGCGGTGGGGGGAACGGCTGGGCCCCGGCAGCAGAGAGATGAGTGTGGACAGGCTTTCCCGGCTGCAGCGGCCAGGCAGAAAGGACCTTGTGATCTGGAGCCCGGCCACCAGAAGTAATTTATTTTTCTACTTCAGAGCACCTAAATGCAAAGAAAACCACAGTGTCCGCACCTTGCTCTTCACGCAGCGACTGGCTCGGCCCTTGTCCGCTCGGCTGCCACGCACACGCATGCATGTCTCACTGTGCTCCGTGCGCAGAAACGTGTGGAGACCGTCAGGGCACAGATTCAGACACGGACACCCCGCCGTGCAGTGGTCAGAGTCAGGCTGTCAGCCCCCTGTTGGAATTAACTGACTGGGTTCTGGAGAATTCCAGGTCTTGGCCTCAAGTTTAGCAATCAGTTAAATCAGAATCTTGGGGCCCCGGCCTGGATGGGGGGGTTTTCAAGGCAACCCCCCTACCTAGTGAATCAAAGATTGGGTAGAGAACTGGATGGATGGCGGGGAGTGGACAGAGGGATGGGTGGGTGGATGGATGGGAGGGTGGGTGGGTGTGTGGTGGAGGGATGGGTGGATGGATGGGAGGGTGAGTGGGTGGATGGGAGGGTGGTGGCTGGTGGATGGATAGATGGGTGGGTGGGTGGATGGGAGGGTGGGTGGGTGGTGGAGGGATGGGTGGCTGGTGGATGAATGGATAGATGGATGGATAGATGGATGGGTGGGCGGGTGAGTGGGTGGGTGGGAGGGTGGTGGCTGGTGGATGGATAGATGGGTGGGTAGGGTGGGTGAGTGGGTGGATGGGAGGGTGGTGGCTCGTGGATGGATGGCTAGATGGGTGGGTGGGTGCACGGGTGAACAGTGGATAGACGGGCCCAGTGGGAGGGGCAGTCAGGGGACGACAGGGGACGCACAGACGCCAGAGACCAGCGTGCCCTGCGGAGGCCGTTGGCACGCGGGTCGCTGGGGCCCACCGCCCCCCCCCAGTGACGCCCGGCGCTGTGGCTCCCTTGCAGGGCGAGTGCTCCCGCAAGTGCTACTCCCTCTTCGTCGTGGAGACGGTGTGCGTGGCCTGGTTCTCGCTGGAGTTCTGCCTGCGCTTTGTGCAGGCGCGCGACAAGTGCCGGTTCTTCCAGCGCCCGCTGAACGTCATCGACATCCTGGCCATCTCGCCCTACTACGCGGCGCTGGCGGTGCCCGCGGAGCGCGCGGCGGGCGCGGGGCTGGCGCTGGAGCGCGTGGGGCTGGCGCTGCGGGTCCTGCGCGCGCTGCGCGTCCTCTACGTGATGCGCCTGGCGCGCCACTCGCTGGGGCTGCGGACGCTCGGGCTGACGGTGCGGCGCTGCGCGCGCGAGCTCGGGCTGCTGCTGCTCTTCCTGTGCGTGGCCGTCACGCTCTTCTCGCCGCTCGTGTACGTGGCCGAGCGCGAGTCCGGCCGCGCGCTGGAGTTCACCAGCATCCCCGCGGCCTACTGGTGGGCCGTCATCTCCATGACCACGGTGGGCTACGGCGACATGGTGCCGCGCAGCGTGCCGGGCCAGGTCGTGGCGCTGAGCAGCATCCTCAGCGGCATCCTCATCATGGCCTTCCCCGCCACCTCCATCTTCCACACCTTCTCCCACTCCTACCTGGAGCTCAAGCGGGAGCAGGAGCAGCTGCAGGCGCGGCTGCGCCACCTGCAGTCGGCCGCTGAGCGCGAGCGGGCCGCGCCCGCGCCCCGCGCCCGGACCCGCACCCGCACCCGCGCCCGCGCCCGCACCCGCACCCGGACCCGGATCCGGACCCGCCTCGCCCGCCGCCGGGAACTAGCCCGCCCTGCCCTGCCCTGCCCTGCCCTGCCCGGGGAAGGGCCCGGCCAGGGGTGCAGGGGGGACCCCAGGCGCTGGGAAGGACCAGCAGGATGCGGGCCTGTGCGCAGGGGGGGACCCCAGGCAGGGAAGGGCCGGCGGCGTGCAAGGGGGACCCCAGGCGCTGGGAGGGCCCAGATGGGGGTGCAGGCCTGTGCACAGGAGAGGACCCCAGGCGGGGAAGGGCCCGGCAACGGGTGCAGGCCTGCGTGCACAGAGGGACCCCAAGCGGGGAAGGGCCTGAGTGCAGGGGGGAAGCCCAAGTGGGGAAGGGCCCCGCGGGGATGCAGGCCTGCGTGCACGGGGGACCCCAGGCGCTGGGAGGGCCCAGCACTGGTGCAGGCCTGGGCGCAGGGGGGGGGGACCCCAGGTGCTGGGAGGGCCCCGAGGCCCAGACCACAGGGGGCCGGACCCTCCTGGACCGGAGATGCTCCTGGACCCGCGATGCTCCCCGCCCACGTGAGCCGTTCTGCGGGGTCTTTCGGCCTCTGGGCAGAGGCGCTCACCGCTCAGCCGACCCCAGGCGTCCACTCTTTCCTCCAGCTGCACCCTAGGGTGGGCTTCCTGCCCCCAGAGCCCCTTCTCTGAGCTCACTCACTGTCCCCGGCCCCCCCTCCAAATGCAGCTGCTCCCCCAGAAACCTCAGCCGTGACCCGGTACCGACCTGTCGGTCCTCGGCCTGCTGGGGCACCTCGGGGCCCGTGAGAGCCTCTTTGCTGATGCAGCACTTTCCCGCGGCCGGGGCCCAGCACCCCTGGGGGCCTCACCTGTCCCCCCTCCCCCACTCAGCGGGGGCGGCTCCCGGCTGGGCCCCAGCGATAGGTCTAAACTGCATGAGCTCCGCCTCCTTCCCGCATGCTGATTGGCTCCCGTGGCGGTGACTCACTGGTTGCTAGGCGACCTCTGCGTTCCCATTGGCTGAAACCCCATGGGCGGTTTCCCCACCGTCTTGGCCCTAAGGGGGCCCAGGGGAAGCCCTTGAATGAGCCTTCAGGGAAACGTGCTCCCCGGAAGTGACGTGGGGACGCGCGGGGATTCTCCAACTCAGGGTCACCTGGACTCAACCCAGAGACTCTCTGGCGACACTCTGAGACCATCAAGTTTCAGTGCTCGGAAACCTCCAGGCAGCTCAAGAAGACAGTCTGAGGGGGTTTGGGGGGGCCTGGGCGGGGCCTCTGCAGACCTCCAGACCCCTCTCTGCTTTGAAAAGGCCCAGCGCCCCTGGGCATGGCATAGGGAGGTGCCCAGTAGCCTAACCCATTTCTCAAGGACGCCCCCACCCGGGAAGGTGGCCAGGCCCAGGTGAGCCAGGTCCAGGCCCGGCACCTGCAGCTTGGCGGGGGCGTCTCCACTGCGCCAGGGAAGAGCACCCCGCTGGGGACAGAGGCCCCCAGCTTGCTCGGATACAGAGCCACGGAGCTGGGGGCTGCGGATGCCCGTGAGGCGTGGAGTTCGTCCCCTCACCAACAGGCTGGGCAGCTGTGAGGAGGGCGAGCCCCTCTGTGCCCTCCTTGAACAGCAGCGGACGCAGGCCCAGGAGGGGCCCAAGATGACAGTCATAGCATCGGGGACAACTGAGCCAGGATGGCCTGTCCATTGCCCCGCCCTCCGGGGGCAGCAGGCTGAGCCCTGCCTGGTGAAGTGTGGAGAGCCGGAAGTGTAACCCTCCAAAGCCACCTTCCCTGCAAGGGGACAAAGCAGAGGGGACGGTGGCCTCAAGGGACCGGCTTGGGCAGTGTGGGGTCCCTGAGCTGAGATTCACCACCGCTGCTGCTGCTTCCAAAGGCTCGTGCCGCCCTGGGGCTCAGCGAAGCTTCGGGGGCCCCCCTGTAACCCATGGAAGGTATTATTTTGGCTGTGATGGGTGGGTTTGGGTCACACCCGACAGTGCTCAGGGGTTACTCCTGGCTCTGCCCTCAGGACTTTCTCCTGGCGGTGCTCGGGGGACCATATGGGATGTTGGGGATCAAACCCGGGTCAGCCATGTGCAAGGCAAATGCCCTCCCCGCTGTGCTATCGCTCTGGCCCCCACATTAAACAGTTTTAAGTGACCTTGTGGCTTCCCTGGTGTTGGGGGGGGGTAGGTCCTGCCAAGGGGCAGGGGGAGGAGGTGGGGGAGGGTCCCCTGGGCAGGGGTTGGCGGGGATCAGAGGTCACTCACGGAGCACTTGGGGGCCGTGCGGGCTTCGGGGCAGCATCTCTGTCCCTCGCCAGTGACAGGAGGGCACAGGGCAGCAGGGCCGTGGGCCTGGGTGCAGGGAGAACGCCCAGTGGGGCTCGGAAGGGGGCGACAGTCACAGGACGGCAGCTGGGGCAACCCCCCCAGGGGCTCGGGCTGCGGGTGCTGGTGTCTGAGGCCCAGTACCTTGTGTCCAGGCCTGTGGGGTCACCAGAAGCCGGGCCCAAGGTCAGCGGCCTCGTGCAGGCAATCGGTGTTGGGAGGGGGCTCCCAGCAGACAGTGTGGGGGTGAGGAGGGGGACAGGGCCCGGGGCTAGGTGGGGACGGAAAGGTGTCCTGAGTTTCTAGCGCAAGTGCCCTTTGCTCTCACCCCCGGCCCCATCACAGGCCCATCAGGTGCCCTCTAGTACTTCCTAGAACCTTCCACCTTCCATCAGGAATGCATCAGCCCCGAGTGCGAGGAACCCTCCGGACGGGGAGACCAGCCCACTCTCGGGACTGAGACCCGGATGGAGCTCGGGTGTGGCCTAGTCCAGGCGCTCTGAGTAAGCTCAGGCTCTGCAGCTTCCTGCCGCCTCCCCGGACTGTCGACCCCTGAACAAGCGCCACCTTCACACCCTCCGCCAAGCCCACTGCTGCCGGAGCCCTGGGCTGCCAGGACCCAGCCTGGGAGGGGGTTCTGGTGGGCTCTAAGGGGTCCTGGGCACTGCTGGGCTTCTGGACCATGAGGGTGTCTGACAGCGCTGGCCGCCCTGCCCCACCTGCCGCTCTCAGACCTCCAGGGTCCACGTGGCCCTTTCTCAGGAGGGGGCTGAGACCCCATTTTACAGACCAAAGAAACTGAGGCAGGGGGTCCAGGGAACATCCTGATGGTTCAGTCCCTGTTTCTCCTTCTTACCCTTTTAGAAGAAGCCCCTACACAGGCCCTGACCACCCCCAGACTGTTTGGGGGTCTCACAAAAGGGAGGTGAACATGGACTTCTCTAGGGACGGGGCTGGAGCTCGTGGGGCTTGTCTGCCCATCAGAGTTCACCCCCGCCATGCCGGCGCTCGGGGTCAGTCCTGGCAGTGCTGGGTTGGACACTGGGGTCTTGGGCGATGTGGTGCCCTGGACATGCCAGGGGTCAGCCCGGCCGACAGATGGCCTGCCTCCACCCTGGCCCTGAGCCCTGCGGGGAAACTGAGGTGTGGGAAGGGGAGGAGTCAAACCCACGCTTCTGATTGGGCGGTGCTCAAGGCTCCCTCCTCCCGGCGCCGTGCTCAGGGTCCCATGGCCGAGCCTGGAGGGCCGCGCGCAGAGCAAGCGCCTGCCCTTCCCTGGAGCTCTCTCTGGCTCCACTGAGCTTCTGCTCCGGTGAAAGCACACGGGGGGTGCACAGGGCTCCCCGGGGCTGGGGGCTGTAGGAGGGGCTGTGGAGGGATGGGAGGGCGGCCTGGAGGCAGCGGCTTTAGCCGAGTCCAGGGCTGCAAAGGCCGAGTTGGCACAGCAGTGAACAGCACCCACGTATCGCTGACTCGGTGGCCTGGGCTGGGCCCCTGGGTGGGGGGCCCGGGGTGGGAGGCCCGGGGTTTAGCGGGCCTCCGGGCAGTAGTGCCGCCTTCAGCAACATGTTTACCCAGTGATTATGTGACTAATGTGCGCCAACAGGCTCGTTGCACAAAACTGCAGCTGGGCGTGCTGGTGCCTTCCTGGCCCAGACCCGAGTCTGCGTGCAGTACACAGGGTCAATCAACTTCAGTGATCTCTGGGGGAAACAGCGGTTAACAAATGGGCTAATTAGCAGCCTTCTGCGTTTTAAAGATCCTCAGCATCCCTGGAAAATACCACCCAGAGAAACGAGTATTTCAAAGCTGGTCTGAGGAACTTTTACTTAATAAAAGGTTAGGGGGGGGGGGTATGGGGAACCCACGGAGCAGTGAACACGCGGCTGTCGTTGTCAGCTAGAGAGCGCGGCGCCCGCCACACCAGCTGTCCCTGCCAGCCAGAGAGCGCGTGGGACCCAAGGCCTGGCACGCTGCCGCCCGGGTCCAATCCCCGGCCCCTCCCCGAGCTGCCTCTGACCCTCCAAAGCCGACACAGAAGCGCCAGAAAAGCTGCTTTATTGAAGCGGCCTCAGAGGCGCCCCTGCCCGCCCCTGCCCGCCCCCCCGGTCCCCCGGGCTCCTCCTCGTCAGTTCCTGAATTTGCCCACCAGTGGCTTCGGCATCCAGGAGCCCAGGCCCTGCTGGTCCAGCAGGAGAGACAGCTGCCGGCGAGCCTCCTGGTAGGGCCCCTCCTAGGGCAGAGGCAGGGCTGGAGAGGGCGCGGGGGGGGGGGGGGGGGGAGGTGTAGGGGGGAGTGGGTGCAGGGCGGGAGCTCGCAGCGGGGAGTGGGTGCTGGCAGGCACAGACCTTGGCTGCCTCGTAGGTCTTCAGGGCGAGCAGGTGGGGCCTGCCCAGGGCGCGGGCCGTCTGGCGGAAGGCGTGGAGGAAGGCCGCCTTGCAGAGGCGGGACGGGGGCCCCAGCGCCCCACTGAGTGGAGAGCAAAGGTTCAGGGGTGAGCGGGGACAGGTGTCCAGGCCCTCCTCCCCCCAGGGGGCTTGGGAGGGGGCAGTCACAGCGCTGCAGGGGAGGTAGGGGCCAGACACCCCCCCCGCCCCCCTCCGCAGGCAGGGGGCCGCTCCTCACTTGGCCTTCACGCGGCCAGTGCTCACGTCCACGACCTCCACGTCGGGGTCCCCCAGGCTCCAGTTGAGGCTCAGGCCTTGGCAGCTGGGGGGCACGGGCTCGGAGGGGGCCACGGGGGGCCCGGCAAAGAGATGCAGCGTGGTGCGTGTGTAAGGGGGGGGCAGGCTGGGCCCCAGCGCCCCGTCCAGGCAGGGCCGGCTGTGGATGGCCCTGTCCAGCGTGGGGGCGTCGTGGCAGGGGTCGGCTGCAGGGCACAGGAGCCAGGTCACCTCCCCCCTCCGCTACCCCCCCGCCCGGTGCCCTCCCCCACCCCTCCCCTCCCGTCGTCCTCACCCAGAACCAGGCTGGTGGCATAGATCGGCGGCAGGAAGTGGGCCAGCAGGGCGCCGCCCAGGCCCAGCACCGCCCAGCGGGCCAGCTTGTCACTGGCCGAGAGGCAGCCCACGTGGGTGTCACGCAGCGCGGGCGCCAGGTAGCACACGGGCCGCAGCTCCCCACGCACGTGGGCCTGCAGGCGCAGGGCGGGGCTGTGCGGCAGGCTGGGGGCGGGAGGGAGGGCGGTCAGGGGCGCCCAGGGACCCCCACACCTGAGCCCGGCCGCCCCCCAGGGGCAGGCCACCCACCAGATGTCGTGGGCCGCTCCCTGGGGGGTGTTGCTGGTGTAGAGGTGCAGGAAGATGCGTGGCTTGAGGACGAAGGGGGGCCCGGGCCCCAGCTGCAGGGCCAGCACTGACCGCTCCTTCCCCTCGGGGCCCCCGTGTGCTGCCAGCAGGAGCTGCCGGTACAGGAACCTGGGACGCGGGGGGATGCTAGGGACCCTCCTGCGTGGGGGAGGGGGGAGGGGGCTCACCCGGCCCCGCCCGCCTCACCTCAGCAGGGCCCGCCGGGCCACCACCAGCCCGTGGCTGTCGTGGAGCTGCCGGCCCGAGAACTCCAGCCAGCCGCTACAGCTGCCGTCACCCGTGCCCAGGGCCACCAGCTCGTAGGTCTCCTTGGCGTGGGCCCTGGCGCCCGGGACCTCTGCGAGTCAGAGGCAGGGTGGGCAGAGCTAGGCCCAGGCCCTGGCTGCCCGCCGCTGCCCATGCACAGGGGCTGGCACCACCCTACCTCTCTCCAGGATGACAGCGGCCACGGTCCCCTTGCAGGCCTGGTACGGAGAGGCGGCGGCCACCAGGCGGTCAAAGGCAGCGCTGACCACCGCTGCGCAGCGCTGCTCGTGGGTCAGTATGCTCTCTGCAGGCCAGGGGGCGGGCGGGGAGCGGTGAGGGGGGTGGGCTTCCCTAGGCTGGGCCCACCCTGTGCCCTGGGCAGCCACCGCCTACGTACCGATGCTCAGGGCGGGCTGGGGAGGCCTGCTGGGGGTCTCCGGGGGCCCTGGGAGAGGGGAGGAGCAGCTGGACACTGGGCCTGAGGAAGTTGAAACACAGGGGGGCAGGGGGGTAGCCGTGGCTCCTCCAACCCCCACGGCCACCTCTGCCCACCTTACCTGGACTCTCGGACTGTCCGCACGTGTAGCCCTCGCTGGACAGGACTACCTGCTGCTCCGTCTCCGCCTTGCTGTGGCCGAGGTCCGCCGGGCAGACCACCCCCCCCAGGTCCGAGCGCACGGATAAGGGGAAGCCGGGGTCTGGGGAAGGAAGGGCTGCGCTGTCATGGCCCCGGGGTGCTGCCCCAGGCAGGGGGCCCTCTCAGACCCCTCTGGCCCCGGTTCCCAGACCCCATTTCCAAGGCTGGCGGTGGCTGGCAAGAAAGCCCTGGGCCATGGGCGGCCCGAGGCGGCAGCTCAGCCGGCCCGGTGACCACTGCCTGGCTCGGATGGCACCGGGAGGCCGGGGGGACCTCACCTGCGAGCTGGTCCTCGTGGAACGTCAGAGAAACGCCCAGGCTGGCCGCGTACTGGGCGAACAAGCTGGTGGCCGGCTGGGACTCGTCCTGCAGCTGCAGGCCCAGGTGTCCGGCCGCCTTCGGGATGTCCCCCACGGACCCTGTGGGCGGCACGGAGACCCTCGGGCCCCTCCCCGTCTGCCCACCCATGTCTTCCCGCGCCCAGGCTGCACCCAGGTCCCCGACGCTGGCGCCCATGCGGGACCAACTGTCCCCCACCGCCAGGCCCAGCTGCCCGCCGGCCTCCCGGTCATCCGCATCCAGGCCGGGCGCGGGCCCCCAGATGCCGTGGCCCAGGCCCGCGGGGGGCCGCCGGGGGCTCACGGGCAGCGAGGCCGCCAGCCGAGGCTTCCGGGGCCCGCTGCCAGCCGAGGCCATGGCCGAGCAGGAGCCGGACAGCGGCCAGCTCGACGCCACGACGGGAGCTCGGCGCGGAGCACGTGGCCGCCTACCGCGCGTGTGGACACGCCCACCTTCCTGACCGCCAGCCAATGAGAAGCCTCGGAGCCGGGCGGGCCGTGCCGTCGGCCAATGGGAAGGGTCAGTTCCCCCGCCGCGTCGGCCCTCGCTACTGGATTGGAGGATGAGGAGGAGCATCCGCTTCCGGGGGCGGGACTTGGGGGTGGTGCAAGCGGCGTGTCTCCCAGGGCCCGGGAGGCCAGTTCCGCGCAGCGCGGGACCCGTGAGTGTGTCTCACCCCGTCCCAGCCCCTCGGGACGGAGGCCCAGCTGCTGGGAAGGTGCCCACTGCGGCTTCCCTGGGAACGCAGCAGCCTGGTCCTCCCCGCCCTTAAGAAGGGGTTTGGGGGCTGGAGCGATACCACAGCGGGTAGGGCGTTTGCCTTGCACGCGGCGGACCCGGGTTCGATGCCCAGCATCCTATACGGTCCCCTGAACACCGCCAGGAGTGACCCCTGTGCATCGCTAGGTGTGACCTAAAAAGAAAAAAAAATAGTTTGAAGCGGCTCAAGGAGGCACAGCTGGGAGTGGACGGGTAGCGCGTGGGTTAGCGCGCTGGCCTGCATTGCTCGGGCCGAGGTCCAGGTCCACCGCGTGGCGTCTGGAACAGCACAGGAAAGCCCTGAGAGCCCATGGCTAGCTTTGGGGGCGGAGGGGGGCAGGCGCCAAGGTCTGAGCAGCTGGAGGAGACCTGCCGAGGGGACCCAGATGCGTCCCTGGCGCACGCACACCAGAGTCACAGGACACACCCGGGATCGCAGCCGCCCGGGCCTCGTCCACGGGAGCAGCAGCTGGAAAGCCCTGGGGGTTCTGAAAGTGCTCCAGCAGATGCAGAGGAGAAGGAAGTGTGAAACCTGCGCCGCAGAGCCTCCAGAAAGGTCCAGGGCCCCGACTGCACCAGAGAGCCCCACGGGGTGCAGTGCCAGCCCCTGCCCCGCTTGGGGGTCCTGAAAGCACTAAGCTCTGGGGCCGGAGCAGTAGCACCGCGGGGAGGGCGTTTGCCTTGCACGCAGCCAACCCGGGTTCGATTCCCAGCATCCCATGTGGTCCCCTGAGCACCGCCAGGGGTAATTCCTGAGTGCAGAGCCAGGAGGAACCCCTGTGCATCGCCAGGCTTGACCCAAAAAGCAAAAAAAAAAAAAAAAAGGCACTAAGCACATGGGCATTTGTGACAGATGGGGAATGAATGTAAATAACCGGTCCCCGTTGTTTTTAACATATGTTCCCCTGAGTTCTTAGAGATCATCTAAAAATTTTCACTCACATTGCAAACGGTGCAGTTCCTGGTGTATCATCCGCCCCAGCCGCGGTGACGGAGTTCCCTCCACTTGTGGAAGGTCATCCCCTGACATCCCCGTGGCACCTGGTGCTGGAGCAGCCCATCCTCTGGGAACAGCGGGGGTCCACCCACTCCACCTGATACCCGACTTTTGCGCACCCACGTGGTCTGAATAGAACACGTGGTGTCATGTTAGTGCTGGAGTCGCGGGTGGGCTGCTCCGGAGCTTTGCCTCATCTCAGCACCCGGTTCCTGAGCTCATACGAAGGGGCCGTGGGGAAGCAGACACTTCTTGTGTGTGCTGGTTCATGGTGCGGCCAGTGTGTGAAAGTCATCCAAGGGATGGGTGTTCCATCATCGTGTGCCTGAAACTCAAACAGGAAAGCTTTGCAACTGCATCTCACGGAGATTCAATAAAAAAAAAAAAAGTCATCTAATGATCTCTGGGCGTGTCATACATACTTCAATGCCTAGAACTGTAGCATTGTCTTCCTGTTGTTCATCGATTTTGCTCAAGCGGGCCCAGTAACGCCTCCACTGTGACACTTGTTACTGTGTTTGGCATATCGAATACATCACGGGGAGCTTGCTAGGATTTGCTGTGCGGGCAAGATACTCTCAGTAGCTTGCCAGGCTCTCCGAGAGGGGCGAAGGAATCAAACCTGGGTCAGCTGGGCCGGCTGCATGCAAGGCAAACGCCCTACTGCTGTGCTATTGCTCCAGCCTGCTTCAACGTGAGTCTCTTTAAAAAAAGAAAAAAATATGGGACTGGAGAGATAACACAGTGGGTAGGGCGTTTGCCTTGCACGTGGCTGACCCGGGTTCGATTTCCAGCATCCCAGATGGTCCCCCGAGCACCGCCAGGAGTTATTCCCGAGTGCATGAGCCAAGAGTGATCCCTGTGCATCACCGGGTGTGACCCAAAAAGAAAAAAAAATTGGGGATAACAGATAATACAGCGCCACAGATAATACAGCACGACAGCGCCTGCCTTGCATAGAACCAATCCCAGTTTGATACCGGGCACCGCTGGTTCCCCAAGCACCAATGTGTGCAGCCCGGGGGCCCTAGGCTGGGGGGCCCCTGAGTTGGGGTGACCTGCAAACACAGCGCCTGGTTTGCAACAGGCGCTTAGCGTTTGTCAACTCGACTGGTTTCTCTCCCACAACCATCCCACGAAGTTACTTAAATTGCTTAAGCAGGGGTGGGATTTGGACCCACCTTAACTCGACACCGCCGCGCACGGAGCCGCCTCCACGGTCATTCCCTCTCCGCCCGGGAGGTGGCGCGCCCGAGCGGCCCAGAGGCCGGGCTGCGGGGCGGGACTTCCTGTCTCTGGGAGCGCACTTCCGGTCGAACCCGGAAGACCGTTGGTGGCTGCGGCGAACGCTCGTCCCGTCCCGTCCCGTGGCGGGTGGCGGAGCCGGGGCGACCGCGGGGCGCCCGCGTGGCTCCCTCGTGGCCCCCCCGTGGCGCCCTCGTGGCCCCCTCGTGGCGCCCTCGTGGCACGAGCCCCCGCGGGCGCCCCGCGAAGGTCCGTTTCCCAGACGAGCGGCGCGCGCCGGGAGGAGGCGCCGCGTGGGCGCGTGGCCGGAGGTTCTGGCGCCCCCGGGGGCCCGCGGGGGAGGGACAGTCCAGCGGGGCCCGGAGGGAGGACCGGCCGCCCCTGCGGTCACCCCACCGCCCCCCGGACCCTCGCGAGGTCCTGGTGTGTGCGCCGGACCGGCCCCCGCCGCGGGGAGGACCTCGGCCCCGGGCCCGGGACCCCAGCCCCACTCCAGGCCGGCCCCCGACCCGCCTGGGCGCGTGTTCTCGGTTCCAGGATGGACTTTCCCCGCACGCTGCAGCCCACGCTGTTCACAGCCGGCCCCCTAGGCCTGAGCGACGCCCCCAGCCTGTCCTTGACCAGCAGCTGGAAGGAAGCCCTGAGCCTGCCCGAGGCTCTGCCGCGGGACCCCAAGGTGGGAAGGGCAGGCGCTGACCGCGACAGGCGGGACGCCCCCGCCCACGCAGGGACACACGCAGACACACACAGACACGCCCATGCACGCAGGCTCCGGTGGGGGGCAGGGCCCCCTGCCAGCTTCCTGGGCCTCTGGTCCCCCTCCAGGGGAGGGCAGTGGACGTCCAGCCGTGGCAGCTGCTCCCGAGGCGCCCTTGGGGTGGGAGCTGGTGCCGGGCAGTGGGGCAGACAGGCTCACACTGCCCCAACTTGCCCTTCTCAGACTGGGGCGTCACCCTCGGCAACGCGGCTGCTCTGGGCGCCGGAGACCCCTGGGCCCCTCCCCCTGCTGCCTCCTGGGCCAGGTAAGGGTCTCGGTCCCCGCCACCCCCGGCTGCCCCTGGGCTGGGTCAGGGTCTCGGTTTCTCCCCCCTGGCTGCTCCCCGCCCCCCCATCCTCATGCCTCCATTGGGACACTGGTGCCACCGTGGCCCTCCGTGAGCTGCTCCCCCCCTCAGAGCCCTGGGACCCTGGGGTGATGGCAGTGGACCTGCTCTTCCGTGGAGGTCGCTCGTTCCGGAGGGCGCCGCGTGTCGTGTTGGATGCCACCGAGCAGGTGAGTGGCCCCACAGCTCCTGGGCAGGGAGGGCGTCGGGTGCCCCGCGTGACCTCCCCCCCATCTCCAGCTCAGCCACTTCATGTGGGACCATGGTGATGTGGCCTTTGCCCCGCTGGGGAAGCTGATGCTGGAGAACTTCAAATTGGAGGGCGCGCGGGTGAGTGAGCACTGCTGGGAGGGCACCCGAGGCAGTGAGCACTGCCGGGAGGGCGCCCGGGTGAGCGCACGCTGCTGGAGGGCCTGGGGTCGACAAGGCCTTTCCCTGCAGAGCCGCTCAAAGAGGAAGACGGTGGTCAGCGTGGAGAGGCTTCTGCAGGACCTTGGCGGATACCAGCCCTGGGGGCAAGTGCCGGTGACAGAGGCCGGACCGGGCCGGCCGGGGACTGTCTGGAAGTCCGCTTGCCCAAGGGGAAGGGGAGTCGAGCTCCGGGCTGCAGGCCGGGCTGCGTCTGGGCGCCGACTCACGTCATCAGGCTGAGCTGGCTCGTGAGTCCCGGCCAGGGGCCACGGGGTCCCGAGGCCCAGACAGGCCCAGGACGGGGGTGCTCCCGGGGCAGAGGGCCGCTGCTGTGCCCAGCCCCGGTCACAGCCGACCCTCCCGCTGTCCCGCCCCCAGCTGCCCCTGGGCCCACATGAGTCACCGGCTGCGCCGCTTCTCCATCCTGGGGGGGCCGGTGCTGGGGCACTCGGTGGCCACGCTGCTGGCCGAGCTGCTGCGGGAAGAGCTGGCGCTGCGCTGGCAGCAGCTGCTGCTGGACGACGCGGTCACGGGGGGCGCCCTGGCCTGGGTGCCCGGCCCCCTGCCCCACGCCGGGCAGCTGGTCTGCCCTGCGGGCGGCGCCCTGGACCAACTGCGTATCCTTGCGGGCGGCTGGCTGGTCCCGGTGGGGGCAGGGGGGGTGGGGCTCCCGTGTTCTCCTTAACGAGAGGCCCAGATCTGCTCGAGGTCAGCGTGAACACAGAGGGGGACCCTGAGGTACTCGGGGAGCCCAGGCGTATCCAGCTCCGGGGGCCCGTCCGGCAGGTGGCGACCCGCACGGTCCAGGGAGAACGTAAGGGCCCGGCCCCTGCCCTGCCGCCGCGACTCCTGCCCCCTCACCCCCCACAGCCCTGACCCTCGCGTCCCCTTAGCCCTGCTGGCCGTGCGCTCCGACTACCACTGCGGCCTGTGGAAGCTGGACAGGCGGGGCCGGCCGGCCGCTGTCCAGGTGCTGCAGGTCACGAAGGGCGCTACTGGGGTCAGCCTCAGGTGAGGGGTCTGCGGCCTCCTGCGAGGGGAGGGGTCTCCTGGGAGCGGGCAGGGGCTCAGCAGGCCCTCCTGTGCCGTAGCCCTCACCTGCCTGGGGAACTGGCCGTCTGCAGCCAGTCAGGAGCCGTCTGTCTCTGGAGCCCCCAGGACGGGTACGTCCCTCCGCGGGCCCCACTCCCCTGGGCCTGGCCCTGTCCCTCCCGCGGGCCCCACAGGCCCCCCACGCCCCTGGGCCTGGGCCCGCCCCTCCCCTCCCCGTGAACCCCCACACAGACCCACGCGTCTGGGCCTGGCCCCGTCTCCCCAGCCTGCGGCAGGTGTACAAGGACCCCCAGACCCTGGTGTTCCGGGACCCCTCCCCCTGGCGCTGGGCAGACTTCTCCGCCCATCCTCGGGTGCTGACCGTCGCTGACCGCACCGGGGTGAAGATCATTGACACGCAGGTGAGGGGCGGTGCAGGGGGCCTGGCAGCGGCGGGACGCGGCGGGGTGGCGGGGCACGGCCGGGGGGTGCGCTGAGGCCCGCTTGGTCTCCCCAGGGCCCCCGGGGCTGCGGCCTGCTGCTCTTCCGCGCAGGCGCAGAGGCCTCGTGCCAGAAGGGGGAGCGCATCCTCTTGGTCAAGCACCTGGGGGAGCCCGTGCACCCCACACTCCACCTCGTCTGCACCCAGGTGAGCGCCTGGCCCTGCCGGGTGTGGGGGGCAGGGAGGGGCGGGGCCCGCGCCTGGGAAGGCCGAGACCCAGGGCCTGCTTTGCCTGCCGCAGTTCTCCCTGTACCTGGTGGACGAGCGCTTGCCCCTGGTGCCCATGCTCAAGTGGACCCACGGCCTCCCCTCGGCGCCCCTGCTGGCCCACCTGCTGCCGGCGCCGGCGCCGGGCCTCCCGCACCCGCTGCTCCTGGGGAGCCAGGGCGGGCAGGTGCAGCTCCTGACCTTCACGGGTGAGGGCGGGGCCTCGGGCCGGGGGGCGGGGCCAGGATGGTGGGCGGAGCAGCAGGGGTGGGCGGGGCCAGGATTGGTGGGCGGGGTCTCCGGGTGGGCGGGGCAGGCTTGGGGGCGGGGCCGCGGCCAGGCAGCACCCCGCTGTCCATCTGCCCTTCCAGGAGACAGCGCCTCGGCCCCCCGCCTGGCCGGGCCGCCCCAGTCCCTGCCCTGCAGGAGCGATTCCCTCTCGGCCTTCCCTCTACTGGAGCCCAGCAGCCACCGGAGGCTGCAGGAGCGGCTGAGCGCCCCGACCATAGGTGAGCTGGGCCTGGGGGCGCTGCCCCCACCCCCGTCCCCGGGCTGAGGGTCACGCGGCTACCCCCCCCCAGGTCTGACCGCCATCAGTCCGCCCTCCACCGGCGCGTCCACCCCGGTCCTACTGCTGCTCCAGCTCTCCGCCGCGGGGGACGTCTTCCACCAGCGCCTCCGCCTCCGGGCAGACCCCCGGCCTCCCGGGGAGGACGCGGAGCCCGGCGCCCGCGCGCCCGCCGCCTCCTGGACCCCCGCGGCCGCGGCCTGCTGCAGCCGCTGGCTCCAGGCCCTGCTCCGGGTGCCCGCGCCGCCCCCCGCCTGGGCCGCACCCACCTTCTCGCCCCGCTGCTCGCTGCGCTGCGCCAAACTGCAGGCACCGGCCGGGCGCGTGCCCGAGGGTCTCCGCGCCGCCATGGCCGGGGGGCGGCCGCTGCAGCGGGGGGACCTGGGCCCGCCGCCGGCCGCCGAGCCGCCGCCGGCCCCCGAGCCCGGCCCCGACGACGAGCTGGCCGAGCGCCTGGAGGCGGCCTGGGACGGCCAGCTGGCCGCCTGGTGGCAGCGGCGGCTGGGCGGAGGCGCGGCGCCCGGGGCGCGGCGGCGGAGGACCAAGCGCCGCGCCGCGCTGTCCAGTACCTTCTCGTCCCTCAGCTGCCGCTCGGACCTCCCCAGCCCCCCGCGCAGCCCGGCCGCCGCGGCCCCCGACGCCCCCGATGCCCGCCCGCGGCCCCCCGCCACGCCACCCGCCCCGGAGCCCGAGCTGGGCGCCCCCGAGCCCTGGGCGCGCCGCATCCCCGCCGAGCGCCAGCGGACCCTGCGCGACTACATGGCCGAGCTGCCGCTGCGGGGGGCCGCGCCCACGCCCACGCCCACGCCGCCCTCGCAGACCCCCAGCCTTGGGGCCAGCCCCCGCCGGCCGCCGCTTCCCGGCTCCCAGGCCTCCGCCCCCGCCACCCCGGCCATCCCCAGGCCCCGCAAGCGCGCGCGCATGGGCTTCTGAGCGAGCACGGCCCCCGCCCTCCGGAGCCCACCCTCTTCGCTGGCGGGATCGCGTGGGCGCCCCGAGCCCCGGCGGCCGCGTGCTCCGGGCCCACGGAGCAAAAGTGGAATAAACTTGTGGCCCACGGTGATGAGTGGGTGTCACTGCGCGCTCTGGGGGCGGGCAGGCGGGCAAGGAGGCGCGTTGGGGGGATCCGGCCGCGGACTTGTCCAGGCCACAGGGTCCTCGGGGGCAGCAGCAGTGCTCGGGTGCGGGAGAGGACCCGCAGGGACACACGGACTCGGCAGGTGCTGAAACAAATGTAATGTGCAGAGGGGACCCCGCGGCCTGCGGGGCCCGGCCGGGCCGCGGCCCAGAACTCCACGAAGGGGCCGAGGCCGCGTGGTGCCCTGCGGGTGCCCAGGCGTCTTGGGGCTAGTCCAAGCCAAACTCGATGTCTTCCGTGGCCTGTGGGGGCCCCAGGCCTGTCTGCAGTTGCTGCTCCGAGTCAGGCCCTGCAGGGGACAGAGAAACGGGGTCGCCTGCCTTCCCCGCCTGCTGAGAACTCCCCGGACGCCTCTTCCCCAGCTGTGCCGGTGGGGTCCCTCGGCCCCTGAAGCCTGGGGTGGGAATGGTCTCCCCCAGGTGTGTCCAGTGAGGGGTGGGCTCGCCAGATGGCAGCCTCCAGCAGCAGAGCCCAGGACCCCCTGCCGAGAGCGAGGGGCGCCCCAGCCAGGGCCCCCTGGCACCCACTGCGCCCTTTCGTCCTCTGCCTCCTGCCTGCCTCACCTGCGGGCGAGGCTGGGGCAGCTCTGTCGCTGCGGCAGCTTGGGGGCGTGGGCGGGGCGCCCACAGTCCTCTCGCTGTCCAGCTCCTCGATCAGGGGCCTCGGGGGTGGGGGGTCTCCGTCCAGCTCCTCAATCAGCCGCTGCGGGACCCGGGGGGCTCTTGGGGCTCCCGCCTCCCCCACCCGGGAGCTGTCTGCGAGCAGGTTTGCAAAGGGCGTGTCCAGCGGCCTCCCCGGATCCTTGGGCGCTGCAAATATCCCGCACGGTGCATCCCCGGGCGCGTGTCCCTGGGGGTCGAAGTCCAGCTCGGCATCGCTGTCCTCACTCAGGCTGCAGAGGGCCGTGATCTTTGGGGGGCACGGGGCCTTAAGGGAATGGACAGCACATCAAGGCACTTCTGGGCGGGGTCCCTCCGGGTGCCCCTCGACCCTGCACTCTGCCAGCCGCCCCGTGAGCCCCCGAGCTTGGCGCCACCCCTGCCCCCCTGCGCTGCTGGCTATCCCCACGGAGGCTCCCTCCCTCCCTGCCTGTCCCATCAGGACCACGATGGCTCCAGTGGGGCCTGGCGCTGAGCACAGTAACGGGCAACGGAGGTCCTGGGAGCAGCCCCGGGCTGGCACAGCCGGCCCAGCCCAGCGGGCGCGGCCGCAGGAGGCATCACCTGGTCCTGGGCTTTCAGGCAGCTGTCCACACCCGTGTCCTCCAGGTCAGGGAGGTCCTGCAAGCCAGGGAGCCGAGGTGACCAAGAGGCACAACAGGGGCGCTGCCGCCGGCCCCTGAGTTGGACACAGATGAGCACACGTGTGCACATGAGCACACACACACCGCCACCAGCGCGGAGAACATATGGCTGCCCAGCCCGGGTTCCTGCAAACAGGCTACGTGACACAGAGTGGTGTCTGGGGGGCACCTGCTGGGGTGGGAGGGTCCTGGCGAGGACTTGCAGGGGCGCTCCTGCCTGGGGTGTCCCCACTGGGCAGCTCTGCCCGTTTCTCAGTGTCCCCATGGGAGGTGGGAAATCCCGGAGGCCAGACCAACCAGGCAGAGAGGACGGCGGCCCACTCTGTTCCCCAGGGCGCTTGTGCCGACACACCAGGAACCAGGTGAAGCCAACCCAGTTCAGTCCGGAACCAAAGATGGTACCCTGGCCCCAGCCAGGAGTCACTGATCCCTGAGCACAGAACAGAAGCACTACCAGGCAGGGCACCAGGTGGGGGAGGAGGGAATGGGGTTTGAGGAGGAAGCGAGCATTGGCCCGCCAGAGGCGCACACGGCTCAAGCTCAGGGAGCACCCAGTGCCCACCGTGGGGAGCACCTCCCCTTGCAGGCTGCCCAGAGCGGTGGGAATGGATTTGGGTTGGCAGAAGCAGCAGAGAAAGTGCCAGGCCAGCATCAGACCCAAGGGACGTCGGGGCAGGCGTCCAGGGGCGGGGCCTGCAGAGGCCATGAAGGAGCAGGGGTGGGGCTCGGGGCACGCCTGGCCCAGGGGCCTCAGTCAGGACTGGTGGGCCGGGTCCCCGCTCAGGGCGTGGGGGGTCCGAAGGTCTGAAGCCGTCACTCCGTGGACCCTACACAGCCGCTGTCCACCCCTCGCGCCCACTCAAGCTCACAACGCACGTACCGCGATGAAGAGCTTCTCTGCCGCGGGCCCAGCTGGCTCTGCGATGGTGGCTCTGTGGGGTCCTGTCCCCAGCACTGCCTCGGGGGCCACATTTACACTCGCCGGGTCTACAGAAGACAGTTACCAACAGGGATCGGTGGCCGGTCAGGCCCTCCCCACACCGGGAGCAGCGCGGGGACAACAAAGCCCCAGTTTGGGCGGGAGGGGGCAGGGCAGCCCGCAAGGGGCAGGCGGCTCTGGGGGACATGGCAGGAATTGGGACCAGCAGATGCCGCTGGGGGAGGTGGCCAGTGGCCCCACACTTCTCCCCACTGCACCCATGCCGCTGGCCAGTCTTAGGCCAGGGACAGCGGTGACCCAGGAGGAGGAGTTGAGGGCTGACCTGGAGCTCCTGACCGTCCCCCCTTCCCGAGATTCCCAGGGCCGCGTCCTTGGGCCCTGTGTCCTCATGGGTCTTGGGACCCAGCGGGTGTGGCGAGGCGACAGGCTGTGCCCTCGCTTTCAGCCAGGCCCCTGGACAAAGAGACAACCTTAGGGCGCAGGGGAGCACGCGGCCAGCCCCCACTTGGGTCTGCCATGCCAGTCCTGGGCACTTTCTTACCCTGCCAGGCAGCGCCAGGAGGGGCCGGGCGTCGGGCCCCACGGGGCAGCACCTCCCCAAGCTCCTGGTTCTCGGTGTCCCCCTGGACAGCCGGCGGCAGCCCCCCGACCTTCCGAGGCGGTTCCGGGAAGAGCTCGTCCTTGGCCTCAAAGCTCTCCTGCACGAAGCGCTCCATCTTCTGCCGCCGCTCCGCGTCCTCCACCACCTCCTTCTCGTCCTCCCCGTCCTCCTCCTCCTCCTCCTCTTCCTCATCGTCGTCATCGTCGTCCTCTTCCTCCTCCTCCTCTTCCTTCGCCTCCTCCTCCTGGGCAGAGGCTGTGGCGGCCTCCATGCCCTCCTGTCCCTGGTCTGAGACAAGCCCGAGGTGAGCACAGACTGGGGGGACCCAGTTACAAACGCCGCCCTGGACGCCCAGCGGTGTCCTTCCTGTGTGTGGCCACAGTCAGGAGCTCCTGCACGGCGCCGGAGGCCATGGACGAAACGGCTCTCCGCGGCAGTGAATGAGGGGAGACTGGCTGGTGGCTCCTGGCTTCAGGGGAGGGGATGGATGGAAGCCCCCCGCCGGCGTCCCAGCGGGAGAGGAAGAGGCTGCGAGCCAGGTGTCTCCCCAAAGAAAGGCCCTGCCACCCCTCTCCCTTGGCAGAGGCCCCAGTGCCACGGCCCGGGAGCCCGGAACTCGCTCGGGTGCAGGAGGCGCCTCCGGGAAGGCGAGCCCAGGCTGCCAGCGGAGGGCCCCGGGGAGCGCAGACCCCGGCCCACCGTGCCCAGCCTCCTGCTCCGCCTTCTGCCTCCTGCGCTCCTCCGCGCGCCGCTTGATCAGGGCCAGGGCCTCCAGGCTGTCCGTGATCTTCTTGCGCTCACGGTGCTCCCACTGCTGCCGCTCCTCCCGCTCGGCCTCCAGGCCGCCCCGGGCCCAGGCCTCAGCACAGGCCCTGAGGGGCAGGGGAGGAAAGCGCTGGTGAGGGGAGTGTGCCTGTGTGTGCGGTATGTCTGAGTGTGCGTGTGTGCTTGAGTATGTGTGTGTGTGTAGCGTGCGTGTGTGTGTGTGTGTGTGTGTGTTTGAGAGCGTGACTGTGTGTTTGTATGTCTGTGTATAGAGGGCGCCCCCTTTTCGTGGACCAAAGACACGAAGAGCAGGTCCTCTGCGCTCAGACTGGCTCACTCCCCCCAGAGAACACAGGCCGGGCCCCCAAGTCACGTGGGGCGCAGGCAGGAGAGGCAGACTCCTGCGTCCAGTCATGTGCAAAGGCCGCTCGGGGGGCCTCCAGTGTAGGCAGTGAGGCGGCAAGGGGCCTAGGGGTGGGGCTCACGGTGGGCCCCAAGATCGTAGTGCAGGAGTTGAGCCCATCGGAATGAAGGGAGGGGGTCCGGGAGAGCTGACGGGAGTATTTGTTGGTCTGATTCCAATTTGAGGATTCAAAAATACAGAACAGTTCCTGGTGCCACACAGGAAACACACACACACACACACACACATGCACCCATGCACACACGCATGCACGCAAACACACACACACACACACACACACACACACACACACACACACACTTCAACCATTCAGTCTGCTTCCCTGAGGCTTTAACCAACTAGACTGAATAGACAGGACCCAATTCAGAGGCAAATTGAAAACCCAGATCAAAGCTGTGCCCAGGGACCAGTGGCACTGCAGGTCAAGCAGCCTGAGCCCTGGGACCTCGCCAGTGGCTGGAGTCTTGCCAGGGCGGGCCAGGGCTCCCTGAGCAGCCTCTGGAAAGCCCCTCGGGCTCCCCGACAGAGCAGGGCTGGCGGGCAGGCCTCCCGGGCTGTGTGTTCTAGGAACAGCAGCTCCAAACCCAGGGTGGGATCTGCTAAGGAAAAAGGCAGACGGGGCCGGGTGGCAGCACAGCGGGGAGGGTGTGGCCTTGCGTACGCCGACCGGGTTTCAATCCCGGCATCCCGTACGGGCCCCAAGAGGGAGGGGAGTAATTCCTGAGTGCAGAGCCAGGAGTGGGTCGTGAGCACACCAGGTGCGCCCCCCACCCCGCCCCTCCAAAGGAAAAACAGACCTGGGCACTCTTTTCTTTTTTCTCCTTTTTGGGTCACACCAGTGATGCTCAGAGGTCACTCCTGGTGGTGCTTGGGAGACCAGATGGGATGTTGGGGATTGAACTCAAGTAGGCTGGGTGCAAGGCAAATGTCCCTACCCCTAACTGGACACTCTTTTTTTTTCTGCTTTTGGGGTCGTATACTCAGCGATGCACAGGGGTAACTCCTGGCTCTGCATTCAGGAATTACTCCTGGCAGTGCTCAGGGGATCATATGGGATGCTGGGAATTGAACCTGGGTCGTCCATGTGCAATGCCCTCCCTGCTGTGCTATCTCTCCTGCCCCTGGACACTCTTGAAGGGAGGAAAAGTGTCCCACTGGCATAGCAGGGTCTGGCCTGGCCCGGCTGCCAGGTGCACTCCTGTCCGACGAGCCGCAGTTTCCCTTACAGGATTATGACCAGCAGCGTCCTCACTGGTTAGGAACGTTCCAGAAAACAAACCAGAAATGACCTGGTGTGCCTTTGCCTAAGTAGCATCTTCAGCCAGCAGGCAGGTGCTAAGGAAGTGTCCGGGGGTGTGGGTGGGGCGGGCATGCTCCCCCTGCGCCCACACGCTCGGACACCAGGGAGCCGCGAGGCCACCTATGAAGGACAGCGTCCCCGCGTCGCCGGCAGGCTCTGATGCCAGCACCTGGGCAGGAGGCCGGGGTGGCCGAGCCCTTCCTCACCTGTCCTTGGGGAAGACGGGCCTGTCGTCCAGGTAGGTGAGCTGTCGCAGACGCACCGTCACCGTCTTGCGGTAGGAGGGGATGTTGCGGATCACGGGGTTCCCCATCAGGTTCAGCACCCGCTGCAGGCAAGGGGCCGAGCGTGTCCCTCCACACCGCCCGGACACCAGGGGGCAGGGCCCACAAGCCCCCGCCCAGACGAGGGGCCACGGGGAGGCGGTGGCCCGCAGCAAGGAGGAGCCGGGGCCTGAACCCCCTGGGCTCTCAGGTCTCTGTCCCCCAGGACAGCCTCAGGAGGGGACGGAGGGTCCAGCCCCTGGTGCCTCCTGCCTGTCACCTCCCCAGGAGCTGGCCCTGGAACCCCACTGCCCAGCTGCCTTGCTCGTTGAGACTCGCTCAGGCTCCTGTGCCCGTGTGGGTTTCGGGGGACAGACACAATCAGGTGCAGTCCTGGGGGGCAACTGTCCTGGGTGGGACGAGGGGTGCACCCCCCCGGAGTGTCAGGCTCCTTAGAGGGTGTTTTTTTTTCTTTTTGGGTCACACCCAGCAATGCACAGGAGTTACTCCTGGTTCATGCACTCAGGAATTACTCCTGGCGGTGCGTGGGGGACCCTATGGGATGCTGGGAATCGAACCCTGGTCGGCTGCATGCAAGGCAAACGCCCTCCCTGCTGTGCTATCGCTCCAGCCCCTCCCTGGAGTTTCTGACAGGGATTTCAGAGGTGGGAGCAGAGATGGAGAGACGCGACCCTCCCACTGCTCTGCGTGCCAGCGGCCTTGAGGGACGCTGGCCGGGACAGCGGGGACGGGCGGGACGAAGCCCTCCACCTGCCGGGGCTCTGTGCGACTCGCCCGCCCCGGCCGTGCCCCCGGCCACGTTACCAGGTCGGGCACCAGCTCGAGCACGCTCAGGATGTCGGGGTCCCCCAGCCTGTTGTGCGACAGGTCCAGCACGCAGAGCTTCGGGCACTGCTCCAGGTGCCGGATGTCGTCCACCGTCTCCAGGTGGTTGTGGGCCATCTGGAGCGTGTCCAGGACGGGCAGGCAGGCTGCGGGAGGGCACGACGAGACTGTGGTCAGGAGTGCAGGGCGCCCCCCCCGCCCCCCCGCCTGGCGCCCCCGGGACAGGCCGGCCCCGGGCCCGCGCTGACCGAGGTTCTCGATGGTCTTGATGTAGTTGTTGCTGAGGTTGAGGGTGTCCAGCTTCTGCAGCGGCTCCAGGTTCTCGATCCTGCGCAGCAGGTTCATCTGCAGGAAGAGGCAGCGCAGCTCGGCCTGCGCCCCCAGGTTCTCGATGCGCTCGATCCGGTTGCATTCCAGCCACAGGCAGCGCAGCCCCGTGTACTCCTCCAGGTTCTCGATGCGGTCGAAGCCTGCCAAGGCGACACGCTTCCTCGGGCTCCCCGCCGCCCCTCTCCCCGGGGGACACCCCACTCCTGCCTGCGCGGACCCTGGTCTCTCGGGGGCTCGACCCGGGAGGACCCAGTCCGGATGACCCCGGGGGGCTGCCGGTCGGGCCGCGAGGCCGGCAGTGCTCACCGCCTGGCATCAGCGTGACCGGGTTGGCGACGGGCAGCGGGGGCGCCTGGCCCCCCGCCCCCCAGGGTGCAGCTGGGGCACACAGCGGGCTGGTTTTCCGCTTTGGACTCAGTTTGATGAACCTGGGTCGGGAAGGAGAGCACCTGCTTCCCCCAGCCTCCTCGTCAGTTGGTAGTTTGGGAATCGTCTAGTACCAACACGTAGAAAACGTTATTTTGTTTGGAAAAGTGCGTGTGTCCGTGTGTGCGTGTGTGTATGTATATGTGTGCATGTGTGTGTGCATGTGTGTTGTGTGTTCATATGTGTGTGCGTGTGCATGGGTTTGTGTGCATGGGTTTGTGCGTGTGCTCATGTGTGCGTCTGTCTCTGTGCGTGCATGTGTATGTGTGTGTGCATATATGAGTTTGTGCGTGTGTTGGGGGCCACACCAGTAGAGCAGAAGGACTATAGTTTCTGGTTGTGTGGGGAAGGGAAGGGAGGGTCCCAGTGGGCTTCGGGGACAGTGTATGTCTCCTGCGTACGAAGCCGCTCCAGCCCCTGCAACGCCCCCGTCCCCCCGCCACCCTCCGCCAGTGCTCTGAAGTTCGCATGTAAAAGCCTGTTCACTGTTGTGCAGAATCAAAGTTTGCCCGTCCTGGGCTGGAGTGACGACGCGAATGGCTGAGGACGTGGCTGGCGTGTGGGAGACCAGGTTCGGGCCCTGGCACTGTAGGGTGAGGCGCCCAAGTCCAACAGCAGTCCCCAGGACTACGCCACCCTCGTGATCTAACTTTTCCTTTTGTCTTCATCTCCATTGCAGCTTGTAAGCTTCACAATGTTTGCCGGGTCACGGGAGGACACAGTTCATTGTAAGGACCCGTGGACAGCCGTGCGCAGCCCCCGAGGCTTCCCGCTCGGCCAACACACACCAGCTTTCGAGTGGGAAAGGCACGAAAGCAAAGAGCTTCCCGCAGCCCCTTACTGAGCGGTGGGGCCGGAGAGACAGGCGCAGGGCAGGTGCTCCCTCCCCTGCGGCGCCCCTGGGGTCGTCCCCAGCTGCCCGTGTGGCCCTGAGCAGAGCCGTGGTGTGTAGCCCCCAAACAAACAAACAAGACTTTTGCTTCAAAGACAAACAGTGCTGCGTTTCCGTCGCCTCCACTAAACTCTGACGTTTCCACGTCACGATGATTTGGAAGTTCTGGGTGAGGCCCGAGAGGGTCTCTGCATCCCCCGGTCTGGCCTGGGCCGGTCTTACCTTTAAAGTGCAGGTACAGGGTATCATTCAACGAAGGTGTGATGTACAGCTTGTGTTGCTTGCAGAATTTCTTCAAGAAACTTTTAGTCATTCTGTTCGGATGAAAAGGTGCGGCCAAGAAACTCATTTCCGTGTGTCAGCCTGAGACGCATCCCCTACCTTCTCACCTCCCTCCTTCCCTCCCCCCTTCCTTCCCCAAATCCCAGACCGGTCCCCCTAGGCCTAAGGACAGTCTTGAGTTCCTCTTCTGCAGTTCGGCGGCTGTCCGGGCTCAGCCAGCGCCCGGGGCTCTCAGCGCGGCCTGAGAAGCCGCAATGTATGTGCAGATCCATGTTTCCGTGGCGTGAGGAACCCCAAGAGAGTCCCTCACAAGTCCTGGCGCCCCACTAGGCGCCAGCCCGTCTCTGCGGGAGCCCCAGTTCCCTCTGCACCCAGGGGTGACACTGTGGCTTCATCCCACCACCTGCCCTCCTACCTGGGGCCCCGGTCCTCCTTGTCGTCCCGTTGGGAGGATGCAGAAGCGTCCGGCTTGCTGTCCCCTCCCTGTCTGTGCTCACTCTGGCCTGGCGTGTCCCCAGGACTGGCACAGTCATTCATTTCTGCCAGGAAAGAGGCAGGTTCTGCAGAGCTGAGCGGGAAGAGGGCCCCTCCCGCTTCTGCTCTGTTCCCAGGTGGTCGTGTTGCACGCGGACCCCAGGACTCGTCAGGGACTCCGTGCCCGAGAGACGGTGTCGATCGCTCGTCACTGCCAGCACCACCTCTGATCTGAGAACGCTCACGCAGGCAGAGATGTCCCATTTCTGTTATTCCTAAGAGCCTGAAGCGCTCACCACCCTCAGCCTCCCGGAGAGCTTGGCTCCATCAAACAGTGGCTTGTTCTTCTGCTTTGGAAGAGAATGTACCGGAGCTCCATCAATAGCCGATTCCCCAATGGACGTGTGTGTGTGTGTGTGTGTGTGTGTGTGTGTGGCCTCTTTTTTACAAGCACAGGTTTAAGAAAGGAAGGCACAGCAGTGTGGGACGTAGCAGGCAGGCGTGAGAAGCCAGGGCTGTCCTCCGGGAGCAGGGGAGTTGGGAGCCCAGAGGCCCGGAGTCTGTGTGCAGGAGCCCTGCATTCCGTTCCTGGCACTGCATGGACCCTGGGAGCTCTGGGAATGACATGAGCACTGTGTTGGGAGCAGTCAACTAGCAGGCAAACACATCTATTTTCTTCCTATTGAGAGAAGCAGTGAAGCCTCCGAACAAAATTCTGGGGAGTGGGGCAGCGAAAGGAACACCCTCTTTATCTAAAAATAGATTCGATCCAAAAAGCTTTCAGCATAATAGATGTGTGGGTCATTTCCAAGTTTTGGAAGCAGTTTTGGCCTCAAGACATGAGTATTAGCTATAATGTTCTCTGTTCTGTTTAAAGCTTCCCAGAGGGAACAGGGAGAAGAAATAGGATGGAAACATGCTTGGTAAAAATCAAGTGAGACATACAGATGCACTTACTATTTTTTAAAGATAGATCAAAACTCGGGGCTGGAGAGATAGGACAGCGGGTAGGGCATTTGCCTTGCACGCAGCCGACCCGGGTTCGATTCCCAGCATCCCATATGGTCCCCCAAGCACTGCCAGGAGTGATTCCTGAGTGCAGAGCCAGGAGTAACCCCTGTGCATTGCCGGGTGTGACCCAAAAAGCAAAAAAAAAAAAAATAGATCAAAACTCAAGGATTCAAATGCACTAAATCCTGGGTACAGCTACAGTCCCAGGTTGCATCCTTCCTTCCTTCCTTCCTTCCCTCCCTCCATCCTTCCCTCCTTTCCTTCCTTCCTTTTCTCTCTTCCTACCTTCCCTCCCTCCCTCCCTCTCTCCTTCCTTCCTTCCTTCCTTCCTTCCTCCCTCCTTCCTTCCCTCCCTCCATCCTTCCCTCCTTTCCTTCCTTCCTTCCTTCTTTCCTTCCCTCCCTCCTTCCCTCTCTCCCTCCTTTCCTCCCTCCCTCCCTCCTTTATTTCTCTTCTCTATTTTTCTGGCTTTCTTTTTGCTTTTTGGGCTATACCCAGTGATACTCAGGCTTCCTCCTGGCAAGGCTCGGGAACCCAGATGGATGCTGGGTTGGGGTCCAGGTGGCCACATGGAAGCAAATGCCCTCCCCACTATGCTACCCCCCACCCCGGCCCCTGTTGTTGGTGGTTTTCTGATGCTTTTATTCTTGTTTTCCTCCTTTACTTTTGCTAAGTGCTGGGGACCGAACCCAGGGCTTCACACAAGAGGCAAATGCTCTTCTGAGCTCCACACCCCACCCCGGCCTTCCGATCAGACTTAAAAACACTGTGAGGAGAGCCTCACCCGGCCGCCCCTGTGCAGTAAGCCCACACGAGAGGCACCAGGTGTTTGTGGAATGACAGGTGCTCGCTGCCCAGTGTAATTGCTTTTATAATAACAAGAACCTCCATTTAGTAACGGTCTGCAGTCTGCGGGAAACCATGATCCCTCGGGCCCTGTGTCCTACGCAGCCTGGCTTGGACCATCCCTGCTCAGAAGAGTTGACTTGTCCACGTTTAAAAACAAGAAAAAACAAAAAACCCAACTCCTGTTTCTCTCTGGTCATTAAAGGCTGCCCTTAGGCCTTCCAAGCCGAAAACAGGGGCTGAATCCTGTTTTTTCCCTTTCTCTGGAGGAGAACTGGCAGCACTCAGGCCCCAGCACAACTCAGGGGACAATGGGTGCCAGGGATCAAACGTGGGGCTGCAGCTGTCCCCAGACCCAACTTCCCAGCCCTGGACACTACTTTTCTTTTTCGTTATTATTTTTTTTTTTGCTCTTTGGGTCACACCCGGCGATGCTCAGGAGTTACTCCTGGCTCTGCACCCAGGAATCACTCCTGGCGGTGCTCGGGGGACCCTATGGGATGCTGGGGATCGAACCCGGGTCTGCCGCCTGCAAGGCCAACGCCCTCCCCGCTGGCCGAACCTATTTTCCTGAGCCCAAGTGGGGAAAGCCAGTGAGAAACCAGCAGCTCCTTCGCGCTCCCCCCCTAGGGTCAGGTCGTGGGCTGGGTCAGGGCGCGAGCCCTGGGCGCTGGACGGGGCGATCTGAGCAGCGGGCAGGACGCAGCAGTGGGGGTGCAGGGACAGGGCCCGGGCAGAGAGAGCAGAAGCTGCGCCAGGTCCTGCGACGCGTCCGGGTCTCTGCAGTGTCCTGGCGGGGCGCGCAGCGGGCAGGCGAGGTGCAGCGCGGGTGTCCGGAGGGGGCCCGGCGGGGGTCCGGGGGGGGTCCGGGCGGGGGTCCCGGCGGGGGTCCGGGCGGGGGTCCGGGCGGGGTCCCGGCGGGGGTCCCGGCGGGTGCGCACCTTCCTTGCGGCCCCCGGGGCCTGCCTTCGGGTGGTCGCCCGCCGACTCCTCCAGGCCCGGCTCCTGCTCGCGCCCCCGGCCGGGCCGCTCCGCCTCGTCGGGGTGCATGTCGCGTCCCGGAGCGCCGGCGCCGGAGCCGGGAGGGAGCCGAGCCCCGTCCCGTCCCGTCCCGTCCCGTCCCGTCCCGCCCCGCGGTGCCGCCGAGCCACGGGCCGCCCGCGTCGTTGGCCGCCCAACGCCTCCCGGTCGCCACGGCAACGGCGGCGCACGCGCACGCGGCGGCGCTCGGCGGGGGGCGGGGCCTGCAACGGCTCCGCCCCCGCCGCGCGCGCGGGTCACGTGGGGGCGCGGCTCGGCGGCCCAGGCGGCGGCGGCGGCGGCGGCGGGGGCGGCGGCCACGCGGGTCCGGCGGGAGCAGCTCCGGGGACTGCGCGGCGTCTGCAGGTACCGCGGCCCCCGGCGCGCCCGGGACGCCCCCCGCCCCCGCCACGCCCCGCCGGCCCGCGCCCCGCGCCCCGCCCCTGCCTCTGCCCCACCCACCCGGGCCCCCGCGCGGGCACCTCCCGGGCACCTCCCGGGCCCCTCCCAGGCCCTCCGCGCGGGCTTGTCTCGGGTCCCCGCCGGGCACCTCCCGGGGCACCTCCCGGGGCACCTCCCGGGGCACGTCCCGGCCCCTCTGCGGGCGGAGCGGGCGGGACGCGCCCTCCGTGCCCTGCGCCCCAATGCGGCGCCGCCGGGCCGCGGTCCCCGGGGCGCTGACCGCCGCTGCTGACCGGCCCGGCCGGCGGCCAAGGGATGGCGGGGTGGACGCGAGTGTCCCTGCGCCCGGGCCACCGGGCCCCGTAGCATCCCCTGTGGCATGCTCAGGTGGGCGAGGGTCTGGGGGGCACCAGCCTGGCCTCGGGACCTTGACCTTGACCCTTACTCCTGCCGACGCTTGTGTCCCTTTAGTCCTCGCCGGAAACTGTGCCAGCCGCTGGGGGGGATCAGCTGAGGTCCCAGACTGGCAGGAAGGTATAAACATAAGTACTGAGACGAATTCTTCCCCTTTTTTGGAGGGTGGGGGGTGACACTGCAGTGCTCAGGGATGCGACGGGCAGCCACGCGCCAGCAAGCCCCCTCCCCGCCCTCTCTCCAGCCCCCAGGGGTCAGCAGGAACTTTTATTCCCCACTTTACAGGTGGCACAGGGGAAATGAGAGGCCGGGACAGTTGATCTGCATCTGAGGCTGCCTCTCAGTGGAGGTGCCTTGAATTCGGGAAGTTTTGGGCTTTTTTTTTTTTAGTTTAGGGAGTCCCAGCCTGAATTGCTCCGGAGCTGCTGTGTCTGCCGGAGGCTTCGAGTCGGGTGGGCTTGTGCTTCCAATTTGAGCCCCAGAATCTGTGGGTTCAATTTTTATCTCTTTCTGATTTTTAAATGTTGTCTTTGGTTTGGGGGCCACACCCAGCAATGCTCAGGGGTTACTCAGTGCTCGGGGATCACTCCTGGTGGTGCTGGGGGACCCTGTGGGATGCCGGAGAGTGAACCCGCGTTGGCCGCGTGCGAGGCAAGCGCCTTCCCTGCTGTAGTGTCGTGCCGGCCCCTTTAGTTTTCATTTTTGGGTTTTGGGCCGCACCAGCAGTGCTTAGGTCGCAGCCAGGGCTCAGACCCGGTGAGCCCTCTGCCGTCTCCCGGGCTCCCGTGTGTGGGTTTCATTCGAGGCAGTTCCAGCCCCTGGGCACAGAGGTCAGCAGCGGATGTTTCTGGAGGTAAAACCCACTGACGGGGCGTGGGAGATGGTGCAGAGGGCTGGAGCCCAGGCTTGGTATGTGGGGGGTCCAGGTGTGACCCCGGCACTGTGGTGCACTGGGCCGTGCAGGGTGTGGCTTTACTGTGAGGGCGGGCCAGGGCTGCCTGGTCGGCGGGGCCCCCAAGGTGGAGCCTGGGGCTGTGCTCACCCCAGAGTCTGGTAACTTTAGGTGATGTGTACAGCAGCACACGTTCCGCTGTTCCATTCTAGAACATTCCCATCATGGGTAAAGAGATCCCTCCCTCGTGGGCAGTGCAACCCCGCTGTCCCCGCCCCCACACTGCCAGTACTGCCCATACGGACCTTGCATAAAAAAACGAGCTTTTTGGGGGGTCCTTCTGCACCTCGTGTCCGGCTCTGCCGTGAAGCAGGCAGCTCACGTGGGCTGACGGCCATTCTGTGGGCAGACCTGATTTTGTCGACCCGTTTCCCTTCCATGGACGTTGTTGCGGGGTGCTCCTCTCAGCCTTGGGCAGGGAACTGTGTGAGCTCACGGCGGAGCATGGGCCTTGGGGTCACCGCAGTTCTCGCTCTGCTGCGACAGTGGCGTCCATCGTGACCTGCCCAGGCTGGCGTAGTTGGGGACGTCACGTCATTCCTTCTTCCCTCGGGAGTGGGTGGAAGTCGTGCTTGATGACGGAGCAGGTTGCTTCCTGTTTCCTGGACAGATCCTGTTGTCCCCATCCAGGCAGGTGTGGGGCGACGCAGGCTCCGTGGCTCAGAGCGGCCAGGACTCTAGGTGACACAAGCCTGTAAAAACCGTCGGAAAACTTTCGTTCAGGCAGAGATCGCGCGTTCTGAAACATAGCAGGGCACGCAGCGGCCGCAGAGGGGGTTCCCTAATGCTGCGCTGAAATGCAGAGCCTGAGCCAGAGAGAGCACGGCTGGGAGGGTGCTTGCCTCGCACCCAGCCGACCCCGGCTCCGTCCCCAGCACTTAATAGGGTCCCCCAGGAGTGGTCAGGAGTGATCGTCCCTCCTGGTGATCTCAGGAGGAGCCACTGAGCACTGCCGGGTGTGGCCCCAAATCGAAACATAAAGGAAGCTTCCGGGTGAAAGCACCATAGTGACAGCTCAGGCAGCTGGGATCTAGCACGGAGCGGGGTTCTGCAGTGGGGGGAGCCCTGGGCCTGGCCCGGGAGGCGTGAGTGGACCAGGCTGGGACCCCGTCCATCCTGCCCGCCTCCAGCCTGCGGCCCCCTGGGCACTGTCTGGGTGGCAACGGGTGTTCGTCCTGGCCCTCTTCCTTAAGGCGGGACCCCGTGCTGCTCTTTTTCTTGGGCTGTGCGGGATGGGCTCTGCGTTCCTGTGTTTGTCAGCCTTCCATGACAGCCATGGGTTAGTTTCAATGCATTGCCTGGCTTGCTGGGGGCCGGGGCCGCCGGGTTAGACCTGCAGGAGAAGGCTCAGCGGGGACCTGCACAGAGCCGTGGTCAGAGCAGGGGTGATGTCCTGGCGCGGCCGGCGGCAGCTGATGAAGGACTGTCCTTCCCTCGGGCCCCAGAGATGCCTTGAGCGTTGCCCTGTACCGTGCAGGCCGCAGGCCGCAGACTTGCACTGTAGCGCCCGCCTGTCCAAGTGGGGTGCGGGCAGATGTCTTGGCGTGGCTGCAGCTTTCAGGGGACTCTGCACCCCTCAGCAGCCAGGCCCGGGGCCGGCCCAGATGGGCTCTCTCTGGCTACGGTCACTGTGTCCAGCTGTGTCCAGCAAACTCTCCCCAACCCCTGCTGCTCAGTGTGTTTCCTATCACTGGGACTGTCCTCCCCTCGGGAACACAGTGACCCCGTGACGCCCCCAGGATGGTCGGGTCCTCGCCCCACCGAGATCCTGTCACACCGGGCCCGGGCTCTGCACACACAGGACCTGCCCCCGGCGTCTGTTGGTCCTTCCTTGGATCACTGTGCTCCATGTGTTGTCGGCCGCCTCCTGTGCCCTCGCTGCCTCCCAGGCCTGGCCAGTCCAGGTCTCGGGGCTGCGGGCCGTGATTCTACCCCTGGCGAGGCTGCGACCTGTCGGGGTCTGCCCCGAGAGAGGGCGCGGTTCTCTGAGTCTGCCGCAGGAATGTGCGCGCTCAGGGAGAGACAGGTGTCAGGATGTTGGGGAGACCCTGGGGTCATGGTGCTCCCTGAGGGTTGGGCAGACCCTAGAGTCATGTGCTCTCGGGGGTCGGGGTCACGTGCTCCCCTGGTGTTGGAGAGACCCTGGGTCACGTGCTCCCCGGGGGTCGGAAGACCCTGGGGTTACATGCTCCCTGGGTGTCGGGGAGACCCTGGGGTCATGTGCTCCCCGGGTGTGGTGGCGCCTCCTTTGTGGCCACAGCCGTGTTCCAAGCGCGTGGTGCCATCGATCTCTCCACGAGAGCGGCTTTGAAGTGGTATTTAATATTTCATTGAAAACTTTTCCCTGGGCTGGGAGAGAGTTTGAGTGGCAGCGGCAGCCCTAGGTGTGATCCTGGCACCTCACCCCACCCCGGGCACTGCCCAGGCATCCCTGGACACACACACACACACACACACACACACAGATACACACAGGCACACACACACCCTCTCTAGAAATGAGCCTGCCTGTGACCTGGCTGGCCGGTGGGCACCCGCACGGGGTCTGTCAGGCCCCCCTCTGTCCCGCCACATGGCGCCGTTGGGAGCACTGAGGTTTCTTTTTGACTTGCCTCTGGGAGAAAGGGTCCCGCGGGCTATCGTGTGAGCATGTACCGGGTGGCTGTGTTGGGACAGTCCTGGGGCTGCCACCCACTCCCGGCCCCTCCCCCGGGCCGCTCCTTTGCACATACTAAGCGGGGGACACCCTGTCTCCCCTTTCCCACAGGTGCCATGGCCGCCGTGGACAGCTTCTGTCTCTTGTACAGGGAGGTCGCCAGGTCGTGCAGCTGCTACATGGAGGCCCTGGCCTTGGTCGGGGCCTGGTACACGGCCCGGAAAAGCGTCACCATCATCTGTGACTTCTACAGCCTGGTCCGGCTGCATTTCATCCCCCGGCTGGTCAGCAGAGCGGACCTGGCCAAGCAGTACGGGCGCTGGGCCGTCGTGAGCGGTGAGCGCGAGACGTCCGCGTGCCCCTCGGCGTGGCTGCTGGGGCGTGGCCGCGTTGGCAGAGATGTTCCCGGGAGCGGGCTTCGAGGAAAGCAGGACGGGGCGGGCGGACACGACCGTCCCCAGGCTGAGCAGCCCGCCAGAAGGATGTTCACTTTGGCTCCTTCCTATAAACCAGCTCTCGGGTCATGCCCGATTGCTCAGGGCAGACTCTGGGTTCTGTGCTCAGGGAACACTCCCAGGGGCTCTGGGGACCCTTTGCAGTGCCAGGGATCAAGCCTGGGCCTGCCACGTGGAAGACCAGCGCCTTAGTGCTTTCTTCTTTTTTTCCTCTTTCTTTTTGGGTCACACCTGGCGATGCTCAGGGGTTACTCCTGGCTCTGCACTCAGGAATTATCCCTGGCAGTGCTCAGGGGACCATATGGGATGCTGGGAATCGAACTCAGGTCGGCCGCGTGCAAGGCAAACGGCCTACCCATTGTGCTATTGCTTCAGCCCCACACCTTAGTGCTTTCTTGAGAGACAGCTGTCTGCCTCTGTGTCAGGAAGAATTTTCCCCTGGCTGTCGCCCACCGTGTCCCCCCTTTCCCGTTCCCAGTCTACCTCGCTACGCCCGCCTTTTCCTTTCTGTTCTTTAAAAATTATCTTGGGGCTGGAGCGATAGCACAGCGGGTAGGGCGTTTGCCTTGCAAGCTGCCGACCCTGGTTCGATTTCCAGCATCCCATATGGTTCCCTGAGCATCTCCAGGGGTGATCCCTGAGTGCATGAGCCAGGAATAACCCCTGTGTATCGCCAGGTGTGACCCCCCCAAAAAATTTTTTTAAAAAATTGTCTTCAGGAGCTGCCAACGCTTTCAGAAATGTTTCCCTTATTTTTATTTCCGGGGGCTGGGGCTTAGCCCCTGGGTCTGCACTCAGGGGTCACTTCTGGTTGGCGGCACTCAGGGAACCCTGCGGGGTGCCGGGGGTTGAACCTGGGCTGGCCACGTGCCAGGCTGGAGCCCTGTCCACTGAGCCATCTCTTCGGCCCCAATATGACACAATTTATATGTGTCACTTTATCTTCCCTGTGTCCCTGGGAGGCCTTCCAGTCCTCCCCCAGTGAGGCTAGCCCGGCATGTCCGCGGGGTTCTGACCTCCTGTGGGCTGACCGGTGTGCGGGGTCCGCGTGCTCCTACCGGGGCTCCTCTGATTTCCCCGGGAGGGTGCCCGCTCTGGGGTCACACGTGGAGCCGTGGGCTCACCGTCCGGGCTTGGTCTGCAGGTGCCACCGACGGCATCGGAAGGGCCTACGCGGAGGAGCTGGCCAGCCGCGGGCTCAGCATCGTCCTCGTCAGCCGGGACAAAGAGAAGCTGCAGGCGGTGGCCCGGGACATAGCCGACACCTACCGAGTGGAGACCGACATCATCGTTGCCGACTTCAGTGGAGGCCGCGAGATCTACCACCCGATCCGGGAGGCCCTGAAGGACAGGGACGTGGGCATCCTGGTGAACAACGTCGGCGTGTTCTACCCCTACCCGCAGCCGTTCACGCAGCTGCCTGAGGTCACGCTCTGGGACATCATCAACGTGAACATGGCAGCGGCCAGCCTGCTGGTGCACATGGTGCTGCCCGGCATGGTGGCCCGACGCCGGGGCGCGGTGGTCACCATCTCCTCCGGCTGCTGCTGCAAGCCCACGCCCCAGCTGGCCGCATACTCGGCATCCAAGGTACCGCCCTGTCGCTCAGTTTGCCTGTGGGTGACCGCCAGCCCCCCATGACCCCTGTAACCAGTGTCCCCCACTCTGTCCGGCAGGCGTATCTGGACCACTTCAGCCGGGCGCTGCAGTACGAATACGCCTCCAAAGGCATCTTCGTGCAGAGCCTGATCCCCTTCTGCGTGGCCACCGGCCCCGCCAGCAGCTTCCTGCACAAGTGCCCGTGGCTGGCGCCTTCGCCCAAGGTCTATGCCCACCACGCGGTCTCCACCCTGGGCATCTCGAAGAGGACCACAGGCTACTGGTCCCACTCCATCCAGGTAACGCGGCGCCCTCAGAGCAGAACTGCCTGGTGGGTTTTTCCCTCGGCCACAGGTGAAGGGCGCCGGGCCGCACTGGCGGTGCCCAGGGCTGACTCCAGGCTCTGTGCTCGGAGTCGCTCCCAGGGGGGCAGGGGCTGCAGTGCTGGGTGCTGAGCCCGGCGGCATGCAGGGCACATGAGGCATGAAATAAGCACAATGGCACCTCTTTGATTCGTGTTAAGGGAAGGGAAGGGGCTCAGGCAGGGCAGGAAGTAGCCGAAACTGCGCCCCAGTGCGGGTGCAGAAACTCAGTGGGCCAAGCTCTCGGGTGGAGAGAGGAGAGGGTGGAGTCTGGGAGAAATGACGAGGTTTGCTCAGGCTGACGGGAAAGGTCGAGGACAGGTCTCCCCCGAGGGAGGGCTTCCCGGGGCCGACACTCTGGGGCTTAGGGAGGAAAAGCCCCCGTGTTCGGGTTCCCAGGGGAGTGGGGGGGATGATGCTGTGACCTGAGGTGCAGGGCTGCCACCTGGCCTGGCTACTTGGGTCCAGAGGTTGGAGATGCTGGTGCCCTCGGAGGAGGGACCTGGGGGAGAGTGTGGGTGCCTGGAGGGAGGGGTGGGCTGTGGCGGGCCCCTGAGAGCAGTGAATGCACTGGACACAGCTCGCTGGCGGGGAGGCCGGGTGCGCAGGGTGGGGGGGAGCAGGGCGTCCGGTCTGGTGGCTCCATAAGGCAGCGGTTTCTGGGATGTCAGGGAGGGGGTGCGAAAGGCCATGGGGAGGGTGAGGGGATGGGACACGGTGACAGGGTAGCCCAGGGTCCCGTGGGGCCCGTGCAGTGCAGGACGTGTCGCAGCCACCCGTGCCTACCCCGGTGGCGACACTGACCCTTTCTGAATGGTTGTCGCGAGCAGAGCGGCCCCTCTGTCCCCTCCCCTACCAGCATGCTGCCTGGGTCTGTCTCTTCTGCAGCACGCGTGCCTGGTTCGGGGACAGGGACTAGAGTTGCTGCGGGGATGCCAGCGGCCACTCCCAGCAGGGTCTAGCAAAGGGTTCTGGTCCTGATGGGGGCTTGGCTCGCCGTGCCGGGAGGCAGGTGGGATGCGGTTAGAGCCGACGCATTGCCTTTGACGCCGAGCTGGGCTCTAACCATCCGACCTCTTCTCTCCTTTTCAGTTCCTTTTCGCACAGTATATGCCTGAGTGGCTCTGGGTGTGGGGAGCAAACTTTCTGCATCGTTCGTTACGTCGGGAGGCCTTATCCTGCGCGGCCTGAAGCCGGGACGGACCCCGAGGGGCGCCCGCGGTTTATCTCCTGTGCCCTCCCGGATGACGGGCGAGGGAGCGTGTGGGCTGCCCACCACTTGCGAAGCAAATGACGCTTTCGGCGAACGCTCTGGCTGACCCTCGGGGCTTGTGGAGGCCACGCCGGGCAGTGGCCGAAGCAGAACCGATGGAGGGAACCTACACGGTGATATTTCTCCCCAAGTGTTCGAAAGTCGTGTGATTGGTGTCAGTCTCGGAGTTCCTGCAGGCTGCTCCCAACTGTGTGTGTCAGCTCTGTGGCAAGTGACCTGTCTCAGCACCCGAACCGTCCAGTGTTGGTTTCAAATGCTCATCGCGAAAGACTTGTTCCAAAGTGACTTTACGAGTAAGGTTGCTGCTATTACTCACAATCAAATCCCGATTCCGTAGCTCTAGGTGTCCCTCAGTAAGACGCTGCTCCTCAGGTGGTCCTTTGTCACCTTATCTAGGTGTATGTTGTTTGCATTCTGGACGACTTGATTTATGGGCAAGTTACTTTAACGTAGGTTTCTCATCAGCGTGGCTTAATGTGGAACCTTGAGGCATTAAAATTCGACATTAGTCCTTTTCCTGCTAATCGACCTCGTCAGTTGGGGCTGTTGGTCTGCTGTCTATAGTATTACTATGTCCCGATTTTTAAAAAATCTGCCACGGAATTCATTCCTAAATTGGGACTTGTCATCTCTTGATTCAGAGTTTTTGTGGGTAAGTATTGATCTCTCAGGCTGCAACCCATTCGTACCACTGAATTTCAACCCATTAGAACCTGTGATATCTAGGTCTCACATAATGTTGTGTGTAATAAATCCAACTCTGATGGCATTATTGGTGTAAACATCAAGTATTTATAGAATAGCTAAGATATGGACAAACCGTGTGTGATTTCTATTGAAATAAGCCCAGCTCGGCTTTGGTTCGTGAGGTGATCCTGTATTCTCGTGGCTCGTTTCATCAGTGTGAAGACAGTCTTGTGCAAACCCCCGCTCCCCAACGGACGGGCATCAGAAACGCGCCTGTGCGCGCGGGGGGGCTCCAGCCCGAGACAGCCAGCTCTGGGCGCTTTCAGTCGGCGACACAGGCCTCGGGTGTGAGCTGCAGATGCCGAGTTGCAGCACTGTGTACAGGCACTGGTAGGCAGGCTCGTGTCAGCATATGACCGGTTGTTTCCTTCTCTCGCCCCGCTGTGGGCAGGCACGAGCGTGCTGCTGGGCCCTGACTCAGGTCTGCAAGGGTCTCCCTGCTCCTGGCCTCGGTCATCAGCCTGTCCCCTGACCTGAGTGAGACCTTCGACGCGGAAGGCAGGCGCAGCGACCCTGGCCTGGTTCTGAGAGCGCGGAAGCCTTTGTTTAGCTTCAGCGGGCAGTTCTCATCTCCCAACAATTCCTAACGGCTGCTAAGGCTAAAACGTTTGACATGCCACACTGGCTTGGACCTTGGCACGTCAGCAGCAGCCGGCAGTGGCTCCGTGTAATGTGGTAGCACTGTGTGCTGTTATTTCAGAGGCAGTCATCGCTCTGCGATGGAATAAGACAGTGTCAGGGTGTAAGATCCCCAACTTGGCAGGACGTCGGTAAATGCAAAGCCGCTAAGGTCGGGAAAGATCAGAACTCGCAATTTTCCTTATTTTTCTCTCACACAAAATCCTTTCTCCTAGCGCTCATTCACGAACCATAATTGGGTCTCAGGATAGATGCAATTCCTTATCAAGAATGTGGGAACAAGGGGCTGGAGCGATAACACAGCGGGTGAGGCGTTTGCCTTGCATGCGGCAGACCCGGGTTTGACTCCCAGCATCCCATATGGTCCCCCAAGCACTGTCAGGAGTAATTCCTGAGTGCAGAGCCAGGAGTAGCCCCTGAGCATCGCTGGGTGTGACCCAAAAAGCAAAAAAAAAAAAAAAGAATCCCAACTTCAAGCTGACCACAAGAAGCAGTTGTTTCGCTTCCCTTGAAAGAGCTTGCTGTAGGTGTTTGTAAACTGGCGGTTTGTAATGAGAGGTACACTATTCCACTCCCCCACAGCAATATTTATTTGAAAATTTTTAACAAAATCAATCCGTGGGCCGTGGTAGTAGTTCACTAAAAGCTGGCCAAGTTAGCAAGAAGACTGATTGTACATGACCATGTGCTGTAGGTCTGGAAACAGCTAACTGAGTACTTGACCTTGTTCTTTGTATGTGTGTGTCGGAAGAGGTGGCATCCAATCCCAGCCCCTGGCTGGCTGTACTCCTCCGGCGGTGAGGATCCAGGGAGCACTGTAGTAGGAGGGGTCAGGGAAGTAGGAACGGAAAAGGGAGATTGGCAGTGGTGGGGGCTTTCGAGAATTTTCTTTTAATTTCTTAACCCCATGGGAACCAAAGGGAGCCCTGGGCGGCGACTGGATGTGCCGTGAAACCAAGGCCAGGCGGTCTCTGGCTCAGTCCTGGCGTGGCCGTCGTCTACCTGAATCAAGGAACTGCGTCCCTCGAACCCTTGCGGCTGCTCCATCAGACACGTTAAGCGCGGGCTTCGGGAGGCTTCTCGCCCCCATCGCCCCCACCGTGGTGGGACCCGGCGCGCGAGGACCCTCAACCTTCCCTGCGAGACTTCCCCGCCTCCTGCCCCGCCCCAGCCCCTTTCCGGGGGGCCTGGGGCTCCCCATCGCAGCGCGCGCGCGTTCGGGTTTGGGGGGACTCCCGGGCCTGCGCTTAGGCTTCGACTCCGCTCCGGGCGCGCTTGGGGGACCAAAGGGGATGCCGGGACCCGACCCTGCAAGGCGAGCGCCGTCCTGGCACTCGGGCCCCGCGTGGCACGTGCCCGCCTCGGCTCCTGACCGCCGACCGGGCAGAGTGGACACACGGCACGGGGGGGGGGGGCGCGTGGACACCCGCCCGCCCCGAATCAGAACCGCGCCGAGCTTACGGGCCGGCGCTCGCTGGCTCTCGAGGCTGCAACGCGCGACCCGGCGGCGTCTGGCCGGGCTCGGCCGCAGTCCCGGGGCGGGGGCGGGGGCGGGGCGTGCAGTGGGGAGAGCACCGCGCCCCGGCGACCCCGGCGACCCCGGCGGCGCCGTCCCGAGGCCCCGCGGCTGCCCGGTGAAACGGCCCCACCTGGCGCCGACGGCGATCGGGGGGCGGGGGCGCGGGGGACGCGACGCCCGCGGCCGAGCACGGGCTCGGGGCAGCCGGGAGCGGCGGGCGAGGCTCGGCCCGGCGGATTCGCGAGCCGGCGGCGAAACCACGCCCCGAGCCGCAGCTGTCGCGAGACTTCCGGGCGCCGGCAAGTGTCGCGAGACTTCTCCGGGCCCCGGGCGCCGGCAGGTCTCGCGAGGCTTCTCGCGGCCCCGCCCCCGGCCCCGGCGCTCCCGGGTCGCGCCCGCCCGGCCGGCCGGGGGCTCTCGCGAGACTTGGGAGTAAACAGCCCCGAATGGAGCCGCGAGGCGCGCTGGCCGCCGAGCCTGAGGCCGCTGCCGGTACGTCAGGGCCCCGCGACCCCCGACCCCGCGACCCCCGACCCCGCGCGCGACCCCGGGCCCGCCCCCCCGTCCCGAGAGGCCGCGTCGGGCCGGGCCGCGCCCCCGCCGGCCCCGCGCCGCTGCCCGGAGCGGGGCGCGACCCCCGCCCGCCGCGCCCACTCGGGGGTCCCGCTGCCGCCGGGGGGCGGGGCGGGGCGGGGCGGGGGCGCCGGGGGTCGCCCCGCCGGGGGCGGCTCAGCCCGGAAGCGCCCCCGCCGCCGCGCCCCTCGCGCGGGGGCTCCCGGGTGCCGGTTCTCCGGCTTCCGTTCTGCTACCGGTATCGTCGTCGTCATCATCATCATTGATTATTGATTATTGGTATTGCCATTTCGGCGCCCGTCCGTGCCCGGTGGCCCCGGGGCCCGGGCCCGCCCCCGACGACCCGCGGGGCCATATGGGAGCCGGGGCTCGAACCCGGGCCGCCGCGCTGTGGCTCCCGGTGTGGCTCCCGGCGCCGCCGAGCCCGAGCCCGCGGGGCCGCCGCTGCCCCCTCGTCCGTGTTGGCCCGGGGTGACCCCGCCAGGTGGCCCGAGCGTTTCGTCCGGGCCTCGTCCGCCAGCGCTTTTTGCAAACAAAGCTCCTGTCTGTGGCCCCGGTGGCGAGCACTGTTGGGCTTTGAACTTTTGGGGGGCGTCCAGGAGGACCCTGCTGCACCCCGGGCCGCCCCTTTGGCCAGCATCCCCTCCTGCCTGCAGCAGAGGCGACCAGGGTCCCAGGAACCCCCGGGGCTCCCTGCAGGTTCCCCGGAGTGCCGTGGCCAGGCAGGCAGAGGTGACCTGCAGGGGACGGCCCTGGCGCGGGACAGACGGGGAGCAGGAAGCAGCGCCCGCCTTTGGAGTGTGGGTGCAGGCCCTGCCCTGCGGGGTTCCCTCCGCCGGACACCCGGTGATCAGGGTGCCTGGTCTCCGCAGTGTCCTTTCGCGCAAGGGGGCGGAGAGTGGCGGGAGGCAAGCCCCAGGTTTCGGGGCGCCTGCTCTGTGGTCCCCTGGGGGGGCCTGAGGCTGGAGCCGGAGGGCGCAGGAGCGGACACGGCTGCCCACGAGGCACCGGCATAGTGACTGGGCAGGCGGCACGTCCCGCGCCACCCTGGCCGGCTTCTGGGAGCAGGGCCGCGGGCAGGGGGACACTGTGCAGCGAGGTGCGTTTCCTGCGGCCACATTTGCAGGAAGCGGATGGTGACCTTCCCTGGCCCAACAATTCCACCTTCCCGGGAGCTTGTTCAGTGAAGTAGCGCTCCGGGGAGCGAGGCTTTGGCACCGTAGCCACAGGTGGGCGGTGTTGAAATGCAGGGCCACGTCTGACCAGTGGCACGGAGTTCAGAGCCCGCAGAGGAGCCCTCCTGATCCCGGACAGCGTCCGGCCGAGCAGGGGGAGCCTCTGGGGTGGGTGGACAGGCGTGCAGGAAACTGCAGCTGGCCCGTCTCACACAACCCCCAAAAGCCACTCTTTGCTCGCTTGGTCTGTTTGCTTTTGCTTGGGGGCCACACCTGGCCGTGCTCAGGGCTTAGCCCCTGGCTCTGCTCGGGATCACTCCCGGGAACCGTCCGCAGTACAGTGCCAGGGGCCAGCTGCAGGCAAGACCCCAGCTCTTCGTAAGCGTAACTCCGTGAATGAAAGACCTGGGGATTTAAAGAGCTCCTGCGGCATGAGGAAAACGTAGGTCAAACTCTTCAGGATACGAACCTCGAAGATTTCTTCTGTGACTTGGAGTCCGTAGGCAGGAGAACAAAAACAAGAACAAATGAGCCTCTGCTGAGGTTCTCTTCAATACGTGGCAGAAGGTATTTGGGCCAGAACTAAAAGATACCCCCTAGATGGGGGAACACATTCGTTCGCTGTGCATCCCGTAAAGGGCTAATGCCCAGACCGTGGGGAGCGTTCACAAGGCCTGGCTCGGAGGCAGAAAGAGGCACATCAGAAAGTGGGGAAAGAACGTGAATGGACTCTTCCCCGCAGAGCAGCCTCGGGTCAGGTCTTAGGCGAGAAGAGGCGCTGCTCCGTCTCGGAAAGGCAGCAGTGAGATAATGCGTGGGGAGAAGGCCCGTCTCTGGAACGTGGGCAGAGCCAGCGAGGGCGGGTACGGGGGGAAAGAACCCCCCCTTGCTGCCGCTGGGAATGTCGGGGTCGGCCTTGGCGAGCAGGGTGGGATTCCTCAGGGAAGTGAGGGTCGAGCGTTCAGATGACCTGGGGTGTCCACTTGGCATCAAGTCTCCGATCACTCGTTGGAAAAGATCCCTGCCCGTCGCTGGGTACTGCCCAGCTTTGCGCAGTGACGGAACATGGGGACAGCCCACACGTTGACATGCATGGGTGACTAGAAACACGATGGAATCCTCTGCAGCTGTGGGAAAAGGTGAAATGCATTTCGCGGCCACGTGGGTGAATCTGGGCGGCTGTCGTTGAGCGAAGGAAGTCAGAGGGAACTTGACACACGCCAGGTGATCGCGCACATCTCAGGCGTCTTACGAGAAGCGAAGCAGAGCGAGGGCCAGGCGGTAGCAAGGACGGCGAGGCGTTGACCTTGAGAACAAGGTTGACAGAAGGTCTTGGCGTGGGGGCGCAGGTGCAGGAATGGGGACGCGGCGGAACCCTGCGCTGGGTGCTGCTCCGAAGAAGGAAGCGGGGGAGGGGGTCGAAAGTTAGTACAGATTTTGAAACAGTTCTGGGCCTTTTCGGTACTCCTGGGTCGTAAACATTTTCGAGTCCGCTAGACGCCGTGCCTGGAGCGCTGCCTTCGCTGTTCTCCTGGAGGCAGGAGGGCACACGGGGAGTCTCTGAGCAGCGGTCTGATGCCCTGAGCCACCGGAAAGCCGAGGAGTCTCAAGGGCTCTCCGGGCCTTTGAGTCGTGCTCCCCCGCTGGGGTCCGGGTTCCGGGGTGACCGTGGGGGGCAGGACATTCCTCGCCTGCCTCGGTGCGGAAGGCGCCCCTCGGCCCGCCTGCCCGCACAGTGGACGCACCAGCCACTTCCTGTCGGTGCCGGGCCTTAGCCCTTCCGGAGATGATCTGATTTCATAACGTGCAGAGTTGAGATTTCTTGTTTGAAGCTTCTGTAAAGATTAATGGCAAGTATTTTTCCAAACTGTTTCCATGGGCTTGGCAGGATGCGTTTCAGAATCTGGAAAGGTGTCGTGCGAGGGCTCTCGTTGCTCTTGTTTGGGGGCCGCTGCCTGGACTCCCGGGACCCCCGATTCTGGCCCTTTCCGCTGCCTCCCCTGCCTCGCTGGACTGATTTGATTTGGCTTTATTTTTGGTTTTGGGGCCACACCGGTGATGCTCGGGGGTGACTCCCGGCTCACACTCTGGAATCACTCCTGGCGGTGCTCGGGAGACCTCGTGGGATGCCGGGGAGAAACCCAGCAAGGCCAGCGCCCCCCTCCCCACCCCCATGGCTCCAGCCCGTGCTGGGATGATGTTAACACAGTGTTTCCTGTGGAGGTGTTAAACGTGTATGTCAAAGTTGATTTGATTTTAAGTATTTTATAGTGAAAAGGGTTTGCCTGAGAAGGTGAAATCTATGGGCCGTGTCTGGGGAAAGGTCCGGGGAGGAAGGGTTTCAGATAACGGAGACGGGAGGAAGGAAGGAGCCGGCTGCTGCCTGTGGTTTGCTGCCAGGGTGTCGGGGGCTTCTGTTACCCGCGGCTTCTCCGCTGTTCTCGTCTGCCTTACTGGTCTGTGTCCCTGCAAGAGGGAAGAGTGACCCGGATGAACACGGAGCGCTGGGATGCCCCCGGCTGTCCACCCGTCCCCGCTGTCAGATGCTGGTGTCTCGGCCCAGCCTGGGCGCGCTGACGCCGTGTCCACGCGCTGCTTTTGCCTTGCAGGTCGGCTCGCAGTGTGACTGCCCAGCCCCGGGACGACCTTGTGTGGCGCCAATGGCTCGGAGGACTCACTTGTGTGGCCCGGAGTGAGCCGTGCCTGATGGCCAAGATGGAGAAGAAACGAAGAAAGAAATGAAAGCCGCTCCTCGGGCCCGGCCACGGGAGGCCGTGACGTCTCACGCTCTTTGGGTTGGACAGACTTGGAACGGCTCGTCAGTGATGTCTCGGCCTCCAGCTGAAACGAAAATGAACTAATCAGGGGAGGAAACCGTGTGATTTGAATTTATGCAATTTTCTGACCACAGTCACCGCCATGAAGCTCGTCAACATCTGGCTGCCCTTGCTCGTGGTTTTGCTCTGGGGGAAGGAGCACCTGGGTGACCGGCTGGGGAAGACCGCATTCGAGAAGGCCTCCTGTCCCGGCTGCTCCCACCTCACCTTGAAGGTGGGCTTCTCCTCAACGGTCGTGGAATACGGTAATGACCTTGTGCGAGCCGCCGGCTTTGCCTTTCCGCCTCTCTCCCGACTGTCATTGTTGGAGGTGCCAGGGCCCCGGCTGGAGGCTGAGCCCCCATATGTCAAGTCACGGTGCTTCTGTGTCTGCACTGGCCAAGGCCTCAGGGTGGGCGATGCCCCCTGGCCGTGGTACCTTGTGCCCCTCTCCGGGGCTGCACTCGGCTGGCCAGGCAAGTTGCACCGGTCGGGCCTGCCAGGGCAGTGCTTGCTGCTGGTCACTGGTCACAACCCCTCTTTTGTGGTCATTCTCACCCCTTCCCTGGCGTGCTGCTGGGGCTCATAGGCGTATGTGGGGGACCAGTGTTTGAACTCGGGACCAGATGCTTGCACAGCAGGTGCTCAGTGCTCTGGTGCTAGTCCTCTAGGCCGTGATGCTGTTTTCCATGTCTAGGACCCCAAATATGATTTTGCTTATTTGGGGGGCCTCACAAGCCCAGGAGACCTGGAGGTTCCTCCCGGTAGGCTGTTGATTCAGCACAGGGACCCTTGGTACTGGGCTTCCCGGCCACCTGGCTGTGTTTGGGGGGACTGGGTGGCACTGGGGAGTGAACCTGGCTTGACTGCGTTCGAGGCCCCGGACTTTCTCGGCCTCAGGGGCCTCCGAGTTTCAATAGCTTCCGCACAGAAGCATTTCTCGTCTTTCTGTGGCGCCAGGTTCGTGGCTTGGGCCCGTGGCACCGAGAGGCTTGCTTGTGAGAAGCAGGGTGCCGTGTTCTCCGCGAGCACCTGCCCCGGGTCCGGACTCTGGAGGGCGTAGCCCTGCCACACGCACAGACTGCAGAGTTTTTTAACGCACTGTGATTTACAGAGTTATCCGTGATTGGGTTCCAGGCCCACGGAGTTCCGATACCCATCTCTTCATCGGTGGTCACTTCCTCCACCCGGCCCCCAGTTCCCCTCCTGTCCTGCCTGCCTCTGCCCGGCACTCTCTTCCGTGGTGCTCCTGGTGGGTCTCGTGCCGTCACTCTGCCGCCTTCCTGCCACCCTCCTGCACCAGAGCGGCCCCCCTGGCACTGTGTGGCAGTTGCCGATGGACCCTTTGTCTCTCTGAAGAGTTTCCCCGTTGGGAAAGTTGGTTTCTTTGCCGGACACTCAAACTCGTGTTGACCTTAGCGTTTGGAGACCAGCCCCGTGCCCAGCTTGGAGCGCTGTCACTGCTGGGAGTGAGGCCGGGCGTCTTGGCACGCCTGCTGCTTCCTGAGCTCTGTGGGAGGTTCCAGGGTCACTGCATTTTTTTTCACTGGGAAAATTCTTGAGCCTGGCGCCTTAGACCACTCGGCCATCCTGACACTAGGAAAATTCTAGAGAAGATGCTTTCCGTACGCGTGCGCCAGGTCTGACTTCCGTGTGGTTATCGATTTCAGAATATATCGTGGCTTTCAACGGATACTTTACAGCCAAAGCTAGAAATTCCTTTATCTCAAGTGCCCTGAAGAGCAGCGAAATAGACAATTGGAGAATCCTACCTCGCGACAACCCGTCCAGCGACTACCCGAGCGATTTTGAGGTGATCCAAATCAAAGAGAAGCAGAAGGTGGGGCTGCGGACGCTCGAGGGGCACCCGAACATCAAGCGGGTGACGCCCCAGCGGAAGGTCCTGCGCTCCCTCAAGTTCGCTGAGCGTGAGTATGGCCTAAGGGTTCCCACCCTGGCTCCCAGGCTCGGGTCACGGGGCCTCCTGGAGTCTCCGCAGACGGCCCGGGAGCCGGATGCTGCGGCGAGACCCTGCCCGTCCTCCGGCGCATCGACTGGGAATGTTTTCTTGGCAGAAACCTCTGTGTGTTTTTCCTTTTTTTTTCTGTTTTTGGTTTTTGGGCCACTCCTGGAAGTGCTCAGGGCTTCCTTCTGCCTCTGCGCTTGGGAATGACTCCTGGCGCGGCTCGAGACCGTGTGGGATGCAGGCCTTGAACCCGGGTCGGCTGAGTGCAGGGGAAGCCCCGCCCTCTGTGCTAGCGCTCCGACCCTGTAGAGACATTTTTAAAGAGAGGTTTCGAGCTGTTCAGACGGAAGCGTGTGGAGCCGCAGGTAGACCAGGTGCCGACCGCCGCTGCTATCCTCCTCGGCCACTCTCAGGGTGCCTGGGGCATCCACTGCCTTTGAGCCCTGCTCTGCGTGGACTTCGCGTCCGCTTCTCCTCCCGGGGGCCTGGCTTTCCCCTGGGTACCTGCCTCTTTCTCTGAACGGCGCTTCCTGGGTGAAGCCCGGCTGGACCCCTCCTTTGGATGTCCTGGGCTGCTCAGGCCGGATGGAACAGACCGCAGCCCCCGCCCTGGTTCTCAATATTGTTCTTCCGTAAGAACTTCCAGAGCTACCTTAGACTGTTGACTTAAAGAGCAGGATCAACACGGGCAGCTCACTTGGCCCGTGCGGACAGCTGCCCGGTGGAGCCACGGCTGTTTCCCAGGTCTCTTTACTTTGCGTGGGTGTGGCCTGGCATGCCGCCAGCCCCGGGTTTGATCCCCAGCACCACGTATGGTCTCCTGAGTGCCGCCAGGAGTGATCCCTGAGCACCACTGGTGTGGCTCAGTTCCGCCAACAAATCTTTATTACTGCAAGTTTGCTTTTTATTTACTTTGAGGGTTGGTCGTCTTGTTTGGGGGCCACACCAGCAGTGCTTGTGGGGACTCCGCAGAGCTGGGTGGAACTCCTGCTGGCCTGCTGTGCCCATGGGGCCTCTCGACGCCGCGCGCCGGCCTGGCTTTTAACACTGATTGGAATTGGTTTTTCTTAGTATAATTTAGTCTTGGGCCGGTGAAAAGGAAAAACTTTGTGGTATTTCTTTTTCTCCCTCCATTAAAAAAAGGGTATTTACGGATAGTGAAATCGATGTTTTTCAGTGCTCAGCGTGCCAGATTTTATTTGGCACCGTTGGGTTTCTGCCAATAAAATCAAAATGTGACCTCGCTCACCGTCACAGACGGTGCAGTTCCGCTGGCGAAGGCCAAGTCCTCACAGATGGGCTGCGGACGCTGAGCACACACAGCTGCAGAGGGCCTGTGGCTGCTGGCCAGAGAGCAGGGCAGCTGCCACTGTGTACACAGGCGTGCGCACACGTGTGTGTGTGTGTGTGTGTGGACTCACGTGTGCATGCATCTCGCGCCACCTTTCCTCTGCTGGTTCCGTGAGAGCAGGTTGTTGATGAAAAAGGGTGAGTGTTCTGTTTTAGCATCCCAATCTACTGTTTGAAACGTGGTTTCATCCGTTCTTCTCTGCCTGACGTGGGTTAGAAAGTTCCAGATGAATGGCGTCCTGTGGCATCCAGCTGCCGTCATTCCAGCAGGGTCGGGGTCCCTCTAACCTTCTCGTCTGTGCTCTAGCTGACTCGGGAGCACCCTGTAACGAGACCCGCTGGAGCCAGAAGTGGCCGTCGTCTCGCCCCCTGCGCCGGGCCAGCCTCTCCCTGGGCTCCGGGTTCTGGCACGCCACCGGGAGGCACTCCAGCCGGCGGCTGCTCAGAGCCATCCCGCGCCAGGTGGCCCAGACGCTGCAGGCAGACGTGCTGTGGCAGATGGGGTACACAGGTGTGTGCTTGGACCCCCGCTCCCCTCCCCTGGGCGGTGGTGGCTGCCCGCGGCCTCGGGCCCTGCCCTGGTCGCAGGCGCCTGCCGTGCCGGATCGCGACTCAGCCGCTTGCCTTCTGTGTCCCGGCACGGGCTGTTCCTGCGGGGTCAGAGCTGTTCTGTTGGCCCTTGAGTCTGGCTCTGGCCAGGCTGGGCCCTGGGCATCGCCTGACCCTGCGCTGAGGGGCCCAGGAGGGACAGAGGCCAGAGACGGAACCTGGTTGTGCTTGCTTTGGGACCCAGGTGCTAACGTCAAGGTCGCCGTCTTTGACACCGGGCTGAGCGAGAAGCACCCTCACTTCAAGAATGTCAAGGAGAGAACCAACTGGACCAACGAGCGCACCCTGGATGACGGTGGGCGGGGCGTGCAGGGCGGGGTGGGGGAGCGTGGGCAGGAGCAGGGGGTGGAGGGTGGCAGGGCACCTGCGGGGTCGGCAGATGTACCTTGACTTCTTTTTCCTGGCGTCAACAGGGCTGGGCCACGGCACATTCGTGGCGGGCGTGATCGCCAGCATGCGGGAGTGCCAGGGCTTCGCTCCAGACGCAGAACTCCACATCTTCAGGGTCTTCACCAACAGCCAGGTGGGCAGTGCCGCGAGGAACAGGAAGCGCCGGGAGCGGGGCTCTGCCCTGGGTCCCCGGCCGTGCTGTCGGTGCTGTTCTGGCACTGACCCTGCTTAGTGGCGCTGCCCTGCTCGGGAACCCGGGTCGCTGCCAGGCTGCGCTCTGGACGGCCCAGGGCTCCCGTCTCCTCGCGTCTCTGTGTGCTGCCTTTGCCTGGTGGGGCCCTGCAGGCCTGCGCGCTCCCAGCTCCGAGCCCCTGCCTCTTCACGGTAGTTTTTGTGTCGGAGCCAGAGATGGCTCCCCCGGCCTCCACCCTGCCCAGAGCCCCTCCCCCGGAGACGGCTCCCCCTGCCTCTGCCTGCTGCTGCTCACCTGCTTTCCTGAGCATCCCCGGGGTCCTTTCTTCATTTCTCCTGTCTTCTCCTTGTTGACTGGGCTTCTTGTTGTTGTTCACGCGTAAGAAAACCAATGATGGAGACCAGTGACGGCGAGGGGCCCCTGAGGCTTGGGGACGCAGCCCTTCCCCCAGTCCAGTTCCAAGGGCCTAGATGTCCTGGTGGAGCATTCTCTCCAGAGCACTGTTAGTTCCTGGGTTTGATTTCTGAAGGGTTTGGTTTTTTGTTTTGGACCATGCCTGGCAGTGCTGGGGGACCACCTGGGAGGCCGGAGCTCAAACCCCGATCGGCCCCTCGCACGGCCAGCTGGACCCCGGCCGCTCCCGGAGTTTCCGGCTGCGCTTTGCTGCCAGGCAGCTGCGTTGCGTGCGGACGTGGCCGTCGCCCCTGCGATGGCACTGACCCCCTCCCTCCCGGCCGGTGTGGCTGTGCCCAGGTATCCTACACGTCCTGGTTCCTGGACGCTTTCAACTACGCCATCCTGAAGAAGATCGACGTGCTCAACCTCAGCATCGGCGGCCCCGACTTCATGGATCACCCCTTCGTCGACAAGGTCTGTTGCGCGCGCGTGGGGGGTGGGGGGCGGCCGCCCCGGCCTCCTGCCCCTGGACGGAGGGACTCGGGCGCTTGGGCTCCGCGTGTGAGAGGGTTCCCGAGAGCAGGTGGCGCTGCCAGTCGCCCCTGTGACTGGAGTAGGAACCCGCGGGGGGCGGGGGGGGCTTGCTGGCTGCAGCACACACACCGGCCCGACTCGGCACAGCGGACCGTGTGTCTGCCGGTGCTATGGCCACGTTTCCGGGCTGTCCCTGGGGCTCGTGAGTGGGACGGCCTCGCAGGGAGCCCCGTGCTTGTCGTGCAGGTGTGGGAGCTCACGGCCAACAACGTGATCATGGTGTCTGCGATCGGCAATGACGGGCCCCTGTACGGGTGAGTGTGGGGGCCTGCCCGCGGGCGCTTTCCTCTGTCGGTCTGTCTGCCTCTCTGGGCCTGGGGCGGCCCACTGCTTCTCGTGGAGCCTGACTGGGCGCAGGTGTCGTGCCGCCCGTCCCCGGCAAGTCTCCCTCCTGCTGCCTGTCGGGTTGCTGCTCCTCCCTCTGGCGTCACTGCTCAGCCAGAGCCGTGACTTCTCCCGTAGCCCCCGGTCCCGAGTCAGCGCCAGGAAGGCAGGAGGCCCCTCGGACAGGCGGGGCGGGAGGGAAGCAAGTGAGGGAACCAGCGTGGGGAACAGGAGTCAGCGGGCGCTGGTCCCAGCCCGACGGCGGGCGCGGAGCCCAGCAGCGGGGAGCGCATCGGCCCGCACGTGGCCGCCGGTTCAGTCCCCAGAACCCCAGACCGTGATCCCCGAGTGTGGAGCTGGGAAGCCGGGAGTGATGCCTGAGGATCGTCAGGCGTGCCCCTCCCCCGTGACAGGTGCTGGGGCGTCTGCCTCTCCCTCCTCTCTCTTCCACACCGCACAGGATGCCATTTCCGGTGTGGAAGCGCCTTTACAGGGGTTGCTGGTCGCCTCCTTCCGGGGGCTTGGGGGCCAGCACGGTGGTCCTCGACAGCAGCTCTGAGGCCCCCACAAAGGATAAAGAAGGTGGCGTCTGTCCTTGATGTGCCTCAGTCGCGCCGAGCGGAGACCTGCGTGCTCTCGCTTGCGTGTGCGGGGTCCCTGGGTGCGTGTGGGTGTGGGGGCTCCCCTTGATGTGCCCGTGTGGGGAGCAGGTGAGGCCCGGTCCTGACGCCCGTTGTGTAGGAGACGGTGCTCCTGGCCTGGCCCTGCCGGGCGGGGCTGGGACCCCTCGTGCTTGCTTGGCGGGCATCTGTCTCCCCGGGTGTCGGGTCCTGCCCAGGGCCTGTGTTGTGAATCCCTGTGCCCGTGGGGCGAGAGTGGGCGACCCACCAGGGCCTGCCTCCTCCTCCTCCGCTCGTGTCTGCCGGAGCAGGTTGTTTTCCAGCTGGTTCCTGCCCGCTTCCTGCAGGCAGGCGGGCCGAGGTGACTGGTGGGCCCGCAGCCCCTCGGCCTCTGAGCTCGGCCTCGAGCTCGGGCCCTGCCTGTTGCCTGGAGCTTCGCTGCCCTTCTCCTCTCTCCCGGCTGCCCACACTTGTCTTCTCAGTTTCCATCTCCAGAGACCTGGCGTTTTCTTGGAGGCTCCGTTCCCCCACCCAGACGTGGCCGTCCCAGAGACGCTTCAGCTCCCCTCTGGGCCTCGTGGTGTCTTGGCCCCTGCCCAGCGCCCTCAGGCCAGGGCAGCCGTGGACCTGTGGTGGGGATGGCCCGCTGGATTGCGGGGCCCGGCCTCCTCCCCGACCCCCTCCTGGCCTGGGCAGTGCTGAGGACAGCCCCATCAGCAGCGCCTGGTCATCCAGCCTGCGCCTGCCCTGCTCAGCTGTCCTGGGCTGCACCTGGCACTGCCCTTCTCCGCGCCGGCCCTCCTGGAGGAAGGTGCTGCCCGCACCTCGGGGAGACGTGTCCCAGCTTCTCTGCTCGGCCTCAGCCACTCATGGCCCCACGGGCAGGTCGTGCTGGTGGCACCAAGTCGGGCCATGGGGCCCGGCCTCTGACACACTGCTCAGTGCTCCTCCCATGCCGTTCCAGCACGCTGAACAACCCCGCCGACCAGATGGACGTGATCGGAGTTGGTGGCATCGACTTTGAGGACAACATCGCCCGGTTTTCCTCGAGGGGAATGACCACCTGGGTAGGCGCCTCCTTCCTCAGACTGGGGTCCCTGTCTCCGCACCTGTTTCTCAGCGTGCTTCCCACGGTCTGGCCATTAGGGGCTGGGGACTCCCGACAGCCCTGCCACGGGATCGCCCTGCCACCCTTCACCCTCCTCGCCCTCAGGACTGGCCTCCCGAGTCTGGGCACAGTCCTTCCTGAGCGTGTCACTGCCCTGCGGCTGGTGGCCGCTCCTCCACCACAGTGCTGAAGGCTCGCCTGATTCGGGGCCCCGCCTGTGTCCTGGCTACCAGCTCCTCCCTCCTCAGACGGGGGGCCAGGCCTGGTGGTGTGAGTCCTTCTCCCCATTTTAACCTTCTTTTTTTTGTAGGAGTACTGCTATTTATTCAGCCACTGATTGGCTAATTGAATTGTGCATGAATTCCACCTTACTTTTTTTTTTTTCATTTTTTATAATTTATTGAATCACCGTGAGAGCAGTTACAAAGCTTTTGGGTCTAAGTCTTGGTCATACAGTGAAACATCCGTCCCTTCACCAGTGCCCATTCTCCACCCCCAACAACCCCAGTATATCCCCCTTCCACACCCTCCCCTTCCTGGGGGGCAGATGATTTCCACATTACTCTCTCTCTACTTTGATCACATTCAATATTTTGACACCAGACCCACCATTATTATTTTTTTTTTGCTTTTTGGGTCACACCCGGCGATGCTCAGGGGTTCCTCCTGGCTCATGCATTCAGGAATTGCTCCTGGCGGTGCTCAGGGGACCATATGGTGTGCTGGGAATCGAACCTGTGTTGACCATGTTGGCTGCGTGCAAGGCAAATGCCCTACCCTCTGTGCTGTCGCTCCAGCCCCCAGACCCACCATTATTAATTTGAGATTTTACCCCAACACTCAGATCTGCTGAAAAGGCAACAATAGACAATTTGTGTTCTATTGCTGGTTATGAATAACATATGATGTCGTGTGGCTGCAGTAGGGCCACGCGATTTTGAAATTCCGAAATTTTAACACTTAAATCTGGAGGGATTTCTGCCAAAAGCCACTGGGTTTCGAGATTTGCTCCTGAGTCTCTGGGATCATGGCCGTTGAGCAGCTTGATCAGGAGCCAGAGAGGCCGTTCGTGGGCGATGACTTGGGGTCTCGTTGGGGTGGGGAGGACAGGCCCGGCTCCCCCCCATCCCGTGAGGCCCAGCAAGTTTTGTCACTGTGGGCCCAAGCCTGACTATCCAATGGCCTCTGTGGATGACAGCCACCAAGCCGCCAAGAGGGAACAGGTGGAGTGACAACACCCTTTCCTCCTTGGGGTGGCCCAGCAACAGTAACATACTGTGGGGTCTGGGCGCATTTCTGCCAAAAGCCACTGGGTTTTGAGATTTGTGTCTGAGTCTCTGGGATCATGGCTGTTAAGCAGCTTGACCAGGAGCCAGAGAGGCTGTTCATGGGTGATGACTTGGGGTCTCGTTGGGGTGGGGAGGACAGGACTGGCTCCATCCCCATCCCGAGAGGCCCTGCGTGTCTCGTCACTGGGGGCCCAAACCTGACTGTCCAGTGGCCTCTGAAGGATGGCGGCCACTGGGCCGCCAGGGGGAAGAGGCCAAGGCACGAAACCTATTTCCACCTGGGTTGGCCCAGCACCGGTAACCTACTGCAGGAACAGGATGAATTTCTGCCAAAAGCTTTTGGGTTCCGAGATTTGTTTCTGAGTCTCTGGGATCGTGGCCATTAAGCAATTCAATCAGGACCCAAAGAGGCCTTGCCTCCAATTATATAGCTGAGCTGGAGGTGGTTTGTGGGTGTGTCTCCCACATACCTAACTTTTGGCTCTTTACTTTCTTGGTAAACTTTGCCCCAAGTTTTTGGGGTCTGGCCAAAGGCACAGCAGCAATTTTGGGGTATCTGGAAGTCTGAAGGCGCCATCAGGCTGCTGATGCACTCGCCTCACAGGTACAGATTGACCTGCTGGTGGCACCACACCCCCTTAACCTTGTTTTTGAATTGTCCTGACTTCCGTTTTGGTTGGCAGCCGCAAGGGGCAGTGGTCGGGATGGGTTCTGGGTCGATCCCAGCGGAGCCTGGGGCCTCTCATGCAGAGCCACACGCCCGCCCTTCGAACACGAACACGTGCTGGCCTCTTGCTTGTGACATCGGTAAGGGAGAAATCCGTTTTTCCCTGTAGGCCGGCATGTCACAAGCTTAAGCCCGCTGATCTAAACGGGACGGCACCGTTGCTGTTAGTGTCAGGCACCCCCCAGGCCGTTGTCTCCCTTCCCGGGCGTGTGTGGCGTCTGAGTGCCCAGCGTCCACCCTGCGTCTCGACCCTGTGCCCTGCACGGCCGCAGGAGATGCGGGTGGAACCGGCGCTTTCGTCCCCAGGAGCTCCCAGGAGGCTACGGCCGCGTGAAGCCGGACATCGTCACCTACGGCGCCGGGGTGAGGGGCTCCGGCGTGAAGGGGGGCTGCCGCGCCCTCTCGGGGACCAGTGTGGCCTCGCCGGTCGTCGCCGGTGCCGTCACCTTGCTCGTGAGGTGAGTGTCGCTCCGCGGGGGCCGGGGCGGGGCGGCGGGGCGGGACGCGCTGAGAACACGCGCGCTTCCCCGCAGCACGGTGCAGAAGCGGGAGCTGGTGAACCCGGCCAGCATGAAGCAGGCGCTGACCGCGTCCGCCCGCCGGCTCCCTGGCGCCAACATGTTCGAGCAGGGCCACGGCAAGCTGGACCTGCTGCGCGCCTACCAGGTCCTCAGCAGCTACAAGCCCCAGGCCAGGTGCGCCGCGCGGGGCGGGAGGCGGCGGCGGGGGGCGGGGGCCCCTTGCTCGCCGTCTGACGCGCGCCTCTTCCAGCCTGAGCCCCAGCTACATCGACCTGACCGAGTGTCCCTACATGTGGCCCTACTGCTCCCAGCCCCTCTACTACGGAGGCATGCCGACCATCGTCAACGTCACCATCCTCAACGGCATGGGCGTCACGGGCCGAGTCGTGGACAAGGTGAAGCCCCCGCACTCAGCTGGCGCCTCCTCTGGGGGCCCCTCCCGGCCGGACTGCCACGTTGAATTCTGCCTCCCGTTTCCGCCTGTGCTTCAGGGCCCGCTCGCAGCTATTTTATTAACAAACGCAAACGGGCCTTTGGGTTCACGAAGACGGTCCGTGCTTGAGTTTTGTCTCAATTTTTGCTGCTGTGTAGAGAGCACCAAGGGTGGACACGGCCCGGCACCCCACCCTGACCTTGCCGTGGTTTCTCAGCATCTTTCCCAGCCCTGATGTGGAGCAGTGGTGTCTGCGTCTTTGTGTCCGGCGGGCGGGTGTTCGGTCTTTCCTGTCTGCGTCTTTGTGTCCGGCGGGCGGGTGCTCAGTCTCTCCTGTGCTGGCGGCCCCCTGGTGCCCTAGTGCTTTTCAGCGACGGGCTCCTGACGCGTAGGCTCGATGCCTCATTTGCTCCCTCTCTCCCCTGGCTTGAACGATCTGGATTTTCGACTATAAGCCGCTTGTTGAAGTCTTTGCACTTACAACTTTCCCTGCTCGGGACTCTGGTTCACGTTGACTTCCCTCTCGGACCCGGACTCAGGCTGTGGTCAGTGTCCAGGCCCTGTCCCCCCACTCAGCTGGCGCCTGTCCCCACGGGCCTCCTCTTGGGGCCCCCTCCCGACTGGGCCACACAGCACACTCGCAGTGCTGCCTGCCATGGGGCCTGTTGTGCTTGTCCCGAGGCCTGGAGTGGAGCAGCCCCAGGGCCTTGGTGGCCTCTGCGGGCCGGCCTTCCCCAGGCCGGCTGCCTCCCCCGGGCGTGTGGCCCGCTCCCCCACTGCATCTGCAGGTCGCCTTGGTGGCCCTGAGCCCTGCCAGGTGCGGCCCCGTGACAGCAGAAGCCGTGAGAGAACAAGGTCCCTCCCCCGCCAGCTGTGGCCCTCAGTGTGTGGAGGAGACGCCTGGGCTCAGTGCAGGGTCCTCGGCTCCGGAGGCTGGTTCCGGTCCCCCGTCTGTGTCCCCTGACTGCCCTCTCCTGTCCCCTCTCCCCCGCAGCCCGACTGGCAGCCCTACCTGCCCCAGAACGGGGACAACATTGAAGTCGCCTTCTCCTACTCCCCCGTGCTGTGGCCGTGGTCGGGCTACCTGGCCATCTCCATCTCGGTCACCAAGAAAGCGGCGTCCTGGGAGGGCATTGCCCAGGGCCACGTCATGGTCACCGTGGCTTCCCCTGCCGAGATGGAGGTACGATCTCCCCTGGGCGGGCAGCGGCCAGCAGCTCAGAGCCCCGAGGCCTGGGTCGGGTTCTGCACCTCGTGCCCGCCTGCCCCGGCAGGCCCACCTCGGGCCACTTCTGTTTGGGTTTTGGGTCACACTCGGCCGTGCTCAGAGGTCACTCTGGCTCTGCACTCGGATCACTCCTGGTGGTGCCCAGGGACTATGTGGGACGTGGGGTAGAACCTGGGTCGGCCACGCGCAAGGCCAGCGCTGTCCTGTGGCTCCGGGCCCGTGCCATGTTCTCTGACTTGGATGTCTGTGCGAGGCCCCGGCCTGGGTTCGGGCGCCCTCTGCCGCCTCGGGTATTGTCCGAGACTCAGGATTCTGAGCAGAAGAAATTCCGAAAAGTAAAAATGCCTTCCCACGGCTGGTCGCTTGAAACGCTCGTGTTGGCACTCGCGGGCGCAGGCGAGAAGCGCCTCTTAGGTGCCTGGGCGGGTGGGGCAGAGGACACTGTTTTCTCCAGTCGGAGCACGGCGCGGAGCAGACGTCGACCGTGAAGCTGCCGGTGAAGGTGAAGATCATCCCGGCCCCGCCGCGGAGCAAGCGCGTGCTCTGGGACCAGTACCACAACCTGCGCTACCCGCCCGGCTACTTCCCGCGGGACAACCTCCGCATGAAGAACGACCCGCTCGACTGGTGAGCCGCCCGCGCCCCGGCCGGAGCAGCGGTCTGGAGAGCACGGGACGGGAGGCCGGCAGCCGGCGGCGGGCAGGGGCGCCCACTGCGGGGCTCGTCCCTCCCCGGCCCCCTGCGGCCTCTCCTCACGGCCTTCCTGCAGCCCCCACTGAGGCCGGCGGGGCTGCTCGGGGCGGGCCCGTGGGAGCTTAGCCGCGCTGTCCTCGCCCTCAGGAACGGCGACCACGTCCACACCAACTTCAGGGACATGTACCAGCACCTGCGGAGCATGGGCTACTTCGTCGAGGTGCTGGGGTCCCCGTTCACCTGCTTCGACGCCAGTCAGTACGGTGAGGAGCGGGGGGGGCGGGGCGAGGGGTCGGGTGTTTGGTGCTGGGGCCGATGCGACGCGCGGGGCCTGTTCATCTTGGTCTCACTTGGGGGTCTCCTAAGTAATGCTGGCGAGTCACTGCTGGGGCCTGAGGACGCGCAGGGCTCCCTCGGGGGTGGGGGGAGCACGGTTGATGCGGGGAGCACTCGACGTGAGTCCCTGCGGGCCGTCACACTCCCCGTCACGCTGAGTCTGGGCGCGGGCGCCCGCAGGCACCCTGCTCCTGGTGGACAGCGAGGAGGAGTACTTCCCCGAGGAGGTGGCCAAGCTGAGGCGGGACGTGGACAACGGCCTCTCGCTCATCGTGTTCAGCGACTGGTACAACACGTCCGTCATGAGGAAGGTGAAGTTCTACGACGAGAACACGAGGTACTGTGGCACCGTGTTGGGGTCGTGTGACCGGGCGGGGCGGGGGAGCTGGCCGTGTGCCCGTGCCCGCGCTCTGCCGCTGGACCCGGCTCTGTGTCTGCGCCTCCCCTGTGCTCCCGAGAGGCGCGTCCAGCGCCTTCCTCGGAGCCCGGCGTCCTGCTGCATTTGGCTCTCGTGGTTTTCTCGACCACACTGGCCATGCTCAGGCCTGACTCCTGCTCTGTACTCGGGAATCATTCCTGGCGGTGCTCAGGGCACTCACTGTGTGGGGTGCCAGGGATCGAACTAGGTTAGCCACGTGCAAGGCCAGCGCCCCCCCCACCCCCCGCGCTGTCATTCCAGCCCCACATTGGGGGTTTTTTGAAACCGAGAGGCTTGGGGCCCGAGCGATAGTGTAGCAGGGAGGCGTTTGCCTTGCACGCGGCTGACTTGGGTTCGGTCCCCAGCACCCCAGATGGTTTCCAAAGCACTGAGCCAGGAGGAGCCCCCGCGTGGCCCCAGCAGAGACGGAAGCCTTTGCTTCTGCTGCTGCTTCGCTCCGCGGGGCCTGTGACCCCTGGTGTGGCTCTGCCAGGCCCCGCCCTGCTCCGCCCCTCTCGCCCCCCCCTCGCTGACCTTCCCCGGGGCCCCAAGCCGAGCGCGTCCCAAGGCAGCTGTCGCTCAGACGCAGGTGCGAGTGGTGACGTCCCGCTCTCGCAGGCAGTGGTGGATGCCGGACACGGGGGGCGCCAACGTCCCGGCTCTCAACGAGCTCCTGGCCGTGTGGAACATGGGATTCGGCGACGGCCTGTACGAAGGGGACTTCACCCTGGCCAACCACGAGAGTAAGCTGGGCTGGGCGGGCTGGGGCCCTCCCCGCCGTGCTCTCGGCCCGGCTGGGCCGTCACGGGACAGTTCTCGGTGAGCGCTGAGGCCGCCTCACCGGCATCGTTCTCGGCCAGCCTGGTCTCCGGGCGCCTCTGTCGCCCACGTCCGATGCTTCACGCGGCGTCTCGGGGCCACTGAGCCGGCCCTTCCCTCCGAGTCCCCTCTGGGCAGCCCCCGCGGGTTCCTGCTGTGACACGCTCGTGTGTGCCGCCGCCTTGCACGCCCCATCCTGCCGCTGCCCCGGCCGAGTTTCTGGAGCATCTTTCTGTATCACCGTCATCCCGTTGTTCGATTTACTCGAGCGGGTGCCAGTAACGTCTCCATCGGTCCCAGCCCTGACGTTTTAGCAGCCTCCCCTTCCTCGTCTTTCCCAGCGATTGGCGGCTCTTTCGGAGTCAGGGGAATGAGACCTGTTATTGTTATTGGTTTGGGCATAAGGAATGTGCCACGGGAAGCTTGCCAGGCTCTCCCGTGCAGGGGGGACGCTCTCTGTAGCTGGCCGGGCTCTCCGAGAGGCATTTATGTATATATTTCTCTCTGATTTGTTGCCTGCCCTCTGAACCCCGTCAGACACGGTGTAGTAGTTATGAAAAAGGGTAGGAAGTGTCTTAGGATGCGTGGTCCAGAAAGTGGCCTGGAGCGTGGCGGCGGTTGGGTAGTGGAGGTCGGCTGCCGGGGCTGGGTCCCTTTGGGTGGGGAGGGCTCTCACCCGCCCCACTCCGGGGCGCCCCGAGTGGAAACAGCCTGGCTCAGAGTCCCTGGGTCATCTTAGGCGTTCTTATTACTGGCCCAAGCCTGGCAGCTCAGGCTTCTGCCATCTGCTCAGGACCCTTCTTTAAACTGGGAATTTGAGGTAGCTGCATCTCGCGATCAGGCCATCGTAGCAACCCCTCTTGGAGACGAGGGGCAGCTTCCAGAAGCACCATCCGGAGAATGCGTTGCACTCTGACCCAGGTGCCCCGGGCGGGGACTAACTCTGGCTACCTTGTCGCAGTGTACTACGCGTCTGGGTGCAGCATCGCCAAGTTCCCAGAAGAGGGCGTCGTGATAACACAGACCTTCAAGGACCAAGGTGAGGGGCCCTCCCCATGCGCCTGAAGGCGGCTCTTTGGGTTGCTTTGGCTTGGTCTCGGTTTGGTCTGGGGGTCACACCTGCGGTACTCAGGGCTCACTCCTGGCTCTGTGCACTGGGGTCACTCCTGGGTTCATCGTGTGCAGGGCAGGTGCCCTCCCCGCCGTGCTTTGGCTCTGGGCCCCGTTGGTGGAGTTTTGTTCTTCTGGTCGGTTTTGTTTTTGAGCCAGACCTGATGGTGCTCAGCACTTACTTCGGCTCCGCACTCAGGGCTCACTCCTGGTGGTGCTCAAGGGATGCTGGGCGTTGAGCCCAGGCCTGCCGTAGGCCAGGCAAGCCCCCTCCCTGCTGTACCATTTCTCCAGCCCAGTATTAATGTGTTTGATCATAGAATAATTTTACGATTTCCAGAGCACTGAGATTCTGGGAAAATGTTAACCGTGGTTTCAAGATTTTGGTTTTGGGTGGTGCTCAGGGCAGACTCCTGGCTCGGTGCTCAGGCATCGTTCCTGGGGACCATATGGGAAGCCAGGGATGCTGGGACAGCCGTGTGCAGGAATGCTCCCTCCCCACTGGTCACCGCGCCGGCTCCGTGTTTTGAATGCCTTAGCTGTGGGGGCTGTGAACACGTGAATTCTGGAGGCCGGGTTGCTGGGGACAGCTCCGGGCCGGATTCTGAGCTCGGCGTGTCCAAGGCCCGGGGTCTGACCCCACGTGCACTGCTGGGTGTGGCCCTCATCCCCACGTTGCTGGCCACACACACACACCTGACCCCCCCTCCCCGCCACCCCTGGCCCCCTTTGCTTACAGGCCCACATGGGGTCGCTGGGCTTGGGCTGGCGGCGGGAGCGGGGGGAGGGGTGGTGGTGCCGGCAGGGCGGCCCGGACGAGGCTCGTTGCTCCCCGCTCCTCTCGCTGCGCCCAGGGCTGGAGGTGCTGAAGCAGGAAACGGCCATGGTCGAGAATGTCCCCATTTTGGGACTCTACCAGACGCCGGCGGAGGGTGGCGGCCGCATCGTGCTGTACGGAGACTCCAATTGCCTGGACGACAGTCACCGGCAGAAGGGTGAGTGCGGGCGTTGTGGCCGCGCCTGTCGGGGCTCAGACTCCTGGGGTCCCGCTGCCCTGGCCACCCCGAAGCGACCCCGCACGGCTCGGGGCTGGGGGCAGGCCGACCATGGCCTCAGCCTCCTGACGGCCTCGCTGTCCCCAGACTGCTTCTGGCTCCTGGACGCGCTGCTGCAGTTCACGGCCTACGGGGTGACGCCGCCCAGCCTGAGCCACTCGGGCAGCCGCCAGCGTCCCCCCAGCGGCGCCGGCGTGGCAAGTCCAGAGCGGATGGAGGGTGAGCCCCCCGCACCCCAGGCGGCCACGCCTCCTCCTGCCGCTCAGGGCCCCAGGACCCCTGACTCCGCAGAAGGCCCCTGGGGCAGGAGACTCGGCTCCCGGGAGCCAGGAACCCGCCCAGCCCCCCGGGTCCCCTCTGCTCCCCGCAACAGTGGACCTGCCTTCCCGGGCCTGTGGGCCTGCTGGCTGTGGGCCCGGACCCGGGCAGGAGCAGCTTCTGCGGGAGCCCTGGCAAGTGCTAGTCTGAGTCGCCAGCTTCACTCCCGAGTGCTGCCGGTTAAGTCTCGGCGCTCAGGTGCCGCGTGCGTGGCGGCCGGGAGAGGAGGGAGGAGACACGAGTCACCAGCGTGTCTGCCTGAGTCACACAGTGAGACGAGTGTGACGCCCGCGGGCGCCGTCTCCCCCCAGGGAACCACCTGCACCGCTACTCCAAGGTCCTCGAGGCCCGCCTGGGAGGCCCCGAGCCGCGCGCCCTGCCCGCCTGCCCGCACCTGTCCTGGGCCAAGCCGCAGCCTCTGAACGAGACGGCGCCCAGGTGAGTGGCCGCCACGCCCAGTGGCTGCCTTCCTGGGTCCACCCTGAGGCCCGCGGGGGTGTCCCCCCTCCTCCTTCTGCCCCGGAGAGGGGTCTGTCCCCATGAGGGGAGTCTTCGCCCCTGTGAGGGGGCCTGTCCGCTTGAAGGGGGTCTGTCCCTGTGAGCGGAGTCGCTCAGGCACGCGGGGCTGTTCCGTCAGCCACCACAGCAGACTGCGGCCGGGAAAGCCCTCGCCGTGTCAGAGCAGGGGCTGGTCCTGCGGGCGGGTGCGGAGGGCCGGGGTGGTGGGCCGTGTGCAGCCCCTGAGCGCCGTGGGGTCCCGCTCCTCAGCGCGTCTCCTCCTGGAACTCCAGTCCCTGGTCACCTGCCCTGGCTCAGACGTGGGTGGCGAGTGGCCGGCTTTGGGTCGCACGCGCCGGTGACCCGCCGTGGTCTGGCGTGGCGGCCCAGCCAGCCTTTCCCGGGCAGCAGCCTCTCGGCTGGGCCCCGGTTCCCGCATGGCGTGTGGCAGCCACGTCGGGCTCCCGGAGCGGCGCCCTCGACACCCCGTGCCCCCGGCTGCCTCCCTTACGCCACATCCCCCGCGTCTGAGCTCATGCCCCGAGCCACCTGGGCTCTGCCTGCAGAGGGCAAGTGGCCAGTGTGTCCCGGGGGAGGCCGGGCGCCCCTGCCACTCAGAGGGAGCCTCGCCCAGGGCGTCTGCTGGGCAGGGGCGGGAGGGAGGCGAGGTTCTGTCTGGGGGCGGGCCGCTGGCGGCGTCCCTTCCCGCTGCCCGTCTCCTGGGTGGGCTCAGCACGGCTGGTTCTGCCTCCCGCTCCCCAGCAACCTCTGGAAGCACCAGAAGCTGCTGTCCATCGACCTGGACAAAGTGGCATTTCCGAACTTCCGGTCCAGTCGCCCGCAGGTGCGGCCCCTGTCGCCCGGGGAGAGCGGCGCCTGGGACATCCCTGGAGGTCAGTTCCCGACGCGTCCCTCGAGCGCCAGACCCGCACGGCGCCTCCTGCGCCCGCCCAGACCGGGAGCCCCGGGAGCCCTCCCGCCCCCCGCCCGGGCCTGACCGGGTCTGCTCCGTGCCGTGCCCGAGGGTCGCCGGGGCCGCGCGCCAAGCCAGGCCGGGGCTCTGCCGAGCAGGAGCGCGGACATGGGGCCGGCAGGGCCTCACACGCATGCAGCACACGCGTGAGGGAGTGAGCAGGAGGTCAGTCCGAGACCTCACAGTGTCATGCACGCACACACTCCCATGTGGAAGTGGTCTCAGACCCCCGCAGTCTCCCCTCACACACACGTTCGCACGCTCACACACCCTGCGCACACACACGTGGGAATGATCAGTCTCAGACCCCATAGTCTGCCTTCACACACACGCTCACACACATGCGCGCAAAGAGAAGTACATGGAAATGGTCAGTGTCAGACCCCGCAGTGTCCCCTCACAGACACGTACACGTACACACACACACACACACACACACACAGAGCAGTGGTCCGTCTGAGCCCTGCAGGGAGGCGTGGAAATGCTGCGCCCCGGCCTCCTGACCGCCCCTCGCTGTCCCGCAGGGATCATGCCCGGCCGCTACAACCAGGAGGTGGGCCAGACCATCCCCGTCTTCGCCTTCCTGGGGGCCATGGTGGTCCTGGCCTTCTTCGTGGTGCAGATCAACAAGGCCAAGAGCCGGCCCAAGCGGAGGAAGCCCCGGGTGAAGCGCCCACAGCTGGCCCAGCAGGGCCACCCCCCCAAGACCCCCTCGGTGTGACCCTCGGAGGGCCCGACCGGGAGAGCCAAAGAGCCCGGGGGCCCCTTCTGAGCGGGCCGCCAGGTGACCCGCCCGCTGCCCCCTGGGGACGGGGCCTGGGGGGCCCTGCCCCTTCGGGCCGTTTTCTCTATTTATTGTGGAAAGTCACTTTAAAGACTTGAACTAAGCGAAGCTATTTTTGCGTCGATGGAATGCGGTTTTTTACTCGCCTCCCGAGGACTGGCGCGGACCCCACGCCCGCCGCGCGGTCCGCAACAGAGACCTTGGCTTTATTTTTCTAAGTATCACCCGCCATCCTGTTTTGTAATTCGGGGTTGGATTTCACCATTGTCGGTGAAGAGAATTCTCAATAAACGTGCATTACCCGTCTGAAGCAGACGCCGCGTGCCCCCTGCTCTCTGTCCCCAGCCCCGCGGCCCGGTGCGTGTCCCGGCCGTGCCCCGCAGCCTCCCCGCCAGGTCTGCCCTCCATACACCTCGGCACAGCGGCCCCGCGACCCCACGCGATGCCTGACGCTGGAAGGCCGGCAGCTGGACTCCACTCATGCGTGCTGATGCAGTTAATGAGGGTCCGAGGGCCGCCAGCACCGCCACCAGATTAACGGCACAAAGCCACTCTGAGCCCCTGAGACTCCTGACCTCCTGCCCGCCTGCCCGTCTCAGGCAGATTTGGAAGGTCAGGAGGAGGTTGGTTCTGGGGGGGGACCCCTGCCAGGGGACTGTGGGGATCATGTGATCTCCCCGGGGAGGTGGGCTGCAGGGAAGGGCCTGCCGGGGGTCCCCGACCACCCTCTAGACCCCCTGATTGAGTCCAGATGGACCCCCTCAGCTGGCTGTTGGGACCCAGGGTCTGGGGACTGGCCATCCTCAGGTGGGTGAGGTCACCAAACCAGTGACAGGTGCAGGTGTCCTGGCCCGGGCAGGACGGCGGGAGCTGGGGGCTTACTGGGGGCCTTGGGCCCGGATAGCCCTGGAGAGGGTGGGGAGGTGCAGCCCCTCTGCTCTAAGCTCTTCCTGGGCTGAGGAATCCGGCGGGGGTGAGGCCCGGCCCCTCTCTAGGCCTCCTGAGGCTCCGCCCACAGCTGTGGCCTGTCCCCCCCCCCCCTTTTCCGGCCAGGGGCAGTCAGGACTCTTCCACCTCAGGCTCAGGCTCGGGAGGTGACCCCTTGGCAGTGCTGGACTCTTCCCTCCCGGTCCCCTGGAGCGAGTCTGAGCTGTTGGCCACCAAAGCCGGGCCTGTCTCCGGCCCGAGTCGGTGGGTCCCACCTGGTGTCAGAACTGGCCCGGCCCAGGACTGAGCCGGGAGGGCGGGTGAGGACCCCTGCCCTGCCGGCCATGGGGGTGCAGAGCCCAGGAAGCGGCGACCTCGCGGGGGAGCCGCCCCCTGCTGCCCGCCTGTCCTCGGCGGGTGCCGTGGTCATCCTGCTCAAGTCTGCGCTGGGCGCCGGCCTGCTCGCCTTCCCCTGGGCCTTCCACAGGGCCGGGGGGCTGCTGCCTGCACTGCTGGTGGAGCTGGTAAGCGCCCACGCAGGGCTGGGGGCCGGGACTCACCTCCGCCTGCTGGGGGTGGGAGGGTTGCAGGGAGACGCGCGTGGCCGGCAGGCTGGGTCCGGGGGTCAGCGGGCAAGCGCCTTGCTGTGCCTTCTCAGGGCGTCCACTCGGGGTTCAGGCACGGGCGGTTTCCAGGGCACCACTGAGGGGGCCCAGGCGGCCTGAGAGCCCGGCCCCTCCCGGGGTGCCGAGCCTGCGGCCCTCGGGGCTGGGACACGCCCGGAGCATTACCTCATCACTGGTTTGGGCTGGGAGCCACACTCGGCGATAATGGGGGCGGCTCTCCGGCTCTCGTTTTCCCACTTGAATGTCAGGGCAGAGCAGCAGCCCTGGGGGCCCGGCCCCCCACCCCAGCCTGCAGGGCCTTGGGCGCCCCGGGAGGCAGGGAGGAGACTCAAGGCTGCCGGGAGGCGTCTGCACCCGGAGGTCGCGCCGGTGGGGCCCAGCTGTACTCTGCAGGGCGGGGTGGGGGTCTCCGGCTGGCCAGACCCTGCCCACCGCCCTGCCCGCAGGTGTCCCTGGTCTTCCTCGTCAGCGGGCTGCTCACCCTGGGCTACGCGGCCGCTGTCAGCGGCCAGACCACCTACCAGGGCGTGGTGGCGGCGCTGTGTGGCCGGGCCTTGGGCCGCCTGTGCGAGGGCTGCTTCACGGCCAACCTGCTCCTCATCGCCGCCGCCCTCCTCAGGGTCATCGGCGACCAGCTGGAGAAGCGTGAGTCCCACCGGCCCCGCGTGGGGACCCGGACCCCCCCCCCTGCGGGCGGCAGATTCCCCTCTCCTCAGCCCACCGCCCCCACGACAAACCCCGTTTCTGCCCCTCTCGGGGGGCTGGGGGAGTTCAGCCTCACCAGGGGCGTGCCCGGCCCCCGGGGTGCCTCGCCGCAGCGGTTTCCATCACTGGAAGCCTCACGCAGGCAGTGGGTGCCCGCCCCGACTCCGCCACCCGTGGGCTCCTTCCCAGGGGGACAAAGTCAGACCCTCCGGTCTGTCCCCAGCTCCGCTCCGCCTGGGGGGGCGCGTCACCGAGAGGCAGCGAAGGTCCGGGGGTCGCGGTGGGGTCCCGCCCTGGCGGGGGTGAGCGGCCCGTGAGGTCACTGTCCCTGTCCCCGCAGTGGGCAGCTCCCTGCTGCCCGGCGCCCCGCGGCCCTGGTACCTGGACCAGCGCTTCGCCCTGGGCCTCGTGTCCCTGCTGCTTCTGCCGCTGTCCGCCCCGCGCCACATCCGGGGCCACACGCTCAGCAGGTGCGCCCATGGGGGCCTGGCCACCCCCGGGACCCGGCCCGGGCGCAACTGGTCTCCCTAACACCTGGTATGGGGGTCCCATCCACCGGGTATCGGGTCCTGTCCACCTGGTATCAGGGGTCCCGTCCACCTGGTATCGGGGGTCCTGTCCAGCCTGTCCAGCCCTGGGCAGTCTCCCCACCTGGGGGACCTGGACCTGCCCACCAGTGGCCTCCCCTGGGCCCTCAGCTTCCTAGGCACGCTGGCCGCCTGCTACCTGGCGCTGCTCACCGTGGCTCAGTACTACCTGGGGCCCCCGCGGCCCCTCCCGCAGCCCGGCCCCCCCGCCCAGGTGAGTTTCAGGGTGGCTGGGAGTGCCGTGGTCTGTCCTCACACCCAGGGGCGTGTCCCTGGCCAGGGGCAACAGATGGCCAGCAGGATGCGGGCTCCCGGGGCGGCCCGGGGGGGCAGGGGACAGGCTTAGAGCCCGGGGGGGCGCCTGGCCCAGGTGGGGCCGTGGTTCTGACCCGGCTTCTCCCTGCAGCCGCGCCCCCGGCATCTCGGCCCTCGCCGTCTTCCCCACCATCTGTTTCGGCTTCCAGGTGAGGTGGGCTTGTGGGGGTCCCTCCCGTGCTGGGGGCAGCAGTGCCTGGTGACCTGCACTAAAGCCGGATCCAGCAGCGTGTGGGGGAGGGGGTCGCCCGCTTGCGGCTCGGGCAGATGCTTCTGTGTGGTGGGCTCGGCCTGGCCTTGGGCACCCCGACCTCTGACCCCTCTCAGCCCTGGGCAGATGCCTCTCTCCCTCTGAGGGGGTCCTGCGGCTGAGCCGGCTGGGGAGGGGTGAGTGGAGAGGGGCTGGCGGTGGGGGGGGGTCAGGGCAGGACCCCGGGACGCCTCCTTGGGCCCCCTCCCCCTCCCCCCTCTAGCAGCTGAGGCTTGTTTTCCTGGGAGTGGGTGGGGCGTGGAGGTCGCAGGGGGAGGTGGGGAAGGGCACGCCCCCCACACACTGCCGGTCCCCAGGCCTTGCTGGGGGAGTGCAGACCTCCCTACCCCGTGGGGAGACTGCATCACGAGCCCAGGTCTGCGGGCTCTTAAGCAGCCTCACAGGGCCCCAGCCCGCCCTCCCCTGCGCTAGATCTGGGTGGTCCCAGGGCTGCTGCCTGGCCCGCGGCTTGCGGGGTCCTGGACAGGGCCACACTCATGGGGGACACGGGCGTCACCGCACGGAGCCCTCGCCTGCTCACTTCTGCCTGCCTGCCTGCCTGCCTGGGCTCTCTGGTGCCCACACAAAGGGGCCTCGGGGCAGGCAGTACCCCCAGCTCCCAGGGGTCCCTGCAGGGGCTCCCTGCTCCCACCGCCCCCAGGAGCCCCCTGCAGGAGCCCCGCGTGCAGGTCACTGTGACAGCTGCAGTGATGACCCCCCCCCCCGCGCCTCTCGTGGTGGGCTCCCCAGGCAAGGGGTCTCGCCTCGCCACAGCCCACCCTGCCCGTGTGGCCCTGACCTGAGCCTCGGGGCCCTCCCGCACAGCCTCGCCCAGAACCGCCCCCGCCGCCTGGGCCTGACCCACAGCCACGGAACCCATCCATGTCTTCCAGTGCCACGAGGCCGCCGTGTCCGTGTACAGCAGCATGCGTCGCCGTGACCTGCGCCACTGGGCCCTGGTCTCGGGGCTGTCCCTGCTGGCCTGCTGCCTCATCTACTCCCTGACAGGTGCGGGGGCCCCGGGAGCTGCCCGGGGGCGGGAAAGCACCCCCCCCCCAGAGAAGAGGAAACTGGGGCTCTGGGTTTCCTGCACGTGGCTCAGCTCCCAGCTTGCCCAGCAGTTGTGGCCATTCATCGGTGCCGTGGGCCTCAGTTTTTCCCACCTGGACAATGGGCTTATCCTGGGCGCCCCGGGGTGGGGGGTGAGTGTGGAAGGCTCGCGCTGAGAAGGGAAGGGGCCGTTTGCTCCGTGATGTCTGCCCGGACAGGCCGAGGGGGAGCCCGGACCTCCCAGTTCTGAGGCTCCCACAGCTCCTGCCCATCGGCAGGAGGCAACTCAGAACCGCGGGGGTGGAACCTTCCAGAAGCTTCCGTCAGGCGGCAGGTGCGAGGGGGTGCTGGACCTTCCCGCCCGCAGGGGTGTTCGGCTTCCTGACGTTCGGGGCGGAGGCCTCGGCCGACATCCTGCTGAGCTACCCGGCCAGTGACCCGGCCGTGCTCGCGGCCCGCGTCCTGTTCGTGGCCTCCGTGGTCACCGTGTACCCCATCGTGGTCTTCCTGGGGAGGTGAGTCTGCGGCTGCGGGATGCTGCCCGCGGGGGTGTGGGGGGTGTGGGGAGCCCCCGCCAGCCCACCGCGGCCCCAGGTCGGTGCTGCAGGACTTGTGGCGGAGGAGCTGCTGTGGAGCCCTGGCTGACCCCGCGGGGCCCGCCGGCCGGGGGCTCCTGACCGCCCTGTGGGTGGCCGTGACGCTCGCCATGGCCCTGCTCCTGCCCGACCTCGGCGACATCATCGGCGTCATCGGGGGCCTCAGCGCCTTCTTCATCTTCATCTTCCCAGGTGAGCGGCCAGGGGACAGCTGGGCTGGCCAGCCTCTCCAGGGGGCGCCTCGGGGCCGGGAGAGCAGGCGGAGCCCGCCCGCCTCTGGCACGGATATGGGAGCACTGAGGCCCAGGTTGCCGCCAGCTTGGCTCCCCGTCTCCCCTCCACCCCTCGGTGTGAGCCAGGGATGTCTGCCGGAGCAGCCCAGGGTCGCCCAGGCTGGGAGCCGAGATGGGTGCTCAGAGCAGGGTGGTGTGAGAGTGGCTGGGGCTGAGGGTGGGGTCTCAGACCTGTGGGTGGGGGTGACTGCACACAGTAGGTGCTCTGTACACAGCAAGCACATGTAGGTGCTATGTGTACAGCAGCTGCATTGTACACTGTTTTGCTTCCAGTGGGGTCCTGCGTACAGTAGGTGCCATGTGAACAGCAGGTGTGTGCAACAGATGTGTATACAGTAGATGCCATGCGCATTGCGGGTGCTGTGCACAGTAGGTGTGCAATAGGTGTGTATACAGTGGGTGCCGTGTGCACAGTAGTGCCATGCACAGTAGGTGTGTGCAGTAGTAGGTGTGTATACAGTAGGTGCTGTGTACACAATAGGTGTGTGCAATCATACGTATACAGTAGGTGCCGTGTGCACAGTAGGAGTTGTGCAGAGCAGATGTGTGCAATAGGTGTGTATGCAGTAGGTGGCGTGCTCATAGGAGGTCCTGTGCACAGTAGGTGTGTGCAATGGTAGGTGCCATGCGTACACTAGGTGCTGTGTGCACAGTAGGTGCTGTGCTATGCACACAGCAGATGTACACTCAGCAGGTGCTGTACGCACAGTAGGTGCTGTGCATATTAGGCGTGTGCAATAGACGTGTATACACTAGGTGCTAAGCTATGCACACAGTAGATATATATATATACACAACAGATGTGTATGCAGTAGATGCCATGCGCACTGTAGTGCTGTGCACACAGTAGGCGCTCTGCCAGTGCGACATGAGCTCTCCAGTGAGCCCATGTTGAGAGCTGCGAGCAGCACACACTGCACTTGGGGGACCGGGTCCTCAGCCCCACAAGAGAAGCAGCCGTCCGCCGGCGGGCTGTGGAAGAAGGGGAGGCCTTCGCGGCGGCCCCCAGGGTGGGGCTGAAGTGCTGCTCCCGGCCAGGCCTCCGGACCAGGCTGCAGGGCGGCGGGACTCACTCCTGGGCACAGTGGGTGCCGCCCAACTCCCCACCCACACCAGGGGCAGTGGCAGGGGCCTGGGTCCGAGGCAGCACACTGACCCTGGGGCTGCGGGGGGGTGTCCTGGCCTGTGTGTGCTGCGGGGTGACCTCCCACCCCCTCACAGGTCTGTGCCTCATCTGTGCCGTGGGCGACGAACCCATCGGACCAGGAGCCCGGTGAGTCTCTGTGGGGCATCTGCAGGGCTGCGGGGGCCGGGCCGGGGCCCGCCCTCTCTTCTGTGCAGAGGTGCTGCGGGGCCCCGATGGGTCCTGGGGTCTCGGGGGTCCCTGCCCTTCCTGCCGAGGCACGGCCGACCCCCAGGGGTCTGTGCCCCGCAGTGCACGCTTGGGCTTGTTCCCTCTGGTTAGAGGGTCCCAGGGGCCTGCGAGGGCATGTGGCGGCCGTGGGCTCGACCAGGCCCTGCCCATGTTGCATTTGGGGGTCCCCAGTATCTTCTCCCTCCGGCCCCTTCCTTCCTGGGGGCCTGCACCCACCCCCCAATATGGGAAAAGGGGCGAGAGGGGTGGGCAGCTCGTGCCTCTGGGCCCCGTTCTACGGAAGCACACGTGGGGGGTGAGCAGAGACCCCTGCATGCCGGGCCCTGAGCCCCTGGCGGACGTGGCCTCTGTTGCAGGCGCGGCCTGGAGGCCTGGGGCGCCGTGTCGGTGCTGGCCGGGGCCTTCATCTTCGGGCAGAGCACGGCCGCGGCGGTGCTGGAGCTCGTCTGAGGGAGACGGACGCCTCGGGCTGCCCGCGGGGGGTGGCCCTGGCCACGGGGAGACAGAGCAGACCCTCCCAGGACGCCTGGACCCCTTCCCCGCGGGGACCCCCTGCAGCCTTCCCTGCACCCACCAAGACCCTTCCGGAAGCCTGAGCATGTGCCAAGGGCAAGGTGGCAATGGGGCTGTGGGTCCTGCGTGGAGGCTTGTGCTGAGCGTCCTGGCAGCTGCGTGGACGGAGGGGCCTCGGGAAGGGACACCCACTTTGTCGGTGCCGCTGGCAGCAGGGGGCCTGCCTGGCTGCCGCCTGCCGGGTTCAAGAGCAGCGGGGGGACATGGTGCCCACAGATGTCTGGAGACTTGGCAGGGGATGGTCTGAGCTGACCGCCTCCATGGGAGCAGCTGTGCCCGCCCGCCCGCCTGCAGTCCCTGGGGGAGCCAGGGGCTTCCCCCCGCTGGGTATCGCTGCTGTCCCCGGAATCAGCCCACGTTCCCTCTTCCTCCCGCCCTTGGGTGTCCATCTTTGTGCTTGGCAGTCTGGGGGCCGGTCCATGCCCATGTGCCCCTCCCAGCCGCAACTGCTGCCAGCCGCTCCTGGAAGCCCGCCCAGATGAACTGGCAGTGTGGGAGTGGGACACGGCTGGGCGCCAGGCTCTCTGGCTCCCGAGGGTCTGCCTGCCCACCCATGGCCTCGCTCGCTGCGTGTCCTTCCCAGCAAGGGGCAAAGCCGTGGCCCCGAGTCCTCACTCGTGCTGACCCTGCGGGGCCAATGTAGGAGGCTGACTGGGAGCACTGCCGGAGGTGTGGCTGCTCGGTGCGACCTGGGAGTGCCTCCCTCTGGGGGGGTCAGGGGTGTTCATGGTGTCACTGCCTCGGCCCCCTGGGCAGCCGTCAGCAGCTGTGCCACCCCGGGGCCAAGCTCAGGGAGGGAACTGCACGGGTGTCGCCCAGCCGAGGGGAAAGTACCCGCTGCTGCCACCAGGGGGCGCCCGCCCTCCAGAGCGGAGCCTCTCCCGCCTCCTAGAATGGAAACTGAGGCCGGGTGGGCGGGGGACACCAGGGCACGCTTGGCAGGAGTCTCAGGAGTGACTCGGCCCCGCCGCCCACCCGGGAGCCTTCACTGGGGTCCCGGCCACCTGCTCCAGCCCGGCCGCCCAGGGAACCAGCCGCTGCTTCTCCGTGGGGGGGACACTGTCCACTCCCGTCGCTGACCCATCACATCCCTGCCCCAAACGTAAACAGGAACCCGAGCTCGCGCATCTGGGGCTCCGCCCTGCAGGCGGGCCCACGGCCGGTCCCTCCCGCGCCCCCCGGTCGCCGCGGACACGAGGCAGGACGCGGGCTGTGGCCAGCGGGGTTTATTGGCCGCGCGGCCCCCACGGGCGGGCGTGGGCTCCTACCGGGAGGGGGTGGGGGCATGCACGGAGGGGGCGGGGCCGGGCGGCCGGGGGCTGCATCCACCGCGGCGGCGGCGGCGGCGGCCGGTGCACGATGCTCGTATACCAAAGTTCTAGAAAAAGCGGGTCCTCGGGGAGCTGCTGGGCGGCCGCGGCAGCCGGTCACTCGCGGCCCACCGTGCACCAGACGGCTGTGGGGGGCGAGAGTGAGGAGGCGCGGGGGCCGCCCGCCCCGCCCGGGCTGGCCCCCCCGCACACCTGGCACGGAGATCCGGGCCAGCGCCTCGGGCTGGCTCAGCGTGTCCACCTTCGTGTGCCGGAAGGCCTTGCACGCGGGGCTCTGCAGGTGCCTGCGGGGGCGGGCGCAGAGGTCGGGGGCGGGGCCCGGGGCCGGCGGGGGAGGGGGCACGGCTCCCGGAGCCGGGTCTCGCTCCCGGGGCACCCACCTCTTCCACTCGGCCTCCGTCTCCCAGAACTCGTAGACGACGAAGGTGAAGCCATCGGACAGTCTCACGGCGGCCACGCTGCAGGGGACAGGCTGGGAAAGGGGGGGCCGCGGACCCCGGGGACGCTCCCGCAGCCCGAGCCCAGGCCCCGCCCCTTCAAGTAGGCCCCGCCCACAGGGCGCCTCTCCTCCCCGCGGCCCCGCCCCTCCCCCAATTGGAAGCAGGCCCTGCCCGCGAAGCCCCGCCCCTCCCCGAGCCCAGGCCCCGCCCACAGAGCGCCTCTCCTCCCCTGCGGCCCCGCCCCTCCCCCAATTGGAAGCAGGCCCTGCCCGCGAAGCCCCTCCCCGAGCCCAGGCCCCGCCCACAGAGCGCCTCTCCTCCCCTGCGGCCCCGCCCCTCCCCCAATTGGAAGCAGGCCCTGCCCACGAAGCCCCTCCCCGAGCCCAGGCCCCGCCCACAGAGCGCCTCTCCTCCCCGCGGCCCCGCCCCTCCCCCAATTGGAAGCAGGCCCTGCCCACGAAGCCCCGCCCTCCCCGAGAGCAGGCCCCGCCCCTCCGAAGCAGGTGCGCGAGGCCCCGCCCCTCCGGCCCCGCCCTCCCGATAGGCCCCGCCCCGCCCTCACTGGAAGCAGGTGCCCGCGGCCGCCGTGGCGCGCAGGTACTGGCGCAGGGGCTCCAGGAAGTCGCTCAGCTGCTCGGGGCACACGGCCATCTCCTGCCGGACCAGCTGCAGGTGCTGGACCCCCGCGCGGTGAGCGGGGCTGCGGGCGTGCCGCCCGCCCGCCCCGCCCCCGCCCCCCGGGCACCTCCGGGCGCGCGCAGGGGACCCGGGCACCGGCCTCACCATGTCGCTGCCCTCCTCGTCCGAGAGCCGCTGCTGCAGGTCGAACCAGAGCGCCTGCCGCGACACGGCACGGGGACGCTGCAGGCCTCGCCCGCCCACGACCCGGGCGGGCAGGGCGCGAGGGGGTCCGGCGCGGGGCGACCCCCTCCCCAGCCGGAGCCGATCCGAGGCCCCGCCCCGCCCCCGCTCGGTTGCCAGGGTGACGGCGACGCTAAAAATAAGCTCCAAGCGCTGCCCTCCCGGCCGGCGCCCTCCGCGTTGCCCTGACAACGGCCCCAGGGTCCCGCCGAGCCCTTGCGGAGGGGTGGGGGTCCCGCCTGGGCCCCTCCCCCTGCAGCTCAGCCTCCCGCGGCGCGGCCCCGCCCACGCTTCCGCTTGCCACCCGAGTGCCCATCTGTCTGCCCTTTTGCAAACCAAGTGGAAAATTCAGAGCGGAAGAGAGACGCAGTCTGGGGGCCGCGGGGGAGGGCGGGGCGGGCGCCGTCCCGCAGCCCACCCGGGCCGGCCTCCCGCACCCGGGTGGGTCCCTGCGCGCAGCCCAAACGGAAAAAAAAAACAACCCTGTGCCACCTGAGAGGTCCCAGGGGGCCGCCCCCACCACAGCCCGCGCGTCAGCGGCCCACGGTGCTGGCCACGGCCACGGCCACGCGGGGCTTACCTTGCTCTCCAGCCGCGCGATCAGCCCCGCCAAGCGGCTGACCTGGGCCTCCAGGCCGTCCTCCGGGGGGTCCCGCGTGCCTGGGGGAGAGGGCGCTGAGGGGCAGCGGCGACGCCCTGGGCACCCCAGGGCCCAGGGTCCTGGGACCCGGGTCAGCGCCCTCCGCGCCCGCGTGAGCTCACCGGGCAGAAGGCTCTTTCCGGGCTCCGTGGCCACGAGCCTGTGGTTGGGGGCGTAGGGGTGGGGGGCGCTCCCGGGCCAGGCCTCCACCGCGCGGCAGCTGGGCAGGTTGTGGTTCTGCCTGCGGGTGGGCGCATCTTAGGAGGAAGCAGGCCCCGACACCCCGCCTGGGGTTTTAGCCAGTTTTTTTTTTTTTTTTTAGCTCACACCCTGCGATGCTCAGGGTGGCTCCTGGCTCTGTGCTCAGGAATCAGTCCTGGCGGTCTCGGGGGGCCATATGGGATGCCGGGGGTCCAACCCGCCGCCCTCCCGCTGTGCTATGCTCTGCCCGTGGTGCCCCCAAAGCACTCTTCACATTTCTTAGGGTCAACCGCGGCCGGAGCGCACAGAAGCCCCCGGGAGCCATGATGGGTGGGTGGGGGCTGCCCACACGGGACCTGCCTGGGACCAGGCTGCCTACTCACGAGGGGACATCGGGCAGGTCCTGTGTCCACACCCCTGTCCTGCGCCAGCTGCTTTGGGACATGTCAGGATGCCCGGGGCACCGCCCCGCGTACCCAGAGGGCCGGGACTCAGTGCCCAAGTGCCCGCCCCACTCCACGCCTCAGGATTGCTGCCCAGGGCATGTCCTGGACCCCAGGAGCTCAGCCAGCTGTCGGGGTGGTAGGGGACGCTGGCGCCCCCCAGGGGAGGGAGGGGCTGGGGTCCAGAGTCGGTGCTCCCCAGGCCGCAGTGAGACTGGTCACCTAGGGGCTTTGGAGTGCCCGTGCGGATGCCAGCACCTGAGCCTCGAGAGGAGCGAGCACTGCTGGAGAACCAGGCGGGCCCCTCCAGCTCGGCGTGAGGGTCAGACACAGGAAAGGGAGCTCTGGGCCAGTCTTGGACCCGAGCCGCCAACCCTAGCAGCTCAGCTGGCCTCAGGGACTGCGGCCTGGCCTGTGGCCCAAAGACCCCGACAGAGAGCCCCCCCCCCAGCGCGCCCACCCACCGGATGCGGCTGGTCTGCTCCTCGATGGCCTCCACGGCGCTCTCCACGGAGCTTAGCAGCGAGCGCACCTGGCTGGCCGTCTCCCTCAGCAGGAAGCGCGCCACGAACTGGTCCACGCTGCTCCCGCCCTCGTACACCTGCAGGGAGCCGGGGGGGAGGGGCGTCGGCAGGGGGGGCTGCGGGACTCCCCTACCGGGCCTGCTCCCACCCCGGCTCTACGCTGTCCAGGGTCTGAGTGCGAGAGGACCACAGGATGGACACACAGCGCCCAGCCCAGGAAAGCGGCGAGCGGGAGCTGCTGTGGTGGACAGGAGGGTGACACCAGCTGTGCCTGGGACGGCAGGGGGAGGATGGGGGGTGGGGGGGACACAGCCGTGGCAGGCAACAACGGCTGGTGGCAAGAAGCCCAAGGTGGTGACGGTGCCAATGGTGAACACGTTAACAGTGATAAGGATGATGCGGACGGTGGAGATGCTGGTGGGGTTTCAGGGATGACGTTTTCGGGAGGAAGAACTCACTCTCCCTCTTTCCTCTCCTTTGAGGGGCTTTGGGGGGGTCCCAGCGTGGGAAGGTTCAGAGGCTCTGGGGGAGTTTCCAAGGCCTGGCAGGATAGCAGGATAGCACCAGGGTGGGGGCCACGAGCCCCTCCTCGTGGAACGAGCCCAGGCCGGGGCAGACCCTGTATCCCTGTGGCGGGTCCCTGACCTGCGGCGCCAGAGTGAGAAAGGCCTCGGACGGGGGGGGCGCGAAGGAGGGAGGGGCAGAGCGCCCCCAGCTGCAGGCGGGCCCAGAGACCCTCACGCACCATCTGCCACTGTCCTGGGGGCAGTGAGGTCCCCCCCACCCCGTGCAGCCTGCAGGGGGCAGAAAGAGCGAGTGTGAGAGAAAGGGGCCCAAACCCCAGGAGCGCCAGGGAGGCCAGAGAGGGGCTGTGACCCCGGCCGGGGAGGCAGAGGGGCCCACCCTGACCCCACGGGAACCTCCACCCACAGCCCTGAAGAGCCGCTGTAAGAACCCGCCTGAGTATCTGCCAACCGAATGCAGAGAAGCCGTCGGCAAGACCCAACCACCGACCGTGAGAAACTCAGTCCACGGGGGCGGGGGTCTTCCCCAACACTCACACCCCACTCAGACATGGAGGGGAAAAGCTGAATGGCTCCCGCTAAGGCGGGCAGGAGACGGGGCTGCCCACTCACCACTCCCACTATCCGGGGACACTCGCCACAACAGTGAGGCAAGAGCTAGAAATTCAGGGCACCCAGACTAGCAACGCCGTCAAGACCTGCACCGTACGCAGGCGACGTGCTCCGAGTCTCAGAAAACCCTCTGAAAAGGCTCCTGGAAGTATCCGGCATCCAACAACAAAACCAACACACGAAAGCCTACGGCCTCTATGTGCAGATGATGGGACACGAGAGAGAGAAACGGAACCCAAGCAACGGCTCGTTCAAAGCTCAGCCTGAGTGCCAAGTACCCGGGAGGGAGCCGAGGGAGCCAGGTGGCGACTTCTTCACAGAAAACCACGGATCACGGGTACGAGAGAGACACACGGCACGAGGAGATGGAACGCACGCCCTGTGGGACAGGAGGTGCCTGGACCCGGGACCCCAGGGGCCGGGGGGAGGTGCTGCCTGCAGCCGGGTGTCTGGCTAACCCGGCACACACCCTCTCCGGGAAGTCGGGGGCTTCTGTGTCCTGAGAGACATCAAAGGACGGGGAGATGGTGGCGCCTGGCCAGGGCTGGGGTTTCCATGGATACGCGGTGTAAGGAGCTGATCCGGTGCCCGGCAACCCTGGGCTGTGACCCCCTGGGTCACCAGGCAGGACGCAGAGGTGGACAGAAGGTGCCCTGGGGTCCGGCAGGGCAGCACAGTGGAAGGGCGCCTGCCTCGCATGAGGCCGGCCCGGCCCCCCAGGAGTGAGCCAGGACCACCAGGCATGGCCCCCTAACAAAGCGAAAATCAAGTCCTGCATGGATCTCCCAGGCTAGTTTGGGCACCCTGGTGCTGCTCTGGGCTGGCTCACAGAGGCAGGCGGGGCACCCGTGGGACCCGGACAAGGGGCTCGGCTTTGGGGCTGCGCCCACAGCCCTGGGTCCTGGACGCCTCCAGGGCCAGCGTGACAGCAGGCGGAGTTTCACCTTCAAGAGCGGGTTTAGCAAAGCCCTGAGGACAGAGACGGAAACCGGCCCCGAGACCCCCAACCCAGGCCCCCGCGCTCCGAGGTGTCCAGGGGCCACCAGCGTCCAGCGAACACAAGCCCTGCCTCTCCTCCAAGTGACGACAGGGAAGTGCCTGATGAGGCCAGAATCACGCTGACCGCAGGGCAGATACAGACAGAAACAGAAATAATTACAGGCCAGCGACTGGTGGAGATGGAACATTCTCAACCAGGCGCCGCGGCCCGAGTACTGGGGGCGGCTCTGAGGCCCCGAGCACTGGGGGCGGCTCCAAGGGTCCGAGTACTGGGGGGCAGGCCGGGAGCTGTGCAAGGTGCTTCCTCACCAACTGGACTTGGCCTCCGCCCACGGTCAGTGTTGAGAGGCAGGGGGGCTTTGAGCAGGGACCACGCTCGTCGGGGTGACCACTGGGGCCGCCCTCGTACCCTGGGTCTTCCTACTGTGCCCGCTTCCTGAGCTACCTCAGTGTGTTTGACATGTAAAATGATCATAGCCGCTTCCTACCCGTGAGGCAGAGTGTGTCCTAAGAAAGCGAAAGACTTCACGTCACCAACGTCTGACACGGAAACAGGAATTTCATCTTCAGTCTATTCTACGTTTGAAATATGTATCTGGGGCTGGAGCCATAGCAAGGGGGGAGGGTGCTGGCCTGGTACACGGGTCACCGGGGTTCGATCCCCGAGCACCGCCAGGAGTGATCTGAGTGCAGAGCCAGGAGCCAAGTCCTGAGCACCTCTGGGGTAGCCCCAAAATGGGAAAATAAATCAGGAATTTAAAAATCTTCGTTTTACATTGAAAAAACATCTGGGGGCCAGAGAGTACCACGGTGATGGTACTTGCCTTGATGAGGAAGACCTGGGTTAGATCCCCGGGCACTGAGCTAGGAGTGATCCCTGAGCACAGAGTCAGGAGTCAGTCCTGAGCACAGAGCCAGGAGTCAGCCCTGAGCACAGAGCCGGGAATCAGCCCAGAGCACAGAGTTGGGAGTCAGCCCTGAACACAGAACTTGGAGTCAGCCCTGAGTACAGAACCAGGAGTCAGCCCTGAGCACAGAGCCGGGAATCAGCTCTGAGCACAGAGCCAAGAGTCAGCCCTGAACACAGAACCTGGAGTCAGCCCTGAGCACAGAGCCGGGAGTCAGCCCTGAGCACAGAGCCGGGAGTCAGCCCAGAGCACAGAGTTGGGAGTCAGCCCTGAACACAGAACTTGGAGTCAGCCGGGAGTCAGCCCTGAGTACAGAGCCAGGAGTCAGCCCTGAGCAGAGCAGGGAGTCAGCCCTGAGCACAGAGCCAGGAATCAGCTCTGAGCACAGAGCCAAGAGTCAGCCCTGAACACAGAACCTGGAGTCAGCCCTGAGCACAGAGCCGGGAGTCAGCCCTGAGCACAGAGCCGGAAGTCAGCCCTGAGTACAAACCCTGGAGTCAGCCCTGAGCACAGAGCTGGGAGTCAGCCCTGAGCACTGCCAGGTGTGCCCCCAACAGGACCGAAGAGATGGTACAGTGGGGAAGGTTCTGCCTTGCCTGAGACTGACCAGGGTTCGATCCCCGGCATCCTGTATTGTCCCCTGAGCACCACCCGAGGTGATTCCCGAGTGCAGAGCCGGGAGTGACCCGGAGCACTGTCGTGTGGCCCCCAAACTAAAGAAAAATAAGTAACATTCTGGATGCCGTTCTGCCTCTTTCTTTTGAGTGGTGACGGGGACCACGCAGGGCCGGGCCATGAGCCGGGACCCCCGCAAGCCTTGTCGCCGCCCTGCAGACTCTGGCCGGGAGCAGCGTGGGGCCCAGACAGAGGCGAGGCCGTGCCCACCAGCGGGGGAGCCGCCCGTCCTTCAGGGCCCGGCCCGGGGGGCTGGTCCCGGGAGCCAGGGCTGTTCCCGGAGAGGACCTAATAATAGAATCCACCCCGCCAGACTTGGGCAAGATCGGAGATCATTCTGGAATACCAAAAGCATCTGAAAACACGCAGCCACCTCCAGGGAGGAACAAAGCGGGAGGAAAAAACACCAAACAGGCTGCGGAGGCTCTAAACCGGGTTATTAATATTGTAATTAGCCGAGGAACGGCAGGGGGAGGAGGACGGGCCAGGACGCGAGGCCGGCGGGAGGCGAGGCGCGGGCGGGCACTGTCCTCGGAGTCCACGGAGCAAAGACGCCCACGCGGGCCGAGATCGGGCAGGGGCGAGGCCAGCCCAGCTCAAGCCAACAGCCCCCGGCACCACCTCTGTGGCCCCGAACAGAACTCGGATAAACCAAGCACGGGCCATTCTCGACAGCCAGAGAAGATGCGGGAATAGGGGCGTGGCCACTGCGACCCCCCCCCATGCCCTGCACCCCGCACCCCTGGCCCCTGCGGGCCTATTCCTGGAGCTGGCCCAGCAGCAAGGGCCAGAGCAGCCGTGATGTCCCTGGGCCCAGCTGCCACCCACACACAGAAGGCTGAGGCCCACTGGACACAGGCCTGGGGTGACCGGGGGAGTCCCTACTGCCGTGGCAACCAGCACAGAACCGCAGGTGCCACGGGCTTCGCGACCACGCCCCACGCCCTCCCCCCCATCCCCTCCATCCCCCATGCCTGCGTGGGCGCCGGCCTCACCTTCTTGGTGTAGCCCATGGCCTTCAGCACCGAGTGGTTCAGGGCCTCCAGGGAGGCCAGCACGTCCTCGTAGTCCCCCATGTGGTCCACAAAGTAATCTGAGGAGGGCTGGGGTCAGGGGTCAGGGGTCACGGCTCGACCCCACACACCCCAGCTCGGTGGGTTCTCACCACACAGCTCCTGCGTGTCCACATGGCTGCAGAGAGAGAGGGTGTGGGTGCCTCAGGGACCCGTCCAGGCAGACGCCCCGAGGCGAGGAGCAGGGGTCTGGGCTGGGAGCCCCCCGGGCCAGTCCCCTGCAGCCCGGGCCCGATGCCCCTCCGGAGTGACAGGGTCTGTCCCCAGGGGCTGGGCAGTGCGCAGGGGGCCAGGCCAGGGGCAACTCTGCAAGAAGCCGTCCCACCGCTGCCAGGAAAACGGGTTGGGGGGCAGAGGGAGGAGGGGTAGGTGCTGCCCGGGGCGGTCCTCCCCGGTCTGCCGGACAGGGGCGTGCTTGGGGCGCCCCAGGAGGGAGGGCTTTGCAGAAGGAGCCCATGCGGGGTCCTGGACTCCAGGAGGTAACGCTGCATGACCCAGAACAGCCTCAGCCTGGCCTGCCCCAGCCCCGGCCTGCGCTGACCGTCCCCGCGGGGCCGAGGGGGGTGTGGGGAGCGGGGGGCTCACTTGGTGTTGTCCGAGTCGATGGCGTGGAACAGGCCCTCCAGCTCCTGCTCGCTGAGCACGCCGTCCGAGAAGAAGAGCTGGAACTCCTCCAGGGACAGTTTCCCGTCGTCTGCGGAGAGGGGCGCTGGGCGGCCGCACCCCCACACCGCAGAGGGCACCCCGCCCGCCTGGCCTCTGCCTGCAGCAGACCCCCGTCCTGGCCTCCCGAGAGGGGGTGGCTGGAACTGCCCTTGGGCCCCTCCCTCGCCCCACCAGAGGAGCGGGCAGCAGGGGGCCACTGTCTGTCCTCAGCGGACGGCGGGCGGGAGGCAGACGCGGGCACCGACCTACCCGGGTTTCTCGCGGCCTGCTCTGGCGTGGGAAGGAGGCCTGAAAACGTGCGTGCGTGCGTGCGTGCATGCGTGTGTGTGTGTGTGTGTGCGTGCCCGTGGGCGCGTGGGGGGTGCGGGGGGAGGCTGCCACCAGCATCTGCTCTGCCAACGAAGGTGTTTACCAAGTTCAGATGTGCTACTCTTCCCAGAAACCCAGCCAGCCTCGCCCCCACTGCACACGTGCGCACACACATGCAAAACACACGCGTGTGCAAATGCACATGCACACGTCTGCACATGCACACATGCACACGAGCCCACGTCCGGCAGGGGTCAGTGCAGGAGGGGCCCTGCTGGAGGGGGGTGCACCGCACACCCGCACAGGCCGGCCGGCTCCGGGGGCAAGCAGCTGGCCGGGTACCTGCGTGGGCAGCAGGAGTGATGGCCAGCCGGGCACTGCCCCTCCCGCGAGCGGCTGACATTCACCTTCAAAGCACGGCCAGTCCTAATGGCCCCCTGCGGCGGCGCCCCCGATGCTCCCGGCCTTCAAAGCGCCCAGGCGGGGGGCCAGCCCGTCCCGCCTCCACCCCCGCGCCCAGCTGAGCCCGCAGAGCCGGTCTCCCACAGGCCAGGGGCTGCTCTGGGCGTCCCTGTCTACACCGCACACCCGTCTACACTGCACGCCCACCGCACCCATTCCGACTTCCATGTGGCAGAGCTGGGGCAGGCAGGACCAGCCCTGTCCCAGGGGTGGGGGGGGTCCCCGGGCCTCAAGGGGCCACACGTGGGTCCCCTGCAGCCTTGTCTGGGGGGGCCTGACCGGGAGAGGACGAGGAGACGGGCGCTGGGGCACACACAGGCACGCACATGCCACTAAGCGCACAGACTCATCACACGTGTGTACACATGCAGGTGCACACAAGGGGTACATGTGTATACACACGCGCACACCCCCCACGGGCTTCAGAGACCCCCGCAGGCTGCTGCTGTCGGCCCAGCGGGGGGCAGTGGGTGCCCCCAGCCCCCACCTGCCCCCAGGAGCGCACCCCGGCTGGGCAGGGCCCCGTGCTGGCTGGGGGGCGTGTCCCCAGGCTTGGCCAGGCAGCACATGTGACAGGCATGTGTCAGGCATGAGAGAAGCATGTAGCAGACGTGTTAGGTGTGTGGCAGGCAGGTGACAGGCCTTGCAGGTGTGACAGGCGTGTGACAGGCGTGTGCTGGTGTGTGGCAGGCGTGTGGCAGGCATGTGACAAGCCTTCCTCCTGCTCCCCCGCGCGTGGCACGGGTGCGAGGGCAGCTGTGCCCAGGCGGGAGGTGGGTCACGCACCCCGCGGGCCGGCGCTGGGCAGGGCCCTCGCCCGCCGTCCACTCGGGGCTGTCCAGGATGGACGTGAGGGGTGGGGGGCCCCGGGAAGGGTCTGGGCGTGTTACAGTCCTACGGACGGGGAAACTGAGGCCCCGGGGACAAACTCGGAGCTGTCCGCCCCCCACCACCACCACCCGCGGCTCCAGGTCCGAGGAAACTCACCGTTCTTGTCCGCCCGGCGGAAGATCTGCAAAGAGGGGAGCGTCGGCCCGGGCCCGCCGGGACCCCCGCCCGCCCCGTCCCCTGCCCGGGAGGGCCCCCCCGGGCGGCCGGCGCGGGGGTCGCGCCCCGGGGCGGGGTCCGCACTCACGTCCAGGATGACGGCGGTGCCGCCGGGCGGCGCGGCGGGCGGGGGTCCGGGCCGGGGCGCGGCGGGGGCGGGGGCGGCGGCGGCGGGGGCGCGGGGCTCGCCCATCCTGGCGCCCACCCAGCGCAGCAGCCCCCCGAGCGCGCGGCCCTGCGGCGGCGGCTCCCGGAGCAGCCTGTGCGCGCCGGCCCTGCACAGGCGCGCCGCCCGCTCGCACATCGCGCCGCCGCCGCCCGGAAGCCCGCCGGCCCCCCCCGCGCCGGAAGCGCCGACCCCCGCCCCGCCCGCCCGCCCCGCCCCCGCCGCGCCCACCCGCGCCGCCCGCGCCCGCCCGCGCCCACCCGCGCCCGGCCCGCACGTGGCCGCGCCGCGCCGCGCCGCCGCCGCCGCCGCGCGCCCGCGGAGGGGCCGGGCCGGGGGGCGGGGGGGAGCGGAGGAGGGGGTCCCGCCGCCCCGGGCAGCCCCCTAGGCGATCCCACGCCCCCCACGCGCCCGCCCCCCGGCACTCCTGCCCCCGGGCTCCGGCCCCGGCCCCCAGGCGCCCGCGCCCCCCCCACGATCCAACCCCTCCGGGCGCCCCCGCCTCAGGCGTCCCCCCGGTCGCCCCAGGGGTCCTCCCTCGCGCCCCCAGGCCTCCCCCAGGGTCCCCCGCCCCACCGGAGCCCCCCACCCCGGGCGCACACGCCTCTCCCCCGGGGCCGTTCCCCCCAGCCCCGCCAGGCATCCCCTAGGCGATCCGACCCCTCCGGGCGCCCCTCGCCCCCCCACCGCGTCCCGCACGCGCCCCCGGGGGTCCCCTCAAGGCCCTCCCGTCGCCGGCCTCCCCCACGCGCCCCCCCCAGGCACTTCTGCCCCCGGGCTCCGCGCCCCCCAGGCGCTCCTGCTACCCCCCTTCCCGTCCCCGACCCCCGGGCGCTCCTCCCCCTCCCCCGGGGCCGTGTCCCCAGCCCCGCCAGGCATCCCCCTAGGCGATCCCACCCCCCCTCCGGGCGCCCCTCGCCCCCCCCCCCCGCACCGCGTCCCCCACGCGCCCCCAGGGGTCCCCTCAGGCGCCCCCCAGGCGCTCCCGACCCTCTCCCGCGGTGTTTCCCCGAACTCCCCCTGGCTCCCCCTGGTCCCCCCCACCCCTCTCACACTCCTCCCCCTCCCCCAGGGTCCGTCCCCCCAGCCCCACCAGGCATCCCCCCCCCAGACGATCCCAATCCCTCGGGCGCCCCCGCCCCAGGCGTCCCCCGGGCGCCCCCTCCCTCCCCCGCGCCCCGCCCCCGCGTCGCCGCAAGGGTGTCCGCTGTCCGCTGCGGCTGGCGCCCACGCGCGGCTCCGGGTGGCGGCGCCGGGCTGGACTGTCCCCCCCCCCCCCACGGGCTCCTGGCCATTCCGTTCAGAGGCACCAGAGGACGGTAGGAGGACGATGCAGACAGAGGAGGGGTCTGCCCAGGCCCGGCCCCTCTCCCCACCCCGCAGACCCCAGGGCCTCCCACAGAACCGGCAGACTGGACTGGGTGCGGGCAGGCGTGGCTTTATTCCGGGCCTGGCTCTGGAGGGACCGAGTGTGCAGCCCCGGGCCCACCACCCGGCCACCCACTCGCCGTCCACCTCCTGGGCAGGGCCTGCGTCCAGGCTCCCGTTCGGGCTTACGCCGGGCACTGTGCTGCCCCAGGCTGCCTCCAGCCGGCCTCCTGCCGCCCCGCGGGCTGTGGCCCTCCGCCGCCGGGCTAGGGTGGCCGCGGGGCCTCCTTCCGCAGCAGGGAGCTGGCCGCGGCCAGGGCACCTCCCTGCACAAAGCGCACAAAGCTGTCCCCGGCCAGCGGCCCCAGCGCATAGAGGCCCTCGCGGTGGGTGCTCTGGTAGGTGAAGGGGTCCACGTCGATGGGGTTCCTCTTGGCGCTCAGGGGCTGCTGGGGGTCTGTGGCCAGGTCGGCGCCGGCCCCCGGCAGGAAGGACAGGTCGGGGTTCGAGCCGATGAGCACCAGCACCAGCGACACCTCGAAGCCCTTGTGCAGCCCCTGGGGGTCCTGGAACAGCACCTGCCGGTCCTCGCCGCAGCGCACGAGCCGGTGCTCCGGGAGGCTGCGGTAGCCGGGGTAGGGCCCGGGGGACCCCGCCGAGCGCTCCCGCATCATCTGGTGGACCTTGTGGTACTCGGGGTACAGCATCGGGGGCAGCTGGTTGAAGACCAGCCCCGGGTCGCCCACGGGCCGGCGGAAGGCGTGCAGCACCGGGATGCCCGCGTGGCGCGCAAAGAGGACGGCGTCGGCCGCCGACAGCCCCGCGCCCACCACCAGCACCGGCTCCGAGTCGGGGCCCACCGTGCCCGCGCGCCAGGCGGCCTCCAGCGCCCCCAGCCGGTGGTGCACGAAGGGCAGGGACTCGCCGGGGATGCCCAGCCGCGCCGGGCTGTCCGACGTGCCCGTGGCCAGCACCACGTTGCGGGCCAGCAGGGAGAAGGGCTCGCGGCGGCCCTCGCCCGTCAGGAAGCCGCGCACCCGGAAGAGGGACGTCTCCGCATCCTCCTGGGCCCCGGGCTTGGGCGGCCCCCCACTCCACGGCCGTGACCACGGCGCCCGACACGAAGTTGGGGCCCAGGCCCTTCTTGGCCACGTAGTCCGTGTAGTAGCGCGCGATGTCGCCCGCCGTGGCGCGGCTGTTCCGCAGCCCCCTGGGGAGGAGCGGGAGGGTGAGGGGGGCCAGAGGGGTCGGCAGGTCGCCCGCCCCTCCGTCAGTCATCCCTGCGTGGGAGCGGGCGAAGTGGATCCCCGCCCCCCGGGCACGGCGCTGGTTCCCTCTGGGCCAAGGCCGACAGTGACACGGCCCGTTCACGACCGGCCAGCTGAGCCCCGCTGGACAGCACTCGGGCGTCCATGGCCCCCTGGCCTGCCCTCGTCCTCCTGTGCGGTGCCTTGGGGGGCTCAGAGATGACCAAGGTCCCGAGCCAGGAGGGCACTCGGGGTGGGCTTCTGAGCGGCTGTCCCCCGCAGGCTGGCAGGGGCATCCAGGGGCTCTGGCTAGCAGGGGGCCAGAGTGGGCAGCGTCCCCTGAGGGGGGACACCCAGCAGGACCGGGCATGGCCCAGTCCAACCCCCCTGCAAGGCGTTTGTCCTGCTTGACAAGAGTCCGGCCTCAGTGTCCCCTGGGGGTCCGAGAGGCCAGCCCGCGGTGTTACCCCCCCAGGGTCCGAGAGAAAGGCCCCCGTTCCCGGGGCCGCTCACCTGCGCCGGCGGCACAACCAGTCGTGGACGTGCAGGTCCGGGAGGCCCATCCACTGGCCCTGGCTCAGGGTCACCATGGAGCCCTCGATGGACTGTGGGAGGGGACTCAGCTCAGGCTGCGCCCACCCCCGCGCCCCAGCCCCTGCGGCCCCCGGGTCCCACTCACGTGCCAGGCGCCCCCCGGAAGGCCCCGGCCCAGGACCACGTGGGGCACGGCTCGCTCCCGCTGCTGCCTCCAGGTGAGCACTGAGTCCATGTCCCCGCCGAGGTCAGTGTCAGGCCGCAGGAGGGCGTCAAAGAGCAGGGCCACGGGGCTGTGGCAGCGACCCTCCAGGCCCTCGGACAGGTAGTCCAGGTCCTGGGGGAGGGCTGCAGGTCAGAGCTGCCCTGGCTCTGACCGGACCCAGAAAACTGGGGAGGGTGGACTGCGGTGGCCAAGGCTCTGACAAGTCCTGCAGAGGCTGGCGGGGGAGGGGGGGCTGAGATGGAGCCTCATCCCTGCAGAGGGGCATCAGAGGGATGCAGAGGTGGGGGGCAGGGTGGGCTCTCCAGGTGCCCCCCTGGGTGGGGAGGAGGCGGAGGACGCACAGGGCAGCGTCCGCCCTCGGGCCGCCCAGTGATTTGGTTTTTTGTTTTTGTGTTTTGGGTCCCACCCGGCGGTGCTCGGAGCTGACTCCTCGGGGGAGTCACTCCTGGCGGTGCTCACGGATGGAACCAGGTGGGCCGTGCGCAGGTAAAAAGGTGCTACCCGCTGTGCCCCCGCACACGGATTGGCCCTTGAGCCAACCGCGTGTGTGGGGTCCCTGAGGAAAGCCAGGTCACGTGAGCTCCTCCCAGCCGCCCTGCCCGGCCCACCTGGTCCAGGATGGAGACCCCCGGAGCCTCGGCCAGCTTCCTCTGCAGGAGGGGGTGCGGGTGGGCGGCGTCCGGCTTCGCATAGGGGGTGTAGCCCGACAGCAGGTAGGACAGGCAGATGCCCGAGGGGCCGTTGCCTGGGGAGGGAGGGGGGCTTAGAGACCACCTGGGGGGCTCACAGCCGTCACACGCCCGCCACACGCCTGTCAGCCGAGCCAGAGCCCCGGACGGACGGCCACGTGGGGTGGATCCCGGCCAGCGAGAGTCCTCTGTCACACGGCTCAGCCCCCCGGGGGAGGGGGGAGGCTCTGGGCTCCCTGGGGAGCCCCCCACCCCCCCCCGCGGGAAGGAAGCTGCGGCTTCCCAGGCGCTGCTGTGGGCAGTGGAGCGTGTGACATTTCCCTCCCCCCGTCCGTCCTCTCCCTCCTTATCTCGCACCCGGCAGATCTTGCAGATCTGCCAAATGCCAGCAGGAGCCGTTCCGGACCCTCGCGTGTGAGCTGTTCCGACAAAAACAGCATCTTGGGGCGCCCGCGGGTCGGGGGCGGCCCCTCCCCTGCGGCTCCGGGGCACCCCTAGCCCCCCTGTCCCCGAGGTCCCGCGGCACCCACGGAAACGCGCGGCTCTCACCGATGACCACGGCGGCCAGGGGCTCGGAGCTGCCGGCGTGGAGGCGGCTGTTCCCGCAGAGACTCATGGCTGCACGGCGGGTGGTAGCCTGCAGGGAGAGGGGCAGAGGGGGGCGGCGGCTGAGCAGGGCTGGCCGGTCTCGCCCCTCTGCCCGCGGCCCCTCCCGCCCCCCTGTTTTCTGAGGGGGTCCATTGCCACCCCACCAGACCCGTGAGAACGGGCCTCAGTAGCTCCCGAGCACGCTGGCCCCTGCTGGCCACAGGCCGAGTCATGCTCGAGGTGCCCAGCGGCTCCCGCAGGCATGCATGGGCCTGTCCACAGCCCCCCCCACCCACCCAGGGGGCCCAGAACTCTCTGAAGACCCCCCCAACACACAGACACACAGGTGAATGCCCCAGGGAGGCCCTGGGCCTCAGGCCTCCTCCAGGCAGGCGCCTGGATTTCCCTGGAGCCTGGGCTTGGCAGACGCGTTCAGGGTCCACATTGGGGGCCTCCGGGCAGCTTGGAGCCCCAGCGGCCACAGGCTCCCCTCAGCTGCGGCCTTCAGAGCCCCGCCCCCTCCCCCCCCCACCTGCTGGCTGAGGGTCCTGGGGTCCCTTCGGGCATCCCCTCTGCCCCGGGTGACACTCACACCCCTGAGTCTGAGCACAGAGACACAGTCACCCCCCGCCCCGGGATGCGGGCGGCCAGGGTGTCCCTGCGGGCCTGCCCCAGGCGACCAACCAGCCTGCCTTCCGGCCAAAGTCCAGCCCGGAGTGACACCTGCCCCAGGACACCAGCCCCTGCAGACCCCAAGTGTCCTGCAGGTGTGATCCCAGCCGGAGGTGGGGCCACCCGATGCCAGGGCTGCCAGAGAGAGCCCAGGGCGTGCCCGGCCCTGCCCGCTGAGCCCGCCCGCTGGCCCGGGACGGGGTACTTGCCGCCGGTCGGGGGACGGATCAGGCAAGTGGGGGCTCCTGGAACCTCGCTGCCCGGCTGCCCGGCAGGCGCTGAACTCAGTGCCCAGTGCTCCGCTCCGGAAGTCTGTGCACGGGCCACAAGAGTTCACTGCCCGGGGCCAGGGGTCACTTCCTGCTGGGAGGACACGGGCCAGCGCCAGCGCACAATGTGCGAGTGTCCGTCCCTGCCCTGCGCTCCGGCCGTCTGGGTCGGGTCGGCAGGTGCCAAGGGGGAAGCAAACAGTCCCCGGGGTCGGCCGGGCCGGCCCTGCTCGGCGGGCGCCTGTCCAGGCGGCGGCCTTTGCTCCCTGGACTCACCGCCCCCTCCCCGGTTTCATCACCGCGCGGGCGGGGAGGGGCGAGAGGGGGGCGAGGGGTCCCCGCCCCGCCCCGGCGCGCGGGCAGCGCCGCGTCCACCGGCCGGGGCCTCCTTCCCGGGCGGGGCCGGGCCGGCGGCCACTCACCTGGTGGGCAGCGGGCGCCGCGGGCACCCCGTGTGGTGGGCGCGGGCGGGCGGGCGGGGCGGCGTGAGTCAGCGGCACCTGGACACGCGGCGCGGCGCGGGGCGGGGCCTCAGCTTACCTGGGCGCCGCGCACCTGGGCGGGACAGACCCCGCCCGACCCCCGCCTGCCCGCAGTAGCCGCCCGAGCCAGGCCCGGGAGGCGGGGGTGGGGTGGGGTGGGCACTGACCCCGCCTGCCCCGCGCCTGCCCGACACGCGGCGACCCGCCCGCGGGGGACCCCCCGGAGGAAGGACGCGGGGCACAGGTGCCCGGAGCGCGGACCCCGCACCTGGGCCGAGGCGGCGCGGCCCTCCCCGGCCTCCCCGGTGGGAACACGCGGGCCTGGAGCCCGGCAGCACACGCGACACGCACACGCGCGTGGGGGAGCAGGGCACAGGCCACGCGCTGAGCGCAGACACGCCGCGGACACACGCGTGCCCCACGCAGAACATGAGCGCGCACAGGCAGCCCTGCCTCTGGCCCTGATGTCCACGTCTGCACCACGCAGGCCTGTCCTGTCCGGAGAGCCTGTCCCCCGCTGCTGACCCCCGCTGCCCGGTACCGGAGACCCCATGGGCAGGCAGCGTGGACAGGGCCTGGCAGGAAGCTTGACTCCCCCTGAACAGGTGCTGGTCAGAGGAGCAAGAGGCAGGTGGGGCGGGGTGGGGGGCCCCCTTCCTCTGCCCTGCCCCCTCTGGGCTGGGAGCCCCAGTGGCCGATCCATGAGGACCCGGGACCCCACGTCCAGGCCCCCTGACTCAGGCTGCAGGGGAAAGACACGAGGGGCGCTCTGTGGATCCCCACCAGGCCTGAGCGCTGCTGGGTGTGGCCCCCAAGGGAAAAAAAGCACGCAGCCCACCCCCCACCCCGCCAGGTAACTGTCTCAGAAGAGCAGAGAAACTTCCAGCAGGAATCCAGCCCTCGCAGTCCTGGGGAGGTTCTTGCAAAAAGCACAAGTCACCCTGAACCCACAGCAGAGGAAGTCTCTCCCTCTCCCTCCCTCCCCCTTTCTCCCTCCCTCTCTCTTCCTCTCTCTGTCTCTCTGTCTCTGTCTATCTGTCTGTCTGTCTGTCTCTCTCTCACACACACACACACACACACACACACACACACACACACACACACACGACAAAGAGCTCCTTCAAAACACCAAAGCAGTTTCTGGTGCTGGAGGAAGGATGCCTGCTGGGTGGGGGAGGGGGGGCGGCGCAGGAGCCTGGGGGGGGCGCCTCCCCCCGTGCTCCCCACAGTGCTCCTGGCTGGCCGGCCCCTACCCCTGCTTCCCTGCCCCCCTCCCCACTCCTGCCCTCAGGTGACTGCTGGGCGCTGCCCTGCTCAGCCTCAGTTTCCCCGTTGTGCCCTTGGGGTTTTTTTGTTTTGTTTTGCTTTTTTGGGTCAACCCGGCGGCAATGCTCAGGGATTACTCCTGGCTTTGCACTCAGGAACGATTCCTGGTGGTGCTCAGGAGACCAGGGGGCCATATGGGAAGCGGGGGATTGAACCCGGATCGGATGCAAGGCGAAGCCCCCCCCCCGCCCCGGTTATGCCCGTGTTAATACCAGCAGGTGCCTGCCTGGTGCCGAGAGCCAGTGACACATGGGCAGGCCGGGGGTCACAGCCCCCACGCCACAGCTCTCGGGAACAGCCCAGGGAGGACGGGGTGTCCTCCGGGGGTCTGCTGGTCCACCCCCAATCAAGGGTCACCCGCTTGGCCCTGCAGCCGGGGCTGGGCCGGCCTCTCCCCCTGCCCGAGTGGGCTCTGCGGGTTTCTGGCTCTGGCCTGAGGGGCCTGGGTGCAGGGGAGGTGAAGGCCCGCGAGCCCTGAGCCGCGGGGACAGAGGGGCCGGGCCAGCAGGGCTAATATTGACGGATCGGCGTGCAAACATGCAGATGAAGAAATGCCAGCCGGACTCGGCCGTGGTGCCCCCCGGGGTCGGCCTGCAGGACTCCCCAGGGCCTGAGCCCAAGGCAGAGCTGGCGGTTGCAGACTCATGCCAGGCCTATGCCACAGGGTATTCTGTGCGCCCCACTCTCGGGCTGCCGGGGGGTCCCTAGAATGGAGGCAGGCTGGCGGCACACCCCACGGCCCTCAGCTGTGACCCTCCATCCCCTGGCCACGAGGGTGCAGTGTCCAGCGTGGTGCCCTCCCGCTGCTCCCCCCCCGCCCTGCGCCCAGTGACCCGTCCCAGCCCCCACAGCCCAGTGGCCTTTCCTGGATCCTGCCCGCGGCCTCCTGCTGTGACCCCTGGAGCAGTGTTGCACACGCCCTGGCCTGGCCCCTGGGCTCCTGGGTCAGTGCCCAGGTCACTGTGGTGGAGCAGGTGGAGAGGAGGGCCGGAGGAGCCGCCAGCCCTGGGAGGGGCTCGTGGGGAGGGGGGCGGTGATGGTGGGGAGAGGCGGGAGTGGCAGGGAAGGGGGGGATAGAGGGTAGAGGGGGAGGAAGGGGGGAAAGGTTGGGGGGAAGGTTCAGGGGAGGGAGGGGGAGGGCAGGGGCGGGGAAGGGGCAGGGGAGACCCAAAACTCAAGGGCCGGAGTAGCTGCTGCTGGCCATGGTGCGGGCGAGGGCGGGGAATGGTCACAGGTGAAGGGAGGCTGATGGAGAAGGGGAAGGGGATGAGAGGCAGGTGGAGGCGAAACTCCGACCATGACCATGGAGATAATGACATGGCGAGGAGGAGATGGCGGTGGCAGAGGTGACGGGGACCGTGGCGGAGGTGATGGGGACCATGATGGAGGTGACGGGGACCATGGTGGAGGTGGTGGAGGTGACGGGGACTGTGGTGGAGGAGATGAGGAAGTGGGGGGATGGTGGGGGTAACTGTGAAGATGGTGAGATATGTGGACATGGTGAAGGTGAAGGTGGCCATGAAGATGGAGACAGTGATGGAGACAATGGAAATAATGGAGATGGAGATGCTGAGGACTATGGAGAGTGGTAGAGAAGATGATGGACATGACACCCCCCACTCCAAGACCCACAGGGCCCCCTGGACCCCAATCGGCGCAGGACCTCCCCGATGGGTCTCCCAGCCCCTCTTCCCCCCTTCCGCCCCCGCCCCTTCTTCCCACCCGGCTCCTGCTTCTCTCTCCAGTCACCTATCAGCACACTGCCAGGCCGGATCGTGCCCGATGGTTCTTATCTGTATCGTGGGTTTTCAGGCATGACCAAGAGCTGCTTGTACATCCTGGAGAGCTGTCTGCTGGGGGGAGGGGGCACAGGCTGGAACACGAGGCCCCCTCCCTGCCCATGATGCCCTCCAGCGGGCCCTGGCTCCCGGGAGCCTGTGCAGGGCTGGGGTGGGCCCCGAGGCTGTGTGCTGGGGGGCAACCTGGCTGTCCGAGCCACTCAGGTGCTGGGGGACAGTCCCAGGACGGGCCCCCACAGGTGCTGAAAGGAACCCACATCCTGGAGTTGGAACCCGGGGTCAGGGGTCATCCTGGGGTCAGGGGCCATCCTGGGGTAGGGGAGTCCTGGGGTCGGGGCAGGGTCCCAGGGGTGGGGGTCCTGGGGTGAGGGGTTTGCGGTCAGGAGGTATGCAAGAAGCACTGTCGGAGGGCGTGGCCTGTGGGTGACTCTCCCCCATGGGGCATCAGTGACCCTGCCCCCGCCCTGTCCCACGGTCCTCTTGCCTCGCAGGGTCGACAGGCAGAGCTGACCAGAGTCAGAGCTCACTCTGGGGGGCACTGCCCCGCCCATGGCACCTGCAGGGCCCCCAGCCTGGCCCCCCTGTGCCTCTGCCTCGGGGCGTCCCTGAGATTTCCCCCATGGGCAGCCCCGGGGGCACTGGGCGAAGTCCTTGAGGTCACGCAGGGCAGGGGCAGCCCAGAGGCCTGGACCAGGGGGGCTCCTGGGGGGGCGCCCCCACCGCCCCCCCCGACTGCCACAGGTCTGCCCGCACCACCTGACTGGCCACTGGGCACCCGCCCGCCCCCTACCCCCTGGGGCTGTGCTCGGACTTCCCAGGGTTAGGCCCTCACGGCTTCCTGGGGCAGTCCCTGGCCACCCCCTGACTGTGTGCGGGGACCAAGGGCCACGAGAAGTGACGAGGTGCCGGGAGGTGGGAGCAGTGGCTGTCCGGGTGCCCCGCGGCCACGAGGTGACCCCTAGCTGGGCAGAAGCAAGAGGCTGAGACAGGGGTCTTTGGGGGCCAGCTGTCCGGGCGGCCTCTGGGCAGCAGGGACCCAGGAAGGCTGCAGTGGGGAGCGGGGCTGAGGTCACCAGGGCCCAGGCAGGCTGCCCGTCACCTCCTGGCCTGTCCCTCCTACCTGATGGCCATGGCTGGCAGGTGGCCGCTGGCCAGGAAGAGTGGGACCTGGCCCTCCCCTGGGGGAGCCCCCCCATTAGGTGTGGCCACAGGGCATCAGGGCGCCAAGGGCCGGACCGGCCTTTTTGTGGCATCACAGAGTCCTGTGAGGACCCCAGGGACCCACCCGGCCGCCTGGGGGTGGGGCGCAGTGCCAGGGAACCTGGAGCAGGGGCCGTGCGGGCGCATGTGCTGCCCCCCGCTGGACTCAGCTCCCTCACCCGGAGTCCAGACGGTGGGCAGGGCTCCAACCTCCAACCCTCTTGATAGAAGGGGTGGTGTCCTGTTAGCTGGAACGTTCTGGAAAGAGCAGAAAGGAGAAGTGGGACTGTGGCCTGTCCCAGGGGGTCGGGGCATCCCAGCGGGGGCCGGGCTGCCCCCC